CAACTACGTCGCCTGCGGTGGCCTCGACAACATCTGCTCCATCTACAACCTCTCCTCCCGGGACGGGCCCACCCGCGTCGCCCGTGAGCTCTCCGGCCACTCGGGCTACCTCTCCTGCTGCCGTTTCATCAACGACCGCCGCATCCTCACCTCCTCCGGCGACATGACCTGCATCCTCTGGGACATCGAGTCCGGAGCCAAGATCACCGAGTTTGCCGACCACCTCGGAGACGTCATGAGCATCAGCATCAACCCTACCTCCAACGACGTCTTCGTCTCCGGCGCCTGCGACATGTTCGCCAAGCTGTGGGACATCCGTGTCGGCAAGGCCGTCCAGACCTTCTCCGGCCACGAGTCCGACATCAACGCCATCCAGTTCTTCCCGGACGGCAACGCCTTTGGCACCGGCTCGGACGACACCACCTGCAGGCTATTCGACATCAGGGCCGACAGAGAGCTCAACGTCTACCAGGTCAGTTCACACACACACATATATATATATATATACTAACCTCAGCAGAGTGACCAAGTGCTCTGTGGCATCACATCGGTAGCCTTCTCCGTCTCTGGACGGCTGCTCTTTGCCGGTTACGATGACTACGAATGCAAGGTACGTTTGGACGGCGTCCGCTCTTGATACAGTACTGACCGGTCGACAGGTCTGGGACGTCTTGAGAGGAGAAAAGGTTGGCTCGCTAAGCGGCCATGAGAACCGAGTCAGCTGTCTCGGTGTCAGTAACGACGGAATAAGCTTATGTACAGGATCGTGGGACTCACTGGTACGTTCCGTCCTTGTCCTTTTTCTTACCGTTGTCTGACAGCCCTCCTAGCTTAAAATCTGGGCGTGGTAAGCCACCTACGCTTATCCGCATACATACTACCGCCTCGTTCGTCTTTTTTCTGTCTGTTTGTCTTTCCTGTTTAACTATGTCTTGCTCATCCTCTGCTTCTCCTTTCTTGCTCTTGAAAAGTGGAACTGGGCCGGTCTATTATCCTTTGTCTCCCTAAAATCTTTCATCTCTTATACATGACGCTTCACATCACACCTCGACATGATCTTCTCTGGCTCACTTTATTCTCTTCGTGTTTACTTTTTGGCTTGGAGCTTTACTACTTTACACCCCTTACCTCAGAAGGGGCTAATCGTCTTCAACTCGTCCCTTTCTCTACCCTCCACCCTTCTCTTTCTTTTGACTTCTTTTTTGATTCCCCCGCCGCGTCAAGCCATAATCGCCATCCTACCGTCCGTACCATAGCCATGACCATCATCAACCTCGGTCCCCAGGCCTTCTCCCCATCTAACTATCCTATACTACACTATACTATACTTAACCTATCTCTCGCTCTCTTTCTCTTATCCCACTGTCCAAGTCCGACCCATCGATCTTATCCGTCTCTTTGAAGAATCATCTTATTTAACGTTCTTATTCTCTGCGGAGCTGCAACGCTCCTCCGTAAGTGCTCTTCTCCACGAGGAACACAACTAGGCCATCTGGCCTCCCACATACCAAACACTCTACCTCCGGCCCACTCCCTGCCTGCTGTAACTCATCCCTACCAACGGCTCTGCCCACATGGACCCTTCAACGTCTCTATACCCTCGAAGTGACGTGGAGAGCCCACGTATATCTGCTCTTTACTCCCTTCAGCCGGGTCGATGGAACCGGGCCCTGTAAGCCTCTTCTCCGGCGTGTTATAGTCCATCTAACCTCCGGACCGAGAAACTAGTTAACCTTGTTGAGCCCGTCGCTTTACTACCCATAGATGTCTTTGGAGGATATATGGGATACTACGCTGATATCTCGCCCTGGCGACAGCCACTTCATGACCGAGCAGGAAACCCTGCAGAGAAACGTAAGGTAAACACAACAAGGAGGCAAAAACAGGGTCAAGGCGTGTACCCGCCGAGATGTGGCTGTACGATACACTGGGTCGCTTTCAACGAAGAACGCTCTGTTTTTCCCACCGTGTTAGCTGTTGGCTGTAACTAGTCCATCAAGGTTGCAACGGCGAGGTCGACCGTAGCTTGATCGCTGGCTCGTTGGGGAACACATCGAGCCATGTCCGCCGTACATTCCGACACGGCATCTCTGGAATTACAGAACCAGAATCCCATTCTTGGTCATCCACTCAACGTCAAATTCATTATAGCCCGCAGAAGCAGAGGCAATGAAGAAGCAGAGGCAACGATCTTGCAGTGCGGAACCAATGGCTTGAAAGCTCCTCGTCGAACGGCTCGAAGACCACGGCGTCGTAGGGGCCATCTTTACTGGCGCGAGCGGCCAGTTCAGGGACGAGGCCAGCCCGGGCCGGAGAGCTTAGAGACTGTCGTTATAGCCTATTGTTAGAAAGTGCGGGACCGGCTCTGCTTACGAGCAGGGAGCAGCGTTACTGACGTGAAGCTCAAACTTGGTCTGGAATTCATCTAGATATGTCTTGTCCGTGAACTCCGGATAGCCCAGGCAGAGCACTTTTGCTTTCTGACGGGCCACTATCTTGTTATCCTATCCACCGAGGAGATACCTTGGACGAAGAGTAATGCGCATTCTGCGAACCAGGGAATTACTACGGTATCTCTCGGTTGTGATCCGAGGGGCATCTCGTATTTCTCCGCACAAGAAAGCATTATATTATTATTAATGTCATAATCGATCGATACCAATCATCATCCTTAAAAAGTTTGGTGATGCCTTGTATGCATCATGCTATCCATTTCTATATCCCCTGTAAACAAACCTCTACGGACCAGCGGGACCGACCCACCGTGTCACCACCGGGTTGGCTAGGGTTTGGGGCGTTGAATGCTTGTTTCAGCCATCTACAGCTATCAATATCCATAGCATCAGGACCAGCTTATCACTACTCCGTAATCCCGTCACTATAGTGGAATGCTATTTGAAGACGAAATTTCATTATAACTATGTAATACAGCCAGCGTGCTAGTAGTTAAAAGGGTATGCTTGTGCGTGAAAAGGTCTCGCCCCAAAATCATACTCGCCTCCTGTCAATCTGGACCAGGTTTATGCAAGACTCAGCAGGACCCTCATAGGACTTTACCGTTGAATTCACGGAATAAGTGACCGTTTTAGAGATGTAGTCGTCTCTTGACTGCACCAGTGTCTCCGAATTAGAGGTGAATCCTCCCTTGGACGTAGATGCATCCGAAGTATGCAAGCGTTTTCGGGATACTGTCTCGGTGGCTTGGCCGAGTAATTCGGGAGCGTAGTGTATGAGTAGCGCTCGAGTGGCAGGTAAACAGGCACAAACAACGGCTATCTGGCATTCAATCATAGACCAGTAGTTCAGAGGCGCCATCTCATCTATAGTGGATGGTCAGCGGTAAGAAACAGGGACTCGACATTTGGAATGGTTGTTAGGTACGTACAGGTAGGATTTTTGCTCGGGTCGTGCTGGAACAAAACGATCACTCGCACGATTCCGATAGTCGTTACCCTATCAACCAGGAGATTGATTAGTATGACGAAGGAGAGAATGCGTAAATCGAAGGTATCAGCTTACAGTAGGCCCATTCCAAACATCAATGCGACCCCTACTTTTTTGCGGTGAGACAACTTCAACTTCACAACCTCATATACAGGCATAGACACCATAATGGCGTCTACCGTAATATTGACAAAGCCGTTGATATACGTCGCAGTCATGAAGTTAATGCAACGTCCGGTCTCCTCCATTTTCCATGCCGTCCAGGATAGGTGGATAGGAACGCAGTGGAAGGCGTCAACCAGTATCCATGTGATTGCGATAGCTGTGTTGATCCCTATGATGACATACGTAGCGTAACGGAACGTAGTCGACTGGAAAATTCGTAGCAGGAATAGACCGACGGATATTTTAGCAAGGGATATCAGGGCTTTATAGGCTAAGACGTATGCATAGAAGACCTGTTCAAGGTTAGCATGTCCCTGTTCCCCCCCAAACCGTTAGAGGGCCGACTGACCTTGAAGGCTATTGTTATATTCTCCTGAGGAACAATATCCCATATGTTTCTTCCAAAGCCATAATGAACCACTGGGAGTTTACGTTAGAATATACATCATAAATATTATCTGAACGATTGTGCTTACTTTGTGTGTGCAGTGTATATATCACAACGGCAAGCACCTACAGGGCAGGTTAGTAAAAGGCACAGAATACAGATAACAAAAGCCCATAGTGAGATCGGTCTTACATATGCTACCATTATCGTATAATCATCAAGACCCCAGTTGCCACCTAGGTGCATAATTTTGGTAGCCATCCTGATCGAGAAAAACACGGTGGCAGCTAGGAATGGAACGAGTGTGCCAGCGTCTACTTCAGCGTATCGCGGCTTGATAGGAATGTTGCAGGCCCTAGAGCTGAGGTATTGCGCCGCTATATCATTTTAGAACGTTGAAAAGATATTGACAGAAGGCGAGGGGGCCGTACTCAGCGCTTCACTTGATGTGCAATGTGCCGTTGTGCATTTGGCAACTTCTCCCTGGAATACCTTGTCTGCACAGAGGCAGGTTAGGTCGTCCTTCGAGCATTGTGTCAGAGAGCCTGCGAGGACTTGATTTTTACAGTCGGCCTAAAACATGCGTTAGAGGAAGTTTTACCTTGAACAAAAAGCAGGAGATTAAGGGGTACATACAGCACACCGAGGAAAGACTTCTTCTCTAGGAGCCAAGTGCGAGGCAGCAAGCGGTGACGCCAGGGCTATTGAAGCCACGCTCAGTATCAAAAGGAAGCGCATTTTGATGTCAAAACTTCAACTGTCAGCACAGCAAAGCAGAGACTGCTTGAGAAGACGAGAAATATAGCCCGCCATCAGGTGAAGTGACCTGTGGGCGAGTTAGAACTATATGTTTGCCGGACATACGGCGGCAACATACTTGCTCTTTGCTTTTCTCGAAAGATGATAGAAGCATTTCGACCGCAGGCCCTTTTTCCCGAAATGAGCAGGGATCTTGACATCGGCTCCAACTTCGCGCAGCGACTATTGATCTTAGCGCCACCAGGCGAAAAAGGAGACCTGAACATTAATTTCCGAAGCCAATGGCTGGGTATAAACGCGATTCGATCGAGCAGAGATCACTCAATGATTGCCCATCCGCCACCGCTACTATCACACTAGCTATGCAGACTCTTTGCCCTCTCACGGGAGATGCGGAGAATAACTGGGTGCCTACCAATGAGTTAGGGCTGATCGACTGTATCCGGTAGCCTGGCTCGATGGTTTGCATACTCTGGGTATCTTCTAGTAGGTTGATGTATCATTTCGTCCCGTAACTCTTAGCGGCTTTGATCAGATGGTGTGTACACCAACATAAGCACTTCATCGACAAAAAAGCAACGAGGACCGTCGTAGAACACGTGAAACTAAAAGTCTCCTTGTAAGCCGTTAACCTCTACAGAGTAATGCAGTCGAGTTCATAACGGTGGAGATTCCTGTTTTGACAGCGCTGATAGTGTCTGAAGATCGCAAGTTCTTTGAATGAACTCTAGCCGCTCGCTATACAGGAGCTGGACTATTAAGTAGTATATGTTCTCTTCTGGTTAAATCGTAAGATCCATGTCCCTGAAGCTCGAATTTAATAGCAACAAAGCATCCGAAGGCTCGTCTTCCGACTGGTTTGTTGGCCGTGGAAAATTCACTAATATATTACTGGACAGGGATTAAAATACGGGGATTAAAGGGGAAGGCCGGCAAATGAACGAGAAAATCATCAGCTCTTTTTCCCTTTAAAGTTGCTAGGGAGTATCTTACTTGGTAGCTAAGTAAATAGCGTATCGATCACCTTGGCGATGAAATAGCTTCATCCCGGATAGAAATACGTTACGGTGTACTCCTTTAACTTTGGGTTATCTAGGTATAAAAGACTCTGCGTCTATGTTGTGAGAGCTTAGGCAACAAAAGATGTTAGATCATGTTGAACACTATAGTGCAGATGCTGTTGGCTCCTTTAACAGTTATTTAAATGAGACGGATCCCTTGCAAAGAATGAAAGAAAAACTCTCACCTACACATTTTCATCGCTATAGGCCTCTTAAATCAAGCTACCAAACCGAAGGTTTCGGTTGGACGGCTCGAGTCCCCCTTATTACCTTTATCCTCTAAGTTGAGGAAATATGGATAACTCTCGCGTACATATCACCGCTAGACGTGCTTCTAGGAGGTGTGCGCATTCGGATTGGTCTGTGTTCATTCATAAAAGATGTGCATCTCTGCGTCTATTCGACAAACACACCTTTCGGTAACAAACACGAGGGGGCCCAAAACGATCCCGAGATATCCTAAACTCCATAAGAAGGATGGTTTGCGTGTCTGAGAGCTAGTATATCGTATGTTGAGTGTTTGTACGGAGGATATGTCGAGGGACTATAACCACAGCTGAACCCGCCACGGTCGTTATCTGCAGGTGGCCAGGGCTCGGGGCTGTGGTAGCACAACCATGTTTGTAGAGTGATAGTCTGAAAATAACCACTCTATATAGATAAAGATGAGTCATGTAGCCCAGCCTTCATCTACTTCACGAAACAGGGCAGATGAAGGCACAGAGAAATGCTGGTTATGCGGCAACAGTGGAGGGAGGCGCTTATATACTTTGGTTGATCCGGTTTAGATCACTCTGATTGGCTGGTTGTTTATGTACAGGCATCGAATCTTGGCATTTAACACGGTTGGGTACGAGAAATCAGACATGGGATTCTCTCTCTGCGACGTGCTCAAGGGTAAAGATAAAAGTTGCGAAAACACCAGGATGGATATTCTCTGCGTATCCCCCTCCATTTAGGTGAATGGGTTACATAGTTAATGGTGGTAAAGCTGCCAGTGACTAGCAAGTCTGATAGCAGTGCAATCTTACCTCCCTTCTTCGAGCCCCTCGTGGTCAATAGCCTGGATAGCCCTCTAGCCTATCTGGCCGGTCAGGACATTATTATATGTGGCCTGTTCTCATATGTGCGTTGGAAATATACTTCTCCATTGGGTCGTTTGGGTTTGACCGGAGGGTATACCCTTTAACGGCAGAGGGGACATAATCTCGAGACTTTTAAACCTTTATCGAAAGTGTTAAAACTTTTCAAGGCCCCATATTCTCGCAGGAGAAAGAAGTTCAGTCTCAAGGTCAGTCGACTATATATATTTAGTCGATATGCTGCTGGACATACACTGTAGCGATGACATGGTTTAGAGCTTGGGAGAAGGGGTATATGTAAACACTCCGAAGTTGTTGGCTGGGATATTATTCTGTGCCATGACTTGAATACATAGTACGAGGAAGTACGGCTTAGGTGTCAATGTTCCGAATAATATCCGACGAAAAAGTTGATATCTGGGTTGATGACACGGGTGGTGGCCTTTGAACGCAATTTATATGGCCTTTTTGGTGAGATTTTGATATAGGTCGTTTTATCGCCGCTCAAGAAGAGTCATAGACTCGGAGATAGTGCATTGCCGCTGGCGTGTTCTAATACAATAACTACCTCCTAGGTAGTGATCCTCTATTCTATTAAACGTTATCATCATCATCGTCGCCGCCGTCGTCGTCATTATGACTTATCTCTGTCGCCATCGTGACTAGTCTCAAACCGTGGGTTGAGTAGTGATGACCAAGGATCAAATAGAAAACAGCGCGCTCAAGAGAAGTCACGATTTCAACGTACTAAGACCCTTCTTCATGCCCTCGATAGGCTGGAGAAGGAACAAAAGATAGATATAAGTACTATTATTTCTTTACTGCCTTGATGTCGAGCATCCCGAGGATGTCGAGAAATAACCCATCTACCAACGATTCGTTACCGCGTTCGCAACATATCTCAATCTACGGTAAACGAAGGTTCTATCGCCACCACCGCTCCCCACGGTAGGTCTCTTGCCCACTATATATATAACTTGGTCTGGCGCTGACCTTTACTTCTTTCATATCTATTCTCTTAACCTCCGATGATACTATCTTAATGGATACCCCATTCGGCGGCGTTATGTATCTCAGTAAAGACGATGTCTATCCCAGCAGAAGGCAAGCCTCGGAAATGGGTTGAATAGGGGGTCTGGTTTGGTCAAGACCCCGAAACTGTTCCTCTAGCTAGGACATATGGGTCTGCAATTTGGGACTGAAGGAAGTATCATTTGTTTTTTTCGGCTCCTCGACGATAATAAGATGGGCATTGGAGCAGCTGCACAGGGTTAATCTGGCGTGGTTATTCGATGTGCGAAGCCGGTTAGACATACGGAGTAGCTATCACTATACCCTTCCCGAGGTACTTGAAGTTCGTCAAACTTCGATGAGCATTGACCTGGTGGTTTATCCCAAATGTAAGGACTTTACTCTGTTAAGTTAGGCCGGTAAAAGGGTGGCATTTCAGCAATTAGGCGTTTAAGTTATAGATAGAGGTTAAAGCAGTAAGGAGTGCTGCCTTACCCGATTACAAACAATACCGGATTGGGGAATTGGGTGAGGTACAGAGTAAACGGGGGTGTCACCAAATGTGCTGTGTGGAAAAGGCGGCCCGTTACACTTCGTAGCCGAGCCACAACGCCCAACAAATTATCTGGGTCAGATAAATTCCTGAATGCATCTCTCTTAGATTGCTGGATATATACTAGAAGTAAGAGGGCAGGGCTTAAAGCGGGTATAACTCCGTAGAAGACCACAAGCTTGCGTGTGTGTTTGATATCGCAACTCGAACGCGAGGCCAAAGGACGAAAGAACCTCGGTAGTCATGAACCTGCGCGAGAAAAAAAAAAAAAGGCCATCCTCCGTATAGATGTATGATGCAGCAAGTGATATGGAAAGTTGAAACGGCCAGCGCATGTGTATATGTCGGCAGTTGAGTAAAAGGAATAACGTCCGGTGAGATAATAACTCATAGTATTATATAGCCGAAGCCTGGCCCAGCGATCTTACTATGTATAAGAGACAGCGCTGATCAAGCATATGTATGTTCCTCCCAACTATAGCCGGGCGTAGCACAGAGGAGCGGTCTATCCGTTTCACGAACGGTGCTCCGTCAACGGCCGTACTCTTTACAGGCCGTACAGGCCGATCGACGATCTGCCCATGTATAAGGCGTGGTTTATTGCCAGGGTTGAGCGCGTTGAAACGATCGAGAGATGCATCTTGCTGTCTGCATCGTGTCAAGATGCCTGCAACGGCGGAATATGCAGCCCAGCTTCCGATGCACAATGGAGGAAGCACAAAACCTCCGCATCAGGTCGTTCGAGCCTCTCTGCATGGTTGACTTTCGCTTGGTTCCTTGGTAGCGTGTGTTTGTTCGAACCTGAAACCAAGCCACGCGACAGCCAACCCCCCTGGATCGCAAGGTGGATTCATGTTGGACAGGCTGGAGTTGGCAGGATGATTAAACATCTTTTCTTCCTTATCTTAAAAAAAAAAAAAAAAAGCCTCGATCCACGTGGACTTGGGCGAAGTTCATGGCTTGTTTTCCCCTTTTTTGTCTGGTTGATGATGGCCCTTCGACTTCGATTATTGACATGGAAGGCCCCAGTTAAAGCATCCACTGTCGTTGCATCTCTGCCTGTATGGACAGAGTATCCATATCTGCAAAGAGGACGGAGTACTCCGTAAAAAACTGCCTCCTCAAAGGGCGAAAGACGATATCGGCGACATTTGCCAGCACAGCGACGACCCTCAGACGGTGATATATCAGTTTCCCATGTGCAAAGACGGGAACGTCCGAGATCAACACAAGAGTCACTGCGTAAGCCTCTTTCTTCTCTTCTCTCTCGTTCCTTTTGACTGTTCCGTGTCTCTTGCGTGTTCGTGTTTCATCGTAGACGTCCAATGCAGGCGATAACAATGTCCGCCATGCCAGCGCTCTGTCCCTTAGGCGCACCCAGTAACTGGTTTTTAGTAGAAAAATAGTCAGTATGGAGAAGAACCAGGGAAAAGAAAACCGGAAGAAGCAAAAATAAAAATAAAAAAAAAGGAGTTCAAAACTGACCAGTTGGATACGAGAAAGAAGAATATAATGTCACCCTTTTTTCTTTTTATTCGCCTCCCCTTGGACAGGTTTCTGAAACAGCGTCCCTCGACTCGCTCTCCTCCTCCTGTGTCCGCTCGTCCTGCTTTCGACCTTCGACCTTCTCCCGCTTCTTCTTCGTCCTCGTCTTCGCCCGTCTTTCCGGGGCTAGAAATCTCTTCAGATCGTCTCGTCCCTTTTTCCCACTCCCGCCATCTGCGTCTCTAGAAACAAGAATTAACCGGTCGTCTTAGCTGGACTTAGCCCCCTTGTTCCAGGTAGAGAAAAGGATAGATATTCTCCATCCGGCTGCCCAACCACGGGTCTCGTAAATCATCCCATTGGTTGCCCTGAAGAGGAGAAAGTGGGCGACCCAAGGTTAGTTCTTCTTCTTTGCTTCTTCTTCGTCGTCTTCCTCTTCTTCCTCTCTGGCGCAGTCAAAGCGGACAGACCCGAAGGCAATAAACACATCACACCAGCTAAGAAAGCCCCTGACAAGAGAGGACAGAAGAGAAAAGAAACGGCGCCAAAAAAGACAAGTCGATCATATCCCTTAAGCTCATTAGCAGGAAAATATAATACCCACCCAAGGGCTCGTTTCCACGGTTTGCCAGCCAGGTCAATCGACATAGTAGTACTTGGTGACTTAGCACGGGAGTAGTGTGCATACATATATATATACGTCCAACTCTCCCCCGCGAACGGCCGCCACCCCCCCTAGATACCGATTCAACCATGTCTCCCGCCCAAGACGAAGCCGACGCCCTCCTAGACCACAAGCAAAAGCCATCAGCCCACCCAGAAGACCTTGCACACTTCTCTGGAGACGAAGACAACGACGTCGACCGCAGCGACGAGGAAGAACACAACGAGAAGCGCACCAACGACGCCGCCGCAGACTCAGACGAGAGCGAGATCGACTTCTCCAGCACCATGATCTCCAAGCCAGCTACATACCACATCCCTTCTACCATCTACGACGCCAACACGGGGCCCAAGGGCGTCATCGCCGATGCACAGTCCTTTGAGCGTGCGAAGAAGCGCTCGTTCCGACGCACCCTGACCTCTCCCGGCGCATTCGACTACAGCAACCCTTTCTCCCGGGGACAGACCAACACCGGAAACGAGAAACAGAGCAAGAACAGCAGTAACAGCAACTATATACGTCGTGGCGCCAGTCCCGGTGACTCTGAGGACAGCGACGAGGACGAGCGGTTCATGCGCCAGTGGAGAGAGGCGCGCATGCAGGAGCTTCAGAACAAGGCTACTCGTCGAGTCAGCCCGAGCAAGAGACGGTATGGCACCGTCGACACCGTCGATGCCACAGGGTACCTCGATGCCATCGAGAAGGTCACCCCAGACACCGTCGTCGTCGTCTGCATCTATGATCCAGAGGTCAGTCACTATCCCAGCCACCCTACACCCACCTCTTAAAGTCCTTTACTGACAGTGTGTGATAGTCTACCGAAAGCTCGATAGTAGAAGACTGTCTTATCTCGCTTGCACGTAAGCAGGCTACCACGCGCTTCGTCAAGTTGCACTACGAGATCGCCGAGATGGACCATGTCACCGCCCCGGCCCTCATCGCCTACAGAAACGGTGAAGTCTTTGCCACCATCATCGATGTCCTAAGCCAGATACCGGATGGACGGGGCTGTAGCTCTGCTAGCATAGAGGCCTTGCTCATGCAGTATGTTTTAGCCCCTTTCCTCGACCTCTTTTTACACTTACTAATTCGATACTCTACAGACACAAGGTTCTCTAAACACACATTAATCTCTCTTTTTTTTATCTCAACGTCATGATTCCCATTTTCCACTCATACCCGTCATGCATTTTCTGTATCAATATTCATCTCACATCATACCCATCGCTTTTTTCATTTTTACTTTCATTTTCTTTTTCAGTCACTCTTACTGTTCCTTGGGAGGTGGATAAGCGCCGGTGCACCTGGTTGGTCTCATGGAGGTGTTGCTTTTCTTTCACGCCTTGATTCTTTACTCTGGCAGTATGGAACCTGGCACCAAAAACATGGAGGATCTTTCTTATTTCTTTTTTGCCCCCCCCCCCATTATTTTCTTTTAATTTTCTTCGGTCATGTCTCTCTACCTTTGTTAACCGTGATGATTATTCCCCATGCACAGGCAGTACTGCTATGGATTTACAAGCAACACGATCTTTTCGATGACTAGCTATAAAATAATCTCTATATCTCCATGTTTCCTCGATCACTTCGTATAGTCGTACTTGAAGCGGTGAAGAATAGCCGACTCGAGGTTCATAACTAACATCAACTCCGATAATAGACGGGTAAAGATATAGCTGCAAGAAAGGCAGCACAAGGAATACTAAAATATGCAAAAGGGCCTAGGTTTCGAAATTATCAGAATAGGTGTAAGTCTTCGTCCAGTTTGTAACGCCACTTTTATAGATGCCAACTGATTTGGGGTGGTTCGGTGGGTTTCGTTACTCTGCTCTCTCCACCTTTTGTCATGTTTTGGTTCCTTTTCTGTTCTCTTCCAAGACGGTTTGGTTCTCTATCTAGATGGCATTAAACTATACTACTCCCTTTTCTTGTGTAAAGTCCCAGAGCATCCTTATCAGAGTGTCGGGGAGGGTATATAAGTCAACATGGAATTCTCCCTCTGTGTCGAGTTAGTTCAGCAAGCGGTCGAGAGGGGCAGCTTGAAGGGCTGTGAAAAGTTCTTACGTTCAATATCATTCTTGGTATACGAGTCCGAGGACTTATTGTCATGTACCATCTGGACAACCTGGAGCAAATCGTCTTCTCCCAGCTTCTGCAGACCGTCTGCTAACTTATCCATATCGATCTGAACACGGGAAATCAGCAGACATTTTTCATCTTATCTTTGTATAGAAGCAAACTTACGTTCTTATCGACTCGTTTCTTCTTCTTAGAGGCATCGTCCTGGCCTCTTTTCTTCACTCCATTCTCGTCGCCTGGAACAGGGCCGGACTCACGTAGCAGGGCCAGGAGCTGTGGTTTAGGGTTTTTGAACGTCTACGCCGGATAACGTTAGAATGGTGTTGAGTGAGGTATATAAAGCGGTGATACATACAATCACATGCTTTGATTCATACTTGTTGGACTGGAAGTTCAGGTCATGCGTGATGAGGTGATCCTTATCTGCGGCAGTCAAGGAAATCTGCATATCAAATTCTCCCCATCCTTCCTCCTCAATTCTGAACGGAGGAGATTTTATAGCTACCATGGATCAGCAATTTGCTCAGTGACAAGAAGGAGGCGCCAGGCAGTTAACGTACCCTGCGTAGCTCTGTCACCAAAACTAGGATGTAGGTTGTATGTTACTTTTGGGAATAAGGACGCGGGAATAGACTCTCCATGCTCGTTCAGGAGGTATATCTCGACAGACCAACGGCGGAGTGGAAAGCCTTCAATACCGGAATTCGGGTCCCTGTGAAGAAGCATATCTGATTAGCCTGTGTCTTCGTTGCCCACGGATCGAGCATGGAAACTATATCCTCGGACTGTAGGAGAGTCCAGCGCATCGTCGATATAGATGTAACCACCACCACCACCCACGGTAGAGCATGCAGGTATCAACAGGCATCATGCGCCAGACAGCCGCGTACATCCAGACCATGTAGCCACCGGCTATTCTCAACCCATACAATGAAAAATCGCAAGATAATGAAGAGAGAAAGAAAAGGGTGTACGAACGATATACGTGACTCCGTGACGATTTTAATAGTGCGCTTGACCTAATAGTTATAGGAAGCTGGGTCAGCATTTTCCTATCTTCCACCACCCCCGCCGCGCCTATATGCAGACGCGATTTTGACCTGAGCCCGGCGAAACAGGTCGGGATTGACATCGCATAGGCCATCGAGACACTTACATCCGGCATCTTGAGCTTTGCCTGTCCTTTTTCCTCTGGCAAGTGCCTTAAATGTGTCCCTGCTCGGAGTCGCTGATGCTTGTTGAAAAGACAAGGTGTGGGAGGGGGAGAAGGTCGTTTTTTTTCCCCGTTCTGCTTTCAAGGTCCTGCTAGTGATATTAATGAGAGGAGACCACACAGGCTCACATTGAGTAAGGAAAAGGAGAATAAATGGGGAGAAGAGCAGCTGGATATCTAGCCGTATATAAGTCTTGCTTCTTTTTTCTCTCTCTTCGTGATGGACGCTCTTCTTTTTGGTGGTTGGAAGTTTTGTATGAGGTAATCATCTTTCTTTACTCGAAGGAAAGAAATGTTATATATATAAAAGGAGAAACACGGTGAATCAACATCGATAAATGTTTATTGACTACATGCTTAGAGAGATACGGAGAAGTAGATAGGCTGGAATAAAAGACATCGATTTGTTACGACGATTATTATTCCCCCAAAAGTACGGAGAATGCCATATCCGCTCTATGACGGCCGGGTCAGGGAAGCGGGAAAGGGGGGGGCGACTAGCTCATTGAGCTCCTTATACATAGGGAGGATAGAGCATCTCATCAAGGGGTGCAGTGTCAGGGCATTGCATCGGGGTAGGTTGGATTCATGGATTGCATGGTGGGATATGGGAGGATATGATGGGCATGGGGGGGATGTGATGGATAGTCTTTAATTTCTAAATAGAAGTGTGACATGGGTACGGGCTCTTGAAAGATGACGGTATGATAGCAGTGTGATTTACCTTGCTAATCATCAAATGTAGGAAGGATATTGGTGCTAAACGGTTATGTTTTTTGATGGCGGGTTTTGACTGTCATTCTTTTTTTTGTTGCCTCCTCTCTCTCCAAATCTCCTTAAAAATCCAATGGTATCCTATTAGGAAGCATGGTTGATCTATTCCTTGCCGAAGAGCAAGGCGTTCTCTTCCTGGGCTTTTTCGAAGGCTTCCTTGAAAAGAGCAGCGTCTAGAAATACAGTAAGCACTTGACCTTGAGCCTTTGAAGGAAAAGTGTAAGAAAGAACTCACTTTCGCTGTTGGCAAAGCGGATAGCCAGTGTTTGGGCCTCTGGTTCACCCTCGCTGACATCTGCAGCGGCATTCCACACCCAGCTTCGATCACTACCGACGTTTGGTGCCAGCTTCATATCAGGCACAACTATCACACAGATCAGCATTCACTCCCTTTAAATGTTTACAAATTAATATGCTTACCATAGTGGTTAGCGCAGACCTTCAAGGTCTTATCTCTTCGCATAAGAAGTCTGGTCTTGTGGTTCTCCTTGTGTTTCAACAACTTGACATCACCAGTTCCACGCTCCTTCCACTCCTTGCTCTGCCTGTCGAATCTGAAGAGTTTGGCGCGCATCTTAAAGGTCTGCTCTTCGAGCTCCTCGTTGGTCTTGATCTCAACCTTCTCAGTCAAGCGGATGACTGGCTCAAAGTGCACATCTGGCTCCGCCTCGACGTCCTTTAGGGGCAGTTAGCAAGCGACAAGACACTAACAGTTGATGACAATAATAAAAGGAAAAGAAAACTCACATCATCGTCTTCAGCCTTCTTCTTGGAAGAACCAGATGGCTCCTCAGCATCGTCCTCCTGCTCCTTTTTCTCCTTGGGGGGACCACCGCCGAACATAGAGAAGACGGAGTCAGTCGTGGCGGGCTTGCTCTCCTCCGTAGCAGCAGGCTTGTCACCCTCTACGGCAGCGGGCTCCTCGGTCTTCTTGGAGGCATCTTCCGTGGTCTGTTCGGTGGTGGTGGTCTCTTCTTTCTTTTCCTCAGGGACGGCCTCTGGAGGGGCAGTGGTGGTGGGGTCGGTCTTTTGGTCAGCGTCAGACATAATGGCAGAGGGACAGAGAGTGACTGAAAAGAGAGAGCTGGTTGTAGAGTGACGAGCTGATATATACACTATACAAGGCTTGATAATGCTATATTTTCCTTAGATTAAAAAGGAGGAAGAAGAAGAAGTTGATGTTCGAACTCGAAGGAATAAAAAAAGGTGGAAGGTTTGGTTTGGGACTAGCGCGGGTTTTTTTTTATATATATTATTTTTTTGCCCCTGGAGAAGAGAAAGCTCCACCACCCAAGCAACAGTTCGCATCGGAGGGATGGGATAAGTATATATAGTGGACTTATTCCCTACAAATCATGATCAATGATAAACGGCTACGGTGCTACTGCAAAAGGCATGTATAAACCAAGCGTTATTCATACACTTTTCATTCCAGGGTTCCTCCGTTTTCAACACTACATGACTGTATAACTGATGTATTTATTTACATAGTTAATATTAAGTTGACAATGTAGGGTTGTTTCATACGTCTCGGGACTTAGCCCCCAGAGAGAACCCAAAAGTGGGAACTTGAGCCCGGCTTGCCCTTTCTTGTGCGGCTGACAAGATACCATGGACAGCTTGCTGCGCTGATTTTGCTTTCTGCTTTAGCTTGCTCAAGGGAGAGTCCAAGCGTCTCATCGCATAATGATATAGGCTATTCGAAAGGGTCTTTGACTTGGTTACCGCGTTTCTTGCAAGGTTGATAATATCATGAAGTGAGTCGTTGATAGGGGTCGTTTGATTAATATTCCGGCCCCATATATCACGGAAGTTTTTGAAGTCAAAGGTAAGTTTAATGTATACCTTTGGTAGCTCATTCTGAGCATCACTGAGGTTTTTACGGAGGGCCAGTGATAGTGACTGAGTGGCCTTCTTCCAGCTAGCTATTTTCAACCATGGAGTGCCGAAATCAACATTGGTAGTTTTGTTGATTGCTGGCCTTGAGCGTGAGGAGACAATCACGTTTATCGGACCATATGCATCCTCGGGAGCGAGCCGGAGGGCAAAAACGCCATCGAAGAGCTTATAAAGATCAAATAGGAGGCTTTTATCAGCTCGAGTCACTTTGATATCAAACTTTGAAACATTCTTCCCTGATGCAAGTCGAGCCGGCAACCGGACAATTACATGATAGTCGCCAACGACATGGACTTGTACATCTTCTGTTTCTTCCTTGCTCTGAATGTTTGCACAGGATAGCTGCGAGATGAAGTCATCCATGTTCTGACGTGCTCGGGAATTGGATCCAAGGTACTGTACACCCTCTGGTGAAGTCGAGAATACTGGAGAATTCTCGCATAGAACTGGGGTGGCGATGGGGGTGATTATTGTTTGAATCGTGCCAGTAGCCACACTTTCGTGGGCTCTAGATGAGAGTCCGAGGAGTTGGGCACAGCCTTGGAAGACAACAACCGCTACGGGTTGGAGGTACATGAAGACAGATCCTAGTGCCATAACAAGACTGATCGCCATAAAAAGACATATAACCAACATCATGAAAGGAATAATGACTTCATGCATGTTCTCGTCAAGCAATGACATAAATTTCATCAGAAAAGTTTTTTGTTTCGGGCATTTCTGTTGTTTGATAGGATCCTGGTGATTTCCAGTTTCCGGCTTGGGGCGAGGAGGAGACATGGCATTATTTCGAAGAGCATCATAACGTGGGGTGCTTATAACCTCCGGTAGCGCAGCCCTGTCGGCCTCGCTTAGGCGATTCAGTTGTGAGAACCTGATAGGGGTAGAAGCTGAGTCCTCATCACCTTGTACCTCGGGAGCCTCATCGTCCTGGTCTTCATTATCAAGTTCATCTAGGCTTGAAGTTGAGACCCAGCCATCAGATTGCATGTAGACTCTGCTTCCCTCAGCTACACGTTGGCCTTCCCCATATTCCTCATTAACTAAGTCCGGGGTTGAACCCCAGCCTGACGGAATGGCAACACTGCTCCCACCGTCAAGCTCATCTTCGTCCTCATACTCGTGCTCGACATCGTCGTAGTCGTCGTCGGTATGGGTCAGGGACGGAGTGACAAGGGATGGCGTTTCAGATGTGCTGCTAATTTCATCTACGTCTGTGATGCTGCCTTCGCTGCTTCCGTAGTTCGAATCAACACTGAGAGTATCGCTTATCATGCTATTCCGGATGAAGGATATACGGTTTGCACCGATAGGACGGTTATGTGAACGAGAGTCAGGCTCGCCGACTACTGCCCAGCTGGTGCTGCTCATGGGGCTGCTGGGTCGCCCGTCTTCCTCCTCCATAGCGGGTTCTGACGTCATCGCTTCTTAGAATCGGCGGCTGTTATCAAGGGAGATGTAAGCGCTGGAATCCCTCCGCGTTAGCTGCTGTTCAGGAAGAGAGACTTCAAGGGCATGGAATGGGGCAGATGAGAAGTAGGGAAGCTGTGGCTGGCTGACTTTTAAATACAATAACAAATATAAAGCGGAGATAGCCGGCTATAGAGGATGCATAAAACGATAGACGACGCACACTTTACCTTTTCAGCTCTTCGAGTTGTCTTTTACGTATCTGATAGTAGGATTCGGTATGATATGGCCAGTTGTTTCAAGTTAATATACGTGTTTTGTGCGTAGGATGAGCTGGTAAGGTAGTTGCCAGGAGCACGCGGGGAGGCCCAAGCGAGGTTGGACGGCGAGTGAATAGTTCTCTGTAGATGTCTGCCACGTTGTTAGGCAGCCAGCAGTTCCAGCTCCTCTGGAGACGTTCTGTCGCTGAGAGCTACCGTGATGTTCTTATCGAGTTGTTGGTAAAAAGAAAAGAAGACGAAGAAGCTGAAGTAGAAGAAAGTGCTTTGCCTTAGCTAAGCCTGCCTGGAAGAGCCGGCGATGACGTTCAAGGCGTTAAAAAGAGACGCTCAATAGCCGCGAGGGACCGCATCTAGATGCATAGAGAGCTTGGTCTATGCAGAACACATACGATATTTCTTACTAGTACGATTATTCATTGATAGTATTAGATTAATTAAATACTGAAATAAAGTGCTCGTAGAGGCACATCTATCTTCAACTATAGCTATCAGCAATACAGTTGTAGCCCAAGTAGGAGACTTCACCATGGACAGTTAGTTAGATGTTGTCTACACTTGATCACCAAGGACAGTGAGGGGTTATTCTGCGTAGTTTCCCCTGACTATAAAGACCTTATCCCAGGGGGTAAAGCAGGTTTCTCCCCTTCTGCTATCCGGATTTCCAAAAGGCCGGTTTCCGAACTGTAGACTTCAAGAGGTTCGCCGTACTCCATCACAGTGTTAATGGGGATTCTGAACAAGCTTGCCAGTTGCCGCAACTTATCTTCGGGGTCCCTTTCCCATTTTCTAGCTCTTCGCGCACGTCTTGTTTCCGAATATCTCTAAATACCCCTTTTTTGTGGAAAGCGATGATGAGAGTTGGAATCTGAGAAACCCAAAGACGGGGGTTGATGCCAGCCCTAGTGTCCTTCATAACAAATCTAGTTCCCAACCCTCCCATGTAACGAGTTTTGATATCACGGACATCGTTTTGTGGGATTCCTCGTTGTTTATCCTCTTCAACCGTAAGAGCAGACCTATCCGGAATCTTGTTGGTATCGATTGAGGCGTCGGCCAACGCGTCAAGCGGGGACCTAGAATTAGGGGTGGCCCTGGCTTTATGTTCCTCCTTTTCAATAAAACGGTCGGATTGAAAACGGACAGCAAAACGTAGGCCCCTAATTTTATATTGAACGATTCACTGGTGAGACGTAGAACCCTTTACATCAGTGCCCCAAGCCGTGTACTCATCAACAAAGTTATGGCCATAACCACGAATGCCCGGTATCAATAGAGTAGGGGAATTCTCTCGACGAACGAAGAACACCGTTCCTCCAACTGCTTCCATGACGAACCTGAAGGTCTGTTCTACTCCGTGGACACAGTGCGATAGGTTCCCGAAATCACTTGCGCAAGTGAATATGTCGATGTCATGAGTGGTAATGTCGGGGTTCTGATGCAGCACTGCTTGCGCCCGCTGGCTGCATAGTAGTATACTTAGCATACCTTGCGGCATTTGAATCCCGAAAGTATTCCCCTTTATCTGGCATGAGCTGTCGTGGAGTGACGGGAGGGTTCCAAGTAGCGTGTTTTCCTAACTTGTGCGAGCTCAAGAGATAAATCTCAATATAAGATAAAGCTCCTACCAGGAATGAGTATCGTCGGCGCTGGCCTGTCTAGCGTACTGTATGAAGCTAGATATTTGCATTCGCTGATCTTCGGTTCGGCTGAAGAACTGAAACAGGTTTTCACTCTCAATCGTTTGAAACAGTCTTCCATTTGGAAGAGGAGCTGCATGGTTGTGACCAACAGGGGTAGATGAGCAGGTTCGGCTGGCGCCTCTACGGCGCCATGACGAGGATGTATAGGATATTTTGCGTGCAACTGTCAGCCCATCTCATGGACCATGAAGTATATTGCCCATTTGTGCGATATGAAGTTTATATATCTTTGGAAAATCAGTAATTGCCTCTTTGTTTGATGAAAATATGTAGGTAGGTATAGCCTGTAGTGCTGTCTCGGTGAATTCAATCTGCCTATAGGTTTCTCAGTCACGGCCGTGACAGGTCCAGCTGATTCTATCCCCGAAGGGCACCTGTAATCATAACACTTCAACGAGTTTTAATTTCGTGTACCTGTGAAATTATTCGTCAGTGATCGCTGCGATGGTTCAAGGTTGACATCGTTGACACACCCAGGGGAAATTTGCAGCTCCGGGGTCCCAACACTGTATCTAGCGAGTATATCACCGCAGGAAAGCCTTACTTTATCCGATGCTTGTTTTCTGAATGCTTGAACTGTTTCCATTATTCATGAGGTTTGTATGTATTCAATTACTAGGATTGGGTATGTGAATAAGAAGGGCGGAGATTTTGTCCCTTGACATGGAAGTAGAGACAACAGATAGACGAAGAAGGGTGAAGGGAGCAACAGTTTACAAAAAGAAGCAAAGGGAGAGAAATAAGATAGGGAGAAGAAGAACGAGAATTGAAACACAAAATTTTATATAGAAGTAGGAAGCGAAAAGAAAAGATTCAGAAGAAAGTCTGGGAATAATTTTGATTCAAGAGTCAATCAACAACTGATAGCACCAAAGCCGTCTCATGGAAAGGAGGGGAAAAGCTGATAGATACTGTTTCCCTTTTTTCCTGGCATGGCAAGTCTATCTGCATATAACGAACGGCTTTCAGCGTTATGGACGGTAAGCAAAGGTAACCTTTTATTCCTCTGATGGCATCGTAGTTGAGACCCATATCAAAGTAGGACATTGCTTAATTCCATGCCCGGTATGAATGGGACAGCTGCTTTTTTCTTTATCGTTTCTTTTATTATTATGTCTGGATGATCGTTTCCGGTGAGTTGGCAAGGGGATAGCGAAAAAGTAAAGGGTAAGGCATCGAGCCAAAGAATTGTATTAAATGATATTGTTGGTCAGCAGCTGATGCTAGCTGTGAAGCCCTTCTATCTCATGTCATGGAAAGGCGATGGAACGGGATCGAAAACTGGAGCGTTCTAATACCCTTGATACCATCCGCGCTTTTGAGGCGGAAGAAAGGAAGGCAGGCGAAAGTCGGAGTTGGCTGACAAAAATAAAGGTTGTGAAAAACACAAGTCATAATATACCTTCGTGGCCCAGCGCTGCGGACCCGATTGTATAGGGGCGTAGCCAGTGTCGCGCTGGCAGAGGAACAAAAAAAAGAGAAGGAAGAGAAAGGTCGTCGTTATTTACGGCGACGCCCATCCTCCTGCAACCTTTACCCAATCTGCGAGACAGCTACCATGTTTGCCTTCCACATCCACAATATCAGTATCACAGCGGCATCTACAGCCGACACCATTCTCCTTGGGTGGGTCAGGGGAATCCCAGTATTCGTCTTCTTCTTGACGGAGCTTAGGATCTAGTGTGGTTTGTTCCAGGTATGGATCTCGTACGCGCTGCCTGGCGGGAGCATTGGCGGGGCAATGCTGGATGGTAGTGTGGCGGTATCCAAAGTCTCTGAAGTAATGGATATCTGCTGGAGACAAAAGTGCGCCAGCAGCGAGAGAGTGAATAGGTGCGTCTCCCCACTAGAGTGTAAATCCATATTAGTTTGTGTACAAGTGGGGAGAGATATATAGCTAAGGTGGCGTGAACTTACTCTTTCATTCCAAAACCCGCCACTCCTATCCATCATTTGGAAGAAGTCTTCATACGCCTTGCTACGGAAGAAATCCAAGCGTGCGATTTCGAAATTACTCCAGAAATGACACATATTGTACGTCTCGCCTTCCATAGCCTCTGGGTCTACATCTTTGAGGCCTGCGGCACCAGGCTGAGTTTGAAGAATCTCGTCTGGGAGGACGTTGGCATCTTCTGCTGGCTTTTCTTCCTCCACGGGGTCTTCAAGGAACATTTCCCATAAGCCCTGTGAGGTGATATTGTTTGTTCGTTTGTAGGCAGACGCGTAGCGGAATATGTTCGGGACAGTTTCTTTAAGTTCTTTGACAGCGATTGTGAAGCCGTATGTCTTGTTGTTCTTTGCCATTTCCAGGAATGGGTCGCTAGTTGGCGGGTGTTAGTTATAGAATCCAAATCGGGAGAAACTAGGACAACTAACTAGGTAATGTCGCAGAAATATTTGATCTCTGGTTCCAAACGCCAATACCACTCGTATTTTTGTAACAGTTCGTGTTTGTAGAAGAAGCTAGATGGAGAAAGGCGAGTAAGTATCAGGTAGCGTGAATATAGGGGCAGTCGAACACGAACCCAGAGTAGAATCGACACATGTGGTGATAGCTCTCCATCCCTCCGTACATGATAGCTGCATCTCCCTGTTTACGAATACCTTCCTTGGCTACCTCAGCATCGGTCCAGTCAGGGTATCCCCACATCGAGGAATCGATTTTGCCAAACTCCACGCTGGACTTGGTGTAGTTGGTGATTGTTTGTCTGAAGTTCTCGTCAAAGTCTCCATCATTGAGGAAGACATAAGGATAGTTGTAGTACCGATTGAAGTGGCGCTCGATCGACTTCATGGACTGGATCACACCCTCAAGCTCTTTATTCCTGGCTAGGACGACGAAGGCGGCGTTCGCTCTTGGCTGGCTGGTGTCGATTTCTCTACAGCCTACTTCAAACACTTTATCATATTTCTCGCTGATTTTTCTATTTTATCGAATTCAAGATCATCAGTATCGTTCGTCAATTGGAGAACAAGCCACTGTTGGAGTCCATACCTTATAGAAGGAGGAGTGCCAGTGGGCATCAGCATCCCACCAGGCGAAGAAGGGTGAGTAACGAAGAGGAGGACAATAAGGATTATTACAATGCATGGAAATAGTAAAACAAGGCCCAGGGGGATCGAAATGGAAGAGTTCCTCCGTAGTCGTATGCGCCGTTTAAAAAAAGCGAACCTCGATATTATCGTCCCCTTTTCACTGACGAGATTATCTTCCAACGGCGAGGAAGAGAGTATATTAGGGACTCCCTTTGTGAGTCGTTTCATGATCCCCATGATGGCGGATTGTGTATATGACGACGCTCAGAGAAGGACGAGGCGGATAAATCAAAAAGGAGGAGCTGCTCAATTCAGGAAAGCTCAGGACGCCTTCGAGCTTCTGCCTAGGACAAGTCTTTCGCTTGATAGACAGTGGAGAGGTTCAAAACGAGTGACGGGTCAATGGGTGAGACTGGGCGACCGGAGACGAAGCAGGAATGCTCAGACAGCAGACGGGAGGTGAGTCGAGTAACGCAGAGCCATCGAGTTGATGTCGCGAAAAGTGTCACAGATGAGTTCGACTTGTTTTTGCGGTCCTCGTCTTCTGGTTAGAATTGTTGGATTGTTGCTCGTTGTTTTTGAGCGGAAAGACAAAAGATGAGAAAGAAGAAATTCCGAAGGAGGAAACGCGCCAAGACTTCGACCTCCCAAAAAAAAAAAAGGGAGAACGAAAAAAAAAAAGGATCAACAACTAATGATAAGGAATAATAAATCAGAGTGTCCACCACATTCGTTGTGACCTTTGGACGTAATATACGCGCGATATAATTCTATACTTAGTTTCACTGCTGCTCGAGAAATAGAATAAAATAGGTAAATATTTAATTTATTAGGAGTTTTTTTACTATTACATTTAATTGTAAGCCGTTGGTTGTAGTCTTGTTTGCACTGTTTGTCATGCTTACTCATCTGTCTCCGATATTTATTGTTCCATACGAGTCACATGTACATCGCTTATATAAGCACAATTACGCGCAGTTAACAGCGAGTCGATCCTAACACTTGACAAGGGTTTGCACGCACCTTTCAACCGCCTCGGGGCTTTTGTTTGAGATTAATAAAGTCAGATCAAATCCGATAATGGCCCTGTTTGGCTCGAATAGTTGGATACCCAATATGCCTTGACCAACAAAGTCTCGCCGACCAATTTAGATAGTGCCACAGTGAGGCGTCAGGAGAAAGCATCACAGAAGGTGATGCAGCAGCCTACAGCAACCGTGGCCGCAGTGGCAGCGGCAGATTTTAGTCTAGGTCACCGATATTGACGGCTTACCAAAGGCAGGATAACACCCGCAAGGGGACTAAGACGGTTTCCCAAGACGGGCTGAAACCATGCTAACTAACCGAAATAATGGCAGCATATGCTCATGAGCTTGATTGATTTGACTCATTTCTTTCCTGGGATACTATCTTTCACGACAGGTTGTTGCCACCAGTTAGAAGGACGGCAGAAGGTGGTAATAATTGCTCAACTGGGCTCATCAACTTCCCTTCTATGCCAGCAGACGCAGGGATGGGCCTTGGTCAGCAGTTAGCAGTAGGAATCAATGTGCGCTGACAGCGGTGCAAAATAGTACTGGTGGTGTAATGAGGCAAAAGCTGCTGCTGGCTGGAGGGGCAATTCCAAGGTGAATTAAAAAATATGTCGCCGGCTATCTTTACCATCCAGCATCAGGCCTTATTACTACTCAGATTCTCGAAATCACTACTCTCTCGTTTAGTGCACTACATACACGCTTAGAAGCTGTCCGAACGGTTATGGCAATATATCAACCCCGGTATTATGGAGCAACAACGCTTGTTTCGACACATCTTCTCTCATGGAGGATATAACACTGCTCTTTAGCTTTCAGAGCCTTTGCTAAAAAGAGCAAATTAAATCTGCCTACAGTTAAAGGCAACTATTAACTTTGATGGCTGTTTTTGTGACTCCGCCATTTACCGTGCCTACAAGACAGCTACTCTTTATCTCCCACCCTCAATGATAGATCAAGCAGTTGGAGAGGCACTATTATACCCTTTTCTGGCAATGTTTACGATAATTCAATGGATAGGAGTAACGCATTAAGTTACAGATAAGCGTGCGCATTTGAACAATTCCGGTACCTTTGGAGAATAATCAAGACGACTCTATCCATACTCTTTGGCTGATGAAGCAGCAGGTGGGAGGACGTTGAGTCCCAGTAGATGAGGCAAGGAGCCATAATCATTGTATTGAGGGCGTTGTATTTGATGAGAGTGCGCACTGCGCTTTACCTCGAAATTACCTAATACAATATTGGAATGTGATTGAACAGTTCTGGAAAGCTGTTTAGTGTCTCTGGAGTGAACTCCAACGTCGCAGTTGTCTTTGACATATTATGTTTATATATGTATGACACGTCTCTTAAAATTTACCTATTTTTCTATACTAACAAGTGTAGGCTCTCTATCGACCTGTGCGGTAAACCTGCCCCCCAGAAGAGTGTACACGATTATCATAAATATGGGTCTTGTATAAGCCACCTGCTACAGAACAGCATTTGGAATAACGTCAGGCTCGTATCCCGAACGCCTAGAACCGGCGGCTATTCCTTTCCCCAGTTAATTACAATATTTCTCCCAATAAGTGTTGAACGCTGAGCTAACTCCACTTGATCATTAGAGGGCGGTTTCATGTGACGGATAACTAGCTACAGCCCAAACCCAACATGTTATAACGGATAACAACCTACTACGTCGGCATTCACAGCGATAGTAATCGGTCTAGAGTTGTGACATATAACTACAAACTTCTACTACGTACATACATAACTATTACTTTGCACCTCCATAATTAAGCCTCCCGAGCCCCCGAGTCAAAAGGCTGCGCCAAAGTCTAATAGTAGTTGGTCATGGAATTTTCGATGTTGCGACACGCTATCGTTGTAAAGAGAAATGGACGTAGGTCTTCCGTTTCAATATGCTTAGGCCGTTTCTTCACGTTTCTCTTTAGCTTTAGTCTCTGACCTTTTGGCTTTTAGATTTAGGTTTGGCTGAAGCTTTGTTTTGCTCCAGTTGGCGTGACCCATGTTGAGCCTCACGCTGCCGAGAGACCTAAGGGCGGTCGATGTCAGGAATCCTTGGTGTCAATCTCTCTCGGTCGCACTCAGCATCAGAACGCCACCACGCGGACGAGAGAACCGTCACAATATTCTCCGAATTAACTAACTGGTTACTTGAGATAGGTCTGAATTTAAATACCCAATACAATATTCATGTAACATATATAGTTCAGAGTATAGTCTTTACGGCTGAGCCGCATATTCTAGGTTTGTGGAACCTAGTTAACGAGTTTAATGATGCGGGAAGAACCTAAAATTTAAACAGGAACATTCGCCAACAACATCGATAGTCATGATGGCTTTTTAAGGAATGAATATCTCTATGAAATTAATGTTCCCCATTCCTTTTAAACTTGATGGTAAAACTTGTCCATGATTTCCTTGACTCGATCAAGCGGCAATGCCTCAACTGTCCGTCCTTGGTAGCCGGTCATAGTCTCAGCCATACATAGTGCATTGTATATGGCCTCTTCAGTCACGTCTGCGGTGGCATCAAAGAGGTTATCGATCGTTGAATCTTCGATAACTTGAATAGTCAATGGTGTCGGTCCACAACCTGGTCCAAAAACATCTTTATCAACTGGTATAGAATTTCCCGTTGAGAAAGCAAGAAATATGTCTCCTGAGATATTATGGCCGTGACCTCCAACACGAGCCAAACCAACTGTTGCACGCTTCGCAATGCGCTGTAACTGTAAGGGATGAAGCGGTGCATCAGTAGCAAGGATTACAAGGATACTTCCATCGTTGCGGTCTTTCACCCTAGCAAGCCTCTCTAGATCTGCCTTTCTAGCTTCGTCCTTTGCAGCTTCTGCTTCAAGTAGCCAGCCTATTGGTACGCCACCTATGCGGAGATCCTTCATTTTACCGTGGTTTGCCTGTACAAGGGCTGCGATGGTATATCCTTTACTGCTTTCTTTGCTGTCTCCGCGAGGAACAATCCGGCTACTGCTGCCAGTTCCGCCCTTGAACCTATGGCATACCATACCAGTTCCGCCTCCCGTATTGCCCTCTCTGACCCTTTCTGCAGTTGCGTTCTCCAGTCCAGTAATGATATGCTCCGGTTTGACCGCGAACGTGGTGCAGTCATGTAAATACCCGTCGCAGGTCTCGCCTACCATAGGCAACATCAACCAGCCCATCTCTCCCTTTTCAGAGCTGGAAGCTTTGATAGCATGTTTGAAGATGCCCTGGTGGGCTGCGCCAATTTCGAGTGTCCCAGTCAAGATGATAGGTGAGTAGAGTATCCCCATATCAGTGATCATGTGGGCGCCAGTGAGCTCTCCAGAGCCATTAAAGGTGAAAGTGCCAGCATAACAGGCTTCTTTGGACAAGGTCTCGTGAGGAAGAATGGATGTCACGCCGGTATTGACAGTCCCATCGTCGCTGAAGAGTTCCTGAGTATTGACCTTAACCCCTGGCACATCCGTGAGGGAGTTGAGCGGGCCAGTGGCGAAATCACCGAGGTGAAGGTATGGGAGAAGCTCACGGATACGCATCCGCTGTGCATCGGGTGATCGTTCAGACATACTCGTAGTTGCTCTTCTCTACATGCATTAGTTATAGGCATTCAATAATAGAGGCCTGGGGAGTTATACATGATCCAAAGACCCCACCGTAGTAGTTATCATCCTTGTTTTGACGTGAAGTTAACTTTGCTACGGAATTACATAAAGCTCATTCGTATTACCAATTCTTAAGGACGTCAAGATGAAGAGGCAACATGGGTAATTAGCTCCTATATAATGTAGGAAGTAGGATTTAAGATCGATAGATATGAACAAAGATTCTAACAGAGCTGAAGAAGCTATTATTTTGGCACCATAACACACCCCCATTCTTCTATTAAGGGTCGAGGCGATTTCCCTTCTGCTATTGCTTGCGACATTATTCTTCTTTGTTCAGGAGTTAATAATGGCCTATATCTCTTTCCAGGTGTTGTTACTCCCATTTTCCTCAACCTTTCCACGCTTTCCCTGGACGGTATCTCCACAAACAACCTTCCCTCTGCTATATCCTTTTCTTTTTGTTCAAATTCCCGAAGTTAGTCCTCTACTTTTAACCAGAACCTAGGTTCACGGTGTCTCTGGAGCCACTTAGCGTCATCGGAGTGGTCGCGAATTTCCTTAAGGAGTCTATCTGAAAGCGGAATCTCTTTATACAGATTTGACCTGATCAACTCGCGCTTTGACCTCGTTATTTCATGCTACGACCTCTCAGCTTGGGGTGTATCTTTGCGCGGTTTCCTAGAAAATGGGAAATGTTTCTTAAGTATATGGCGGACCCTTGGCGACTCTGACAGCTGTGGCTTAGGTTTGCTGTATATCGATGTTAGCCCGTGACAACGAATTGCTCGTGAAGAGTGAGGACTAGCGGGTTCCGAACAAGATCTCTCCTGTCCATTCATAGGGCAGTATTGGAACTTTGTCATCATCGTCATCGCCTGCGACTTTGCCAGAATCAATGAGGGCGTAACAGGGCCGATTGTCTAAAGCAAATTCACAACCATACGTGCTCCATCTGTGTTGTTTATAGTCGAAATCACAGTTCCAATGTAGCTGGCAGAGTTTGTTCTGCATAAATTCACACTTCCTGAAGTATCCATCCCCGGGAACCAGATGTGTTGATGTTTGGACCAGGACCCTCACTGGCCTAGAAAAGGTCCCGGCTATGTCTTGCTCAGTTTTACTCTCACTGGCGTCCATGATGAATGGCATAGCCGAGTTTTATGCTGGTGGTAATGAGAAAATCATTTGAAGGAGAGAAACGACTCGAGAATAAGGAATAGAGATAACTCGTGAGGCTTCTAACCTTTCAAGAGATCCATCCACATGCTATGTATGGGCGGCTCTTGCAAACCGGAACTTAATTCTTCCACAGCGGTTCCTGTCAAAACTTACGTAATAAATGATAACTTAATGCGGCGGCTCTTATTGTCGTCAACAGAAACTTCTAGTCATTTAGACAACTAGAGAACCTCCTGATACCAAAAGAGGGACAAGGCAACCAAGCGCATGATATAACTGCTGACATTCTCGCGTGTTTCTGCCTGGACGAGTATCCAAGGTGACAAGTGCATTGATTGTAATGCGAAGAGCCGTATCCTCATGGTGCAGGCCCTAGATCAATCATGAGTCAACCTGGGCATTAAAAAAAACAGAAACATAGCAAGGAGCCCTTAATCAGCCTTGAGTTGCTTTTGCAAAAAGCTGCAATGCCACACCCAACCAAGCTTCTCTAAATATACAGCCCCGAAATATTGTTCCCTGACCAAAAATTTCATGCATTTGTTCCCAGAACGTACTCCCGATTGTATACCCACATCTACAGGGCTCCTTTTCCAGTTTATTTCTTGGGATATTATTCACTAACCAGTTAATATTCCGTTATCACTGGAGTAGTAGCGAGCATAGAGGAAGGTTTTTCTGGTCTACTTTCACTATCTAGAATCTCAATAACTTCCATCTGAAGTTATTTGGTTTTGCGGGCCTTCTCTATACCCTACTTTCCAAATCCACTATGTCTTTATATCTATGGGTGCATCCTCAAGTTTGCTTGGCCAACCGAGCCTTCTATCATGAACCATAGCAGATACGCCGCAACTCCGACTTATACCCTGGTGGCTATGATATGAAATCCTAGGCTGCCATTTCTGTAATGGGTGTGGGCAGAATTCCTAGGGCGAATATTAAAAGGTAGCAGATTCGGAGAATGCTATCTGTGGATATAAATACCCCCGATACCCCATTAGCTTAGATATCCATTAGCAACATATTTGGATAGCTGCAAAGCACACTTTCAATCTATCTCGATATCATATATATCTGGCTCACATTTACCTATCTTTTCCCAATATACGAATATCTGCTACAGGCCTTTTATCTTTCATCACAACAACCTTCAGCCACCTCTGCGCATCACCAAGTCTTATATTCGTTTTGTGCATTTAGCCGTTTGATTTCAATTCAATGGTATGGGGCACACTACTTCAGGAATATCGTTTCATGAGAACAATCTCTAATATTCTGAGGAGCAGGCAGAAGATCATTCATCGGGCAGCAGCAGCAGCGCAAGGAGAAGCTTCAGCATTGATCACCCCCAGAAGAAAGCCGACCCAGAGTGCGAAATATGTTACGGAACCGGCAAATATTCGAGTAGAGAATGGGTACCCTGCAAGATTAAATGTTACGAATGCCCTCAAACGGGATACAATGCCGTTACCTGTGCACCTTGTGGAGGAGAGGAGTGTACGGTATGTTTTGGGACAGGTCTCGATTGTAGATCTTGTGTTGGCTGTAAGGGAATGGGGTTTATCTGGGACGCGGCCCTGGTTCCAGTCAAGAAGAAGTGCAACTGTATGGGCAAGTTTTAACACGAGAAAAGGCTCGCTTGTGCTGGAATTTGTATATGCATTGCTCATATCTTTCCTTTTGCCTTCTCAATCCTGCTGGCCTTTCTTCTACTTTCTGAATGTTGTCTGCCCATTCCAACCTATTAGTCTCAGTCCCGAATTCTTCCTCATTTTGAACGTGTATGCCTCCACCAATAGTGACCGGTGTATGAACTAAACGGCATTATTCCCCGCTTGTTTTATGTAATTGCTGTAAAAATGGGTATGAATTGCGCAAACGCTTCAATTCCAATACCAAGAAGCAAAAGGGGTTTCGGCATACCATATAGATTTGTGCTTTCTTAGGGCATATCATTTTACTTCTCTTAATCAAAGGGTTACTGGCAAAACTGGAGACCTTCTTTATCCAAACATATATATAGTTCCATCACAGGTCCCTCTATAATAATTTAAGTTTATCGTTGGCTAGTATAACTCTCTCTGGAGAGCAAATTACACTATTTCGAAGCTTATAATTTAGATGATAGCACAATATATTATTGCTTAGGTTTTCGGGTAAAACCTACGCCGCTAAAGGCGAGAAATTACAACGAAAAAACATCAGGATGACTAGCGGTTATAATTATAAAGTGATAGAATCAATTTCTATAACCTATATTTGGTTACCTATCGATTCTTATTCGGTATCGTGACTTAGCGCTGTGTGCAGGGTCGTCAGTATATGCTGGTTGATGGATTCAGGATCACACTAAATGCGGCGTAGTAAGTGCAAAAGTACATCCAACATTATTACATGCATGGATAGCCTCAAAGAAGACTGATGCCTTGGATGCTTCCGCTTCGACCAAGAGTTTGAATCACCATTCTGTGTCAACTCAAAATGGCGATTTGGTTCTGTGATATCGAGGACTGTAAGAAGCCAGCAGTTCGAACACATGGAGAATGCCCGCTCTGTGATCGACATCTTTGCTCAGCACACCTTGAAGATGGATTTCACAGTTGCCCAACATGGAACGTAAGTTCACTCTAGATACTATGTAATTAATATCGTCTGATCTAAGATGCCTCTAGGATGAAGATGCTTATGATCCTGCTGCCCGGGATGCTGAAGAGAAAGAGATAACCTCCCTTTTCCAAAAAGTTAACATTTCTGCTTTGATTTCAAGGGCAACACTCCTTCGCAGTGGTATTCCCTGCCAGGTCACCAACTCCTTACACTACGATAGAGCAAGTAGAAGCTCAGTAATGGGTGGCATGAATTACCATATCGAACTTCAATTTGATGACGGGGTAAGCTGGATTGCCCGTATCCGCCGAACAAATGCAACTTCCCCGCCTCCGAAGCTTCGCGATGCCATTATAGCTAGCGAGGTATCTACACTCAGGTTCCTTGAAAATTTGAAAATCCCAACACCTAGAGTGTTTGACTTTGTTCCAGAGAGCGAGAGCACTGTCGGTGTAGGGTACATTCTGATGGAGAAAATGCCTGGAAAGTCGTTACGCTGGGATACCGTGCCGGATGAACAGAAAAGGATTATAATGGGCCAGTTAGCCGATGTCTATATCGAACTGGAAAAATATCCTTTCCAGTCAATGGGGTCCTTACGGGGTTTAAAGTCACCTACGATTGGATCATTTGCTCGGGAGTCATTAACGGAGCGCGTAGATGAAAAGATTCATGCTGTTGGGCCGTGTTTATCGAGAAATGAATACTTGAAAGAGTCGATCCGGTTGATCTTGAACCTGATTCTGGGAGAGGAAATGTACACAGCACGCGCTGTGGACGCATACGTTATTCACCTATTCCTTCTTGACTCGATCGATGCAGTATGCTCTGCACAGGCTGTCCCGGACAACGGGCTATTCTACTTGAAACATGCGGACGACAAAGGCGACCACATACTCGTCGATGGTGACCACAACATCACCGCTATTATTGATTGGGAATGGGCCTATACTACCTCGAAATCGATCGCCTTCAACTCTCCCATGGCATTTTTCCCAGTTGGAGACTTTTATGACGGTGCTACCGAGCCTGGAGAGGGAGAGCTTCTTTTTGCTCAATTGCTCGAAGAAAAAGGATGCCCTGAGTTAGCCAACATCGTGAGCAGTGGTAGGATTCAACATCATTTTGAATTCTGCTGTGGATATGACCTGGTAACGGATTGGGATGGGTTTTTGGGTCTATTCGGGGGACTTCGACGTGCCCTTGGGGGCGTTGACGGGGGCCTGGATTGGCGTGGTTGGAGGGAGAGAGCATTGATTAAATATAACGAAGATGAAGGTCTCAGGACCTTGATATCCCGACAGAGAAACTGACTCCGTTGGCTATTGTGGTAGAGACTCTATTAACCAAAGTGCTATTATAGAGCCGTGATAGATTTGTTAGAATGTCAGAATGCATGGATTATGATATGGTCTTATAGTGGGCGCCCGCCGAGATCACATGATCAGATAGCTTGTCGGAGCGGTGTATCTAATACTCCGAAAGCAGCTGCATATCACGTGTTAAGAACCATTATCGTATCATTCGTTTTGCATCAAAACGGGGGGGAAGACCTGAAACGGTTCGAGCAGTTGGAAGAAGCCCGTCTCCTGCTTCAGGCTTCAGGGTCTCCAAAGAAGAATAAATAAATAACAAACATGGCCGTTGAAGCTCTTCTGAAGTGCTCGTTTGATCCTGTCATACGGCGGACTATTCTCTTCTAGTCGAGAGAGTGGCGTCTTTTTCCGATACTTATGCATGATATATTAACATTCAGCTATATACATTTCCAACAAGATGACATTGCAACTCCAACTTCCGTCACAGGGGGATCGATCGACTGCGATGGATGTGGTTGCCGCAGACGGACAGACGGAGAGACCTGGCGTTCGTCGGAGCCAGGTACTAGATACTTTTTCTCCTGTGAACGAGAACGGGAGCTTTGAGTTTGATCGTGTGTTGAAGAGAGGCAAAGTGCTGCGGCGCTCGAAGAGCAAGCATGTACGTCTTTACCGGGCCTCAAAGGGCCAACGGATGTCATGGCTGACTGACTATTTGAGATGCAGGCGTTCAAGTCTTCGTGGAAGCCAGGGTACTTAGTTCTGCGCCCGAATCTGCTCTCCCTATACAAGGACAAGGAGGAGGCACAGCTGCAGCTCGCCATCTCCCTTTCAGACGTATCTGCTGTTGCACACGTCAAAGCGACTCCCAAATCAAATAGGCCGAATGTCTTTGGCATTTTCTCACCCTCGAAAAATTACCGGTTCCAGGCTGCTTCGACAGAGGAGGCGGAATCATGGGTTGAGCAGCTTCACCGCGAGTGTTCGGTCGACTATCCAGACTCGGTGGTAAACTACTACGAACAGATACATGGCCGGAAACAGGGAATTGTAGAGGCGGATGAGAGTGCATGTGAGACGTCTGATGTTGAAGGAAGAGGAGCGGTAGCAGCAGGCCAGGCACATTCTCTGCTAGCAGCACCCGTACAGCCCCTCCGACTAAAGCGCCGAACGACCCAGGACTATTCCGGCAACGAGATCACATCGTGCTCCGAATTCTCTGACGCTGCCGGTCAATCGTTACCATCTTCTAGGTCTCATCCGGTTCTCAATCGAAAATCCTTCTCCCAGTCTACTTATAACGATCACCAACAACAGCAATACCCGCATCAGCAACAGGCCGTCCTGCGCCGTCTTACCAGCGGCCAAGGCGAAGCTCCTACCCAGCCAGATCCGGAGGGCGTCATATTCCAAGGCTATTTACAATGTCTTAAGGGCAGAAAGGGTGTTCGCAAATGGAAGAAATTATGGACTGTTCTCAGGGTCCAGAGTCTCTCATTCTACAAGGACCAACATGAATATTCGGCTGTCAAGATTATACCGATGGCTGAAGTCATTAATGCTGCAGAGGTTGATCCTCTATCAAGATCAAAGACTTTCTGCTTCCAGCTCATCACAGAGGACATCACCTACCGGTTCTGCGCCTATGATGAGGAATCAGTTGATAAGTGGCTCGGTTCAGTTAAGAGCGTGTTGATGAGGCTGCAGGACCCGTCCATGTATTCCTCAGCAGGTACCCTAAGTGGCTCCTTGAACGCTCGTTGATTGATATTTTCTCAACTTTTCAGTCGCGCGCCCGTTTAAGAAATCACTACTAATGTTTATTTATACCCTTCTGCATCCAACTTTCCAAGCGACTAACCAAAACTTCATACCATACTATTACAGCGGATACCCACTGCTCTATACTATACAAGTTCTGTATACATTTCTTTTTCTTCTGACCTTTGGACAACGCACTGAGAGGCCACCCAGATCCAAAATGAGGCCCTCTTCTCAAACACAGCCTTTACCCCTTTCATTTGTTTAACGTTTGATCGACTCTACCCTGATGATATTTTCTGGACATACATTATACCTTGTCGAGTTAGGGTCCCTTCCTGGCTATTCTTAGCCAATCACTTTAAAGATTTTTAATATCTAACTGACAATGGAGATCCGCCCTGTAACTACAATCCAATCTCCCGTCCATGTTCAATCACAATAGGTGCCATCCACCTTTTCTATATACTTATTACCTTGCCAAATACTAATATTCCTATATTCCATCTAACCGTCCAAAACTTCCTCGATGTCCATTGGTACATTCGACATTTTCTTCTTTCCAGGCCGAAAGCAGATGATAAAATATACTTCCCAACGGGCGATTTCCCTCCCTCATTCTTCGGCACCTCCTGTATTGGAGTCAAACGTAATCCTCTTAAGCTTCTCAAAGTATCAAGTTTGATCCCCTCCATCCAGATTCACTGCAAGAAGATAATTCCCTCTGAACACCTTGTAAATTCCTCTAGCAACGTTATTTTTCGGGAACAGGGTCAAATTTCTGGTGACAAAATAATCATATGCTTGGTAAAGTATTCTCTAAGTCTCGCTTCCCAGTTTCCGATTAAGATAGTTGATCTGTCTAGCTTTTCAGCACGACAGGGATTGACAGAATGATTATCCAGGTCTGGGCCAAGGGGCCGCTTGCCCTGTCGGTGTTGGGCGCATGCGGTCCAGAACATCTATGGGTATCGCGACGCCGTATTTGCCTCAAACTCCTATCAGCTTGAGTCGATAGTCCTTTTTAAGAAGCTAGTAGCAGTCGGATGCTGATCTGGGTATTTAGCATGTTAAAGATCTCGTTCCTTTTGCGATTAAATAGAACGACCATGCTTATTAACAACCTTTATTAATCAGCTTAAGCTTTTCAGCCTCAACTGCCCTCGTGACCCAGGTCCCGTGACATCGATATCTCCCGCTTGCCTGCGCGTTTTTTCGAAAAGCGAGAGAAAAAAGCCAGGCTTCACAGTTCGAGGTGAAGATATTTTTTAATAATATAAATACGTTCCTTTCAAATACCCGCCGTTCATTGTCTATATTTACCTATTCTTAACCTCTCGCATTCCTTACCTGTTTTTAAACCTTGAACAAGCTTGAAGGTACAAGCAAGGCCCTGCAGCCTGTTGACCATGGGATTCTTCGACCACCTTCAAAAGAAAGGAACGGGTGTGATACCGGCTCAGAAAGCTCAGATCCGGAAAGTCGAGTGCAAACCGAGCATCACCCGGTCATCGTCAGCTCCATCACAGCCTGTGAAACCCCCCTCTGTCCGCGCGCATTCCGAATCATCCGCCAAACGCACCGTTACCTCTCCACGAAAACCGAATTTATCTGACTCTACCGGGGTTGCAAAGAAATCTCCCGCTCCCAGCAGCAGCTCTGATCTGCTAACCGTCAATCCACCTCGTTCGAGATCCGTATCCCGCAAACGATCCTCCCCCGCAGTTCAACAACTCGTTAGCAGTAGTGATGACAGTGAGACGGATGAGTCTTTGGATATTCGACTGGCGAAGAGGACAAAGGTCAGCGCAAGTGTGGAGCCAGATCTAAAACGTCGCTTACGCTCCGAGGTTGCGTTTTCCGAGTCGGCCGAACGAACGTTCCCCATGGTGCATGCCTTGGATATAGCATCGATCGAGAAGAAGACTCCTGGATTTAGGAATGCGTTTAAAGAGCCTAAGGGATGCACGACAATAGCTCTTCAGTATCCCACATACTCACAGAGGGAGAGGTATCAGCTGGTTATACCTCGTGAAAACGACGGATTTAAGCCGTTGGAGGATATTGTGCAGGTAGTCGAGACCGTATCACATAACTATATCCCCGAGGATCAGATATCTCTATTTACCGATGAGTCCACTGGCTATATCCGTCTTTTACGACGTGCCATTAAACAAGAATCGCCAAAAGATTTCTGGAATGCGGTGAAGGCATATAACGAGACGATCAGACGACTGCGGGACGAAGGTGTTATCGCCAAACATCTTGATACGATGCATTCACTATCTTTACCGTGGGTAGAGCGTATTTTAACCCAGGTGTATAGCCGGACGGTCTCTCTGCGCGTGGAGTCACTCAAGAAGTACGAAAGCGGAACCGACAACGTCTACGGAGAACTGTTGCCCCGCTTCATCTCAGATATCTTTCAAAGGACGCATTTAAAATCCGACCAGGTATTCGTTGACCTGGGTTCTGGCGTGGGCAACGTCGTCCTCCAGGCCGCCCTGGAGATTGGCTGTGAGAGCTGGGGTTGTGAGATGATGCAGAATGCCTGCGACTTGGCTCGGCTACAGCAGGCTGAATTTAAAGCCCGATGTCGTTTATGGGGTCTTTCGTCAGGGAAAGTGCATTTAGTCCAGGGGGACTTTTTGGACAACGAGCGCATCGCCAAGGCTCTCCGACGGGCGGACGTTGTTCTAATCAATAACCAGGCTTTCACGCCGGAGACGAATAACAGGATAATCAATCACCTTCTTGACTTGAAAGAAGGCTGCCAGATCGTCTCACTCAAATCATTCGTTCCGGCAGGACACAAAATGCAAGCCCGGAATCTCAATTCGCCAATCAACTTACTTTCAGTTGAGAGGCACAATTACTGGTCCGACTCTGTCAGTTGGACCAACGCTGGCGGTACTTATTTCATTGCGACAAAGGACAGCTCGAGGCTACGAGCGTTCACTGATACCCTTTTATAATCGCTCGCCTGGCTTCGAGTGGCTTTTCTATTCCCCTTTCTTATTTTTGGAATTACTACCTAGACCCTTACCGCATTATATGCTTTTTTTTTTTTCGAAACGTCGTTGATGACTATAGACGGAGGCCGTCGCTATTACTAGATAATTTGACTTTTTGTTCCTGTTGGAGCTCTCACGAGTTCATTTATCCTTCCCTTGACCATAGACTATTCTTTACTAACATGTCAAGGTTTTAACACCATTCCTTTTATTCTATCCCTTGTTTATTTCGCTTGATTTTTCTTGGAAAGACTCTTTAGATTGACGATGTCCTGGTGGTTGATACCCGTATGAACGGCTGGTTTGGTTTGAGTTATTGTTCGAGCGAAGCCTAACGGGAAGAGATGCATCATCATCACTTCCATCAGCTGGCAGCTCTGTGTATTTATTAGATGCAATAAATTGAGGAAAAGAAATGTATATTCATTATCAGCTCATACGATGGATTCTATAAGTAAAAACACCATACAAGGATACACCATCATCATATACAAACCTGTCTATCATTCTTCATGGCATCAAATCCCAGGCTATGAAAATTTCGACGCTTTATTCATGGCTTCCGCTTCCTGTCCCATTCTTGCCATCCATCGGTCAACAAGCTGTTTATTCTCTTCCTCAAACCTCTTGGATCGCTCCTCAGCCATATTGAACTGCAAATTGAGCGACACAAGCTCGTCTTGGACATCCTATTAGTGACCAATGTTAGCACAAATATGCCACTTATACCCAATACAAGAATAATGTCAGAACTAACATCAAGGAGTTTAGCTTTACCCCTCAATTCCTCGTCTCTATCCTTCAGACGGATCTGGAGCTGCGTTCTCTCTACAGCCAAATCTGCTGCTCTCTGCGTTTCCGCATTCAACTTCCTCGTCAGCCTATCTAGCTTTACAAGAGCTTGCTCTAGTTTGTTTGATAGGTCTTCTCGTGACTTTTGTGCAGCAGCCAGATCTTGAGTCGCAGCAAGTAGAGGATCTAGTCCTGATGGAGCAGCGCCGTCATCAGTGCCTTGTGATTTTTTGCCTTGAGGGGAATGTGTTGCTTTGGGTTTCGATACGCCCTGGGCATATCGGACAGCTTCGGCTCGTTCCTTTTCTAGCTTTCCAGAGCGATCAGCCAGACGTGTATCTATACGACACTTAGTCAACCAGGCACACAGACACGAGGTTCGAGAGAAGAGCTCATTTCGCGGAGGGCGTACAAGCCTCAAAAACGGAGATGTTTGCCTTTTCGCGCTGGTCTCTGGTGCATAAGGCCGTAGAATATTCCTCCCTCCAGTTGGGCATGTTTGCCTAGGCTGTACTCCGTCCTCCGTACGATACAGGGTAAATGAAAGTGATTAGATTGAACACATAGTACGCTACAGGAGCCAGTCTATCTCTTTTTATTAGACATCGTAAGGACCTGATATAGATGCGCAATCTACTCCGTACACACGTCGATATATAAAGAAGGGGAAAAACAAAATAGAACCTCGGGCGTAGGAACACGTGATACTGGAGGAACCGTAGAGCAACAAGCCAGTGGATGGGATACTGATTGAACATGTCTATGGATGCAGTTCGTTATCAAGTAGCTATCTGAAGAATGTGTGCAAGATAATCGCTTGATGGCTTGTACACCGGATATCTAGCGATTCCCTTTGGGTATTTGGCCTTTTGTCCTTTTGGTATACAAAAATAGGCCGCAGCCGATTTTTATCACTGCACCTGCGATTAAATATCACATCAAGTGGTACTAAACTGTGACCCTCTGATGCCTATACCCTTGACTTTGTTCATTACAGTACCACTTTTGACGGGTATACTCCATGTTATTATCTTCGAGGTCATTTCCAAGAAAAATATCCTCGAAGAAAAGGACTTAGCCGCGCCCCGCGCGTGAATAAATCACTATATAAAACAACCCTACCGTTCTAATACAAAGACACCATTGTTGACAACCCGTCCAACAAATAGTCTGCGTCTATAGAGCTCTTTGCACGTTCGGTTTGTGAGAACACGTATCTTGTTTGCGTACCTCACCATTTGGAAGTGACCATTAAAACTCGGTTTGAAGCACAAGTTGCTCTAATAAAAGCCTAGGCTCGCTTCAGACGCTCAACTTTTGGCTGCTTCCCTTTCCACCAGGCCTCCGACTGAAACTTCTGGAAGAGAATACATCGTCGAATTTGAGGTTGGCAGTAGTGGAGTACGATAAAGGCATCACTTTTCAGGAGGTTGCTAGGTACCTAGTTCTTCCGCGGTTAGAATCACTGACATGCTAGAATCAGAAATATTCAGTTTTCAGGCTTTAGTGGGCTAAAGCGTCCGAAGGAACCAAAGATGCGAGATTTTCGTTCAAGGGCGAGGCGATAGGAGAGCTTGAGCTGAGAAAAGGTTTTAAGGAGCGTCTATAGCGTGCATTGGAGAGATTAGAGGTAATTAATGCAGCATACCTAAGGAGATGAACGACTAAGCTAATTTTAAACCCTCCTACAACAGCCTTCAGCGACCATCCCGACCATTTGAGTGGTTATGATAGTTATGAAGACATTCCTGCCCTGATCTAGTTGTAGGATCTGTGAGAGTTGTCCTGGCTTATGGGAGTTACCGAGATAACGCATGCCATACTCAAGTATTGAGTTCTGGATAAGGCGTCCTATTCGGAATAATTGAGTCCAGAGTGTTCCATAGAGTCTGGCAGTTCTATGGTATATATGCGGGCGTGAGAGTCAGTACCGTCGGCAATACTGTATCCTGAGTAGAAGAAGTAGAATTAGAAGATTCACACTCCTCAGAGCTAGTTATGAATATCTACATCCTTTATCTTCCTCAACAACTTTTTATATCTTTATTGCATCATGTGACGCTACCAGGGGAAAATAGGGTCGTTCTTGGCGCTGATGTTATGATGTTATGCAACTTCTCAAGCTCCAAACAACAAAATCGACCATCAGATCTCTGACATCTCTGCCCTTCCCAGGAAAGTCCCAGCTATACAGTGGATAGCCGCCAGTGTGTACTCAGTACTCTGTGCCTTAACCAACATAGCAGGTGATTCTTTGCAACACAGTTGTGTTACGTCTTCCCTAGTTGCTACACCCTCTCGCTACTCTCGGCTGGCTTCCTGGCAACTTGAGCTTGCATTTGCTATAATACATATCAGCCTATAACCATGGCATCCCGCAAGAAGGTTCTATTGAAGGTAGGCTGCTAGCTATGGATGGATATATGCACTCTATCCACAAAAGACAGATTGCTGATGCTACTTTGTGCTAGGTTATCATCCTAGGTGACAGCGGTGTGGGCAAAACAAGCTTGATGAACCAATATGTCAGTGATTCTCTCACTTTATATAATGTTATAATGCTCCATGGACCCTGTTATGATTCTAATATCTCTGTTTTCTAATGACTAGGTCAACAAAAAATATAGTGCCAGCTACAAGGCCACGATCGGAGCGGATTACCTTACCAAGGAAGTCATGGTAGATGGACGACTAGTAACAATGCAGGTATATACGAACCTTGGAATTCAAAACCCCTCCCTGATTCGAAGATATCTTGTACTAAAAGTTTCATTCTCAATCCTTCTAGATATGGGACACCGCGGGGCAGGAGAGATTTCAGTCACTAGGAGTTGCCTTTTACCGAGGTGCCGATTGCTGCGTCCTCGTATACGACGTCAACAACTCGAAGAGTTTCGAAACACTGGATAGTTGGAGAGACGAGTTTCTCATCCAAGCCAACCTGAGAGACCCCGAAAGCTTCCCCTTCGTAAGTAGCATGATTTCATGTTGATGTACGGAAAGGGGGAAATAAAGGATTACTGATATAAGTATAGGTCGTACTAGGCAACAAGATTGATGTCGAAGAAAGCAAAAGAATGATATCCTCGAAACGAGCCTCCACATACTGTCAGTCGAAGGGGAATATTCCATATTTCGAGACCAGTGCCAAAGAAGCTATCAATGTAGAACAAGCGTTTGAAGGTTAGTTTTCTATTTCCCTCGTTAATGCCTTGTATATATTTGCTTACTTGTGCTGGAACAAAATAGTTATTGCCAAGAGTGCTCTCCTGCAAGAAGAGTCAGAGGAGTTCAACGGCGACTTTGATGATGTTATCAACGTCAACCACGACAGCGATCGAGATGCGTGTGCCTGTTAATACCAGTCCTACACATCCTTTTAGAACTCTCCTTCCTTACCTGTTATTGGGCTTTCTTTTCGGCGTTTCATTCCCTCTGTTAATATGACCTTTTTCCCTTCTACTAGGATATAGGATATTGACCCTTACATATTACTGTCTCCTTACAGCTTCTTCTCTTTTGTCAAAGTTATAACTTGACCTTTGCCTTCTTGGTTCTATGGGATGGCCAACTATAATTCAACGAAGTCCAGCTGTACCGAGTCCAGATGCTATATATATTTTTATTCTGCGCTTGGGATTCCTCTAATATATTTGTATATATAGCATATTGGTCTCCAGTGGTATTATCCATCAATGATGCCCTTTCGCAGTATCCAACTATTTTGTATATTTTTTGCCTCGATAGTGACATATACATTTTAATAATTCTGACTGGTTCTACTGAATATCATGCAATATTCAGTGGCAGACATTGTATCAAGAATTGGGCGTTACACTGCTTTTTCTAGCCTGTTGATGGCTGGCCTATATAAACAATAATGCTATTACCAGGACGAACTCTCTGTTTCTCCACATTCTCTGCATTTACACGGGATGATATAGTGTCCGAGAAGCTGTCTGTCTGCCTATCAGCCTCTGGTGACGATGGTGGCTGATCACGATGTTTCTGAAGGCGGTGGTGACAACGCCAGAATACGAGGCGACGGCGAAGACAACTCCAACAACCATCAACCACAACCAACGTCAACCACGCCGCTCCTGGGCCAGGATCACAGTCCGATGGCTCTAACCAGTGTTGGCAGACGGGGTCGACGGACCTTGGGCACCTTTCTCCTCCTTATAGTCGTGGTTCTCTGGACATCGTCAAACTTCCTTGCCAGCGTAGGTTCCCAGCAGCATTGGGTTTATAGCTGCTTATACAACAAGAAAAATAATATGATTGATGATAATAAAAGCTGCATGGCATGGGTTTACTAATCTCTATGCTCCTGAAAAAAAAATAGACAATATTCGCCGACAACACATATTCTAAACCGTTCCTCGTAACATACCTGAACAGTGGATCCTTTATTTTCATGCTGGTCCCTTTCGTCGGCAGCCGGGTTCACAAGCTATGGAAGGCAGGAAAACTACGGGATATCAGATCATTTCAGGCTCTTATCAGGGAGTTCAACAACCCTACATTGGGAGAGGAAACAAGACCGATTCTGAGCACCAATCAAGATGAAGAGACTGACGGCAGGCTGCCACAAGAAACAGGAGATACAAATGCACAGGAGCAACATGTTACGGCTGCTACGAGTGTATCGAATGGCAAACTAGGATTCAAAGATACAGCTAAACTTAGCTTGGAATTTTGTATAATATGGGTAAGTAATAAGTTCCTTTCCATTAGTACAATTTATTTGCTAGGAGATAGCTAATTCCTATTTAGTTTGTGGTAAGATGTATACCCCAAGGTTGAAATATGTCACTATGACTATATTATGAGACAATGTCCACCTAACTCTTCATTGAAAACACTAAGGCAAACTACTTCGCCATGGCATGTCTGCAGTACACAAGTGTTGCCAGCACTACGGTTTTGACATCTACAAGCGGTATTTCGCGGGACTCCCCAGTAAGGTATATATTATCACATACTGACGAGATACCTTAGGAGTGTGGACTCTCATATTTGGAGCGGCTATTGGAGTTGAGAGATTCACAGTCCGAAAATGTATTGGTGTGCTTACATCACTTTTCGGCATATTCCTGATATCTAGAGTTGATATCTCCAGCTCATCTGATTCGAATAAGAGTTCTTTCCCCAACAAACCACCTGCTGAAATTATTCTTGGTAACTTCATGGCCGCATTCAGTGCCGTTCTATATGGAGTTTATACGACCTTGATGAAGAGGCGCGTTGGGGACGAGTCCCGGGTTGATATGCGAATTTTCTTTGGCCTTGTTGGGGTTTTCGCTTCCGTCATACTCTGGCCTGGATTCATCGTATTGCATTATACTGGAATCGAACCGTTTACTCTCCCACCTACTAGGTTCGTTTTTCTGATTGTTCTGGTAAGTACTTGAACCCAGACCGAAGAGTAGGATAGCTTGACTCATGTTAATTCCCATTCGACAGGTTAATGCAATTATATCATTTGCATCAGATATATGCTGGGCCTTTGCTCTTTTACTCACAAGCCCAGTAATCGTGACAATTGGATTAAGTCTCAACATTCCGTTATCATTGCTTGGACAAATTATAATCCAGCACAAGTATGCAACGGGAATGTACTGGCTTGGTGCTACTCTGGTGTTTGTTTCCTTCATAGTTGTGAACTATGAGGCCCCTACATGACAGGTGGGCGTGCTATTTCACATTGATGAGTGTGACCTCTCGGTATATTTCACGTTGATTGTCACCTATCACTATTTCGGCGGGTTTATGTGGTTTATTAGTACAGCGATAGATATTCATTCATAGGTTTCGATATATTAGTTCGGGAATTGAATCTTCTACAAGACTTTGTAAATCTTTCAAGACATCATTTGACGAGTCTATTCTGGTCTATGCAATATTCATCACTTGCTCTTTTTCTTCGCCAGCCTCTTTTCAGCTCTGATATCCTTTTTCATTCGGGCATCAACGATCTTATATCTCCCCTTCACTCCACGAGGACGACCAGATATGCCCTTATTTCCACCCCTAGCCACCACAAGTTTCACTTTTTGCTTTGGTTTTTTCTTGGTAGCCTTACTTATCATTTTCGCAATGGATTGCGCCTTATCTCTTTCGCTGATACCCTCGTCCTCGGCCAACAGTGAAGATTTCTTGCGCAGCTTCTCTAGTTTCTGCGCTTGTTTGAACTTCTTTCTGCTCTTGGCCTCACGAACCTTCTTGATCGGCCGGGCATTGATGGCGCGCATTTTCTCTCGGATTGCGGCCGCTGCTGCGGCTGTTATAGGCCGTTGGATCTTTGAGTGTTGGTTCTCGTCATCAAGGAACCATTCCGGGAGACCTTCGACGTCGCGGAAGGAGTATCTATGGAAACCATCGTCAACAAACTCCTCGGTTGTTTTTTCGCCTCTGGCCATCTGATGAGCTAAAGCCATGGCTTCCGCTGTTATTATGTCAACGTCTGTTGGGGCTAGGTTAGCGTATCCTACGCATACAATGTAAACACAGAAGAAAAGTATCGGGGAAATATACCAAGTTGTCCGTTTTTCTTCCGTGGGTCATCCATCTGGCGATCGTCGTCATCGTCAAAGTTCTTTGACTTGCTCATCTTAACTTCCTCATAGCTATTGTCGCTAGCCGTTGATGGGGAGGGTGAGGCAGCCACTCGATCTCTTTTTCTAGTATCTCTCTTAACCACAGGCGGTCGCTCCTTGGTATCGCCATTTGTCCTTGCCGGGGTGGGATCATCGCTTGCTTCTTCGTCTTCAACAGCTCCAAGATCACGGAATATATCTTGATCAAAAAACATAGCCGCCTTGTTGGAGAGTCCATTTACATGACCTCCAGTAGGTGCTATAGGGAAAGCCTGGGAAGATTCATTGTCTGATTCTTCACCCTCTTTTTCATCGGAGAACCCTTCCCATTCTTCTGTTTCATAGGCTTTGCGTGATTTTTTGGCTCGTACTTTCGCGTCTCGGTTTTCGCGTGCTTCTTGATATTGGGAATAAAGAGCGTCAAGTTGACGCTCCAGTCGGTCCCCATCTTCGTCAGAATACTCTTCCTCGGAGTTGTCTTCTTCTTCACTACTGCTTTCTACGGCAGCAGCCATACTGCTGGCGGATACTGACCGCGCAGCTGGTAGCTTCTCGGCCGTCTGTAATCTGAACATAGCTCCCTCTCCGAGCGGACCAGCCTGCTCCATTCCAATTTCCTTTGGAGTTGTCATATTCATCTGCAGCCTAATGATATCCTTTCGTTTTCGTTCATTTTCTTTTCGCCGTTCACGCTTATTTTTCGAGGTTTCGCGCTCATGCATACGCTTCAGATCTTCCTGAAGTGCCAGCTCCTCGTCCATTGGCTCGACTTCGGCAACCTCCTCAGTCTCCTCATTCTTTGAACCCTTTTTCACTGCTAACCCAAATTTCTCACGTACTTTGATTCGCCATCGCAATAGCTGCCTAAAATCTTTCTTACCCAAGACCTTGAGGTCTTCACAGCACATGCGTACTTCGTTTGTTGTCTCTGGCAGCCGTTGTAATGTGGCGAGGGCAAGGTCGCCGCCTGGTGATTGCGCAAATGTAAGCTTGTTGTATGAGCCTAAGATTGATATAGGGTCGGTGGTATTTATGAACTCGGTTGCTGGCAATTCTTTATGCTGGGTCCAATCATTCTCTTCGTATCCATCTCTCTTCCTCTTTTTCTTTTCTGGATTGAAAACTTTGGCCTCATTATTCGGGTTTGGGTCTTGTAGTTCTGCAAAGACATGCTTGGGGTCGAGGAACTTCGGATCAATATGCTTGGGCGCCTTGAATCCGAGGCAAACAACGAAAATTTCGGCGGAAACATTTCGCGAAGATGGAGGTTTTGTGGCTTCAACAGTGGTGAAGAGCTGTTTAAAAACCCACAGAAGGGGATTATAATCTTTTGACCTGAAAACCTTTGTAACAAATGTACCTCCGGGTATCAAAAACTCTGTTGCCAGTTTCAATGACTGTAAAACCAATTCCGCTTGAGAGAAAGCATCCTGAACCCAGGCGGTACCAACGTTTGGTGCACCATCATGAAGTACTGTATCTGCTTTCCAAGTCTTGAAGTGTTGTCGTATCGTGGCTCTGCATTTGTCTGTTGTGATATCGCTCTGGAAGGTGATGACTTTAGGAATTGCCTTGATAGGAGAAAGATCAACGCCAACTATAAGACTCTGCGATGGCATGCATTCGGCAGCAACTTGGCACCATGACTGAATTTTCGCAAACGAGACGAGTGTTAGTGGACAAGGTTATATCACCTAGGTATGAAACAAGGGTGGCATTGGCTTACTCCTGGGGCCGCACAAAGATCCAAAAGGACCTTACTCTTTTCAAGAAAGCCATATTTCTTGTTGAGCTGGATCAATTTAAAGGCAGCTCGCGCACGATATCCCTTCTCTTTCGCCAACCGATACCACTTATCTAGACGACCTTTTCCGTGCTGAAAAATAAGTCAGTACACGCTTTGCAAGACAAAATGGAGTATCGGTGAATTACTACCTTCTTCTGGATCGCCATGATGCAGTCTAATGGCCGGTCCCCGAGCACACAGAACGTCTTCTCTTCCTTGATATCAAAAAAGAGAGAATGTTCGTCTCTGCTAAAAAAAAAAAGCTTCGCAAAAGCAACTTTTCTGCCGGCTCCCACCGCCCCCATCGGCCTTATCAGATTGTTACATAAGCGATGACATCACGTTACTTGAGCTACTGACCAAAACGCTTGAAAAAAGCAAAAAGCGACATCAACTTGAACCTCCATAGCACTCCCATAACGCTTGAAAGGCCTCCGTTTTCAACAAAAGAATATGATATACACTTCTCCGACTCACCAGGTTCCATGGTGATGCTCTATCCTCAGCCTTGATGGCTCCCGTAGCGCGTGCAGCACGAACAGCGGAGGATCAAAGAGGCACCAGCCCGCAGCCACCATCGAGCCAGAATAATACAACCAGCAACGCAGACACAGTCAAGGAACTACCAGGAGATGGAATGGTGAGGATATCTTTTGTTCCGCTATTATTGGGTTTGCCTATTCTGACTCCTCCTTTTTATCAGAGCTGGTATCTTAGATCTTGGCCCACTAAGTCAAAGGCAACGGCTGTTACCGAGGTCGCCCGTGAGAGCATTTCAGCAGCCAGTGCAGCAACCTCTCAACGCGCACGCTCATCCACATCATTGCGAAGTGCGGCTAAATCCTCTAGGCCTCCCTCAATCCAGTTGACAAAAAAGGGGGCAGTATCTACTAGGTCACTCCCGGCGGACGTTGCCACCACACGGGTAAATATTGCTTCGACAGGAATTTCTCCCATGCCAAAGGCATCGCATAATATTGTTAGCAATGTCCATAGTGGCTTAAACCCGTCTAACGATACGAAGAAGGTGGAAGATGAATTGAAGAACGATGAAGAGCTGAATAGAGATGATGAACTGAAGGACAGACAACTTCAGGAACGAGATACCAGCGAGCAAAAGCAGGATTCTTCTCACGCTCAGACAGACGTAAAGATTGACACAAAACAGAAAGAATCGCAGAATCAAGCTTCTCGCCCAGTAGGGTGGCTTGAGTGGTTTTCGATGGCGAAAACAACAAACGATACGGTCCAAGAAGCACCTAATCCTACAGTTACAGAGGAACACATTGCATGTTCGACCACACCGAAGGTCGAACTTGAGGATACGGAGAATTCAGTCAACGTTAACTCCCACAAACACGATAATCCAACACCCAAAGAGAACCAAACTTCGCAGTCAAGGTCATGGCTGCAGTTATGGGGTGGGACCAATATTAGGTCTCAAGCAGCAGCTCCTGAAATATCACCAAATCCCCAAAACATGAAGGACAGTACGTCTACGCCACGGCCTAATGAAATAGAGGAAAATACAAGCTCCACACAACCCATAGATACAGATAGAACAAGCCAACCTACTAAGGAAGCTAACCATGGACGTACGGGATCTGTTTCCGGATGGCTCTTTTGGCCAAGACAGCAGCCAGATGCAAGCTCTACTGCCAAGAAAGGTGAATATGCGGATGAGAACGCACCACCTGATGGAAATACGAAAGACCAGCCGAAAGCAGCTCTATTGGCTGAAAAAGTAAAAGATGCTCCAGTTTCAAAGAATAACCATACCAAGCCTTCAACATCTCAACCCACAACCTCAGAATCTCCTACAGCAAATGTCCCCAAGGAACCACCGCTACAACCCGCCAATGTTTCGACAACTCCCCCCACAAGGAAGGGAGAGCGTGCACCGCCAAATCAGGTACTCCCGTCCTTCCAGACCACATTTCCACTCGAGAACAGGCCTAGTTTTATCGAACAGCTTAGCCGTCTGATTTATAAAAAAGGATCTGAACCAAAACATGTCTTACGAAGCCAAGCTACTCCTCAGGTAAAAAGGGCTATAGCCATTGGTGTCCATGGGTATTTCCCTACGCCTCTAATACGGACTGTTATAGGCCAGCCCACAGGAACCTCAGTTAAATTTGCCTCTATGGCGGCTAGAGCAATTGAAGAATGGGCAAATGAAAATAACTCAACCTGTCACATTGAAAAAATTGCGCTCGAGGGCGAAGGCCGTATATCTGAACGAGTTGACTTGCTTTGGAAATTACTTCTCAATTGGATTGAACATATTAGAGAGGCTGACTTTGTCCTTGTCTCCTGCCACAGCCAAGGGGTCCCTGTTGCAACAATGCTAGTCTCAAAGTTAATAGCATTTGGTTGTGTAAGCAATGCGCGGATCGGCATATGTGCAATGGCAGGTATTAACCTAGGTCCTTTTGCTGATTATAGATCCCGGTGGATCAGCGGGTCAGCGGGAGAGTTGTTCGATTTTACAGATGCGGAAAGTAAAGTCTCACAGGGCTATCGGACGGCTTTGAAAGCTGTTCTTGATTTTGGAGTAAAGGTTACTTATGTTGGAAGTATAGACGATCAACTTGTATCTATGGAGGTGAGTGTTGATCTACTCTGCTTGGTATCGACACGCGCTGACCTCCAGTTCCTAGTCATCTACGTTTTCAACCGTTTCTCACCCTCATATATACCGTGCAGTATTTGTCGATGGACGGGTACACGCTCCTAGCTTGTAAGTGGATGCCCTCATGAACGTAAGGAAATACATACTCAGCATGCATATAGCCTTTCACATTTAGTTGGTTTTACGATGAAGTTGCGTAACCTAGGTGTCTCTGACCATGGCCTGATTCGAGAACTCAGTTCTCCTCTTGCTGGAAGTTTATATACAGGAGAAGGTCATTCCCGCCTATATGAAGACAAGAACGTCTACAAGTATGATTCCTTTTTGCCTCCATCAAAAATCAGAGTATATGCATGAACTAACCGGCTGCTTCTAGACTCGCAATAAGGTTCGCCTTGGAAACCACCGTGGTCAACAATGCAGATATCCAATTTCATACGATTAATGCTCCGACTGCATCAACTTCGACTGCAAACCCATACATACTTCCTTTCGCCATGCGGGGCGTCCTTGAGGAAGAGTATGTTCGTCATCAACTATCAGATGAAACTACGGAACTCTTAAAACAGTTCGAGGATTGGAAACCATCCACAAAAATATTAAAAGATGTTAAATTCCGCTTAGAGGGAATACGGTCAAAACTATGATACCATTTCCTTCCCCATGTCATATATTGTCTCATTGCGTTTGAGCGATTTGTACTTATTCGGTTTATAGAAGGAGGGCGATTATCTCATACAAAGGAGTTCTATTTCAAATAAAGAGTAATTTTGTCAGGTTCAATTTCTTTTATTCCTTGTAAGCTAACAACATATATCCACTTTAAAAAGCGCCAGGAAATTCATCGTGGGATATAAGGAGATAAAAAAGTTAGAATCTATGGCATCATTTGTATCATTAGACCGGAAGCCAGTGACAGAGTCGGTGGTAGGAGAAGTGAAGTAAATGCTCCTTGATCTTATATATATATGTATTAGAATAAAGTTGTTCCTAAATGTGGTAAAATTGCGTGAAAAAGGACTTGAATATACGGAATGGTTATTCTTGAGGAAACGCCGTGAGAAATGCTCCTTCGATTTCATCTAGATAGTAAACCGCATCAGCTTTATGCTTATGGGATGTCATGTACCAAGACAACGGACAACATTACCTCTCATTCCACCTAGTGCTTCAAATGCCATAGAGTAATTTCGTACAGCACCGATAACGCACTCGAGCCCATGCTGTAGTTCCTCACTAAGCTGGTCTATGTCGCTCAGTGGGCTGTCAACAGTCCCTGGAGTGATTGCACGGGATTTATAATAGAGCATGAGCATTGCGTAACTGCTCTGCATGGCGCAACAGGCAAACGACGGCATTGTTCGAGGGACAATTGACGGAAACTCCAACGAAGAATACTCTTTGTCGTATGTTGGTCTGGGATACGGCAGGCTGTCGAACATCTGCGCAATAGAAAGGGCGGCCTCCAGACATATGCTAGTTGAGGTATAATTCGAAAAGGGAAATGAATCCTCGGGTATCCATTGGGAGCCAGACGTGTCGGATATGGGCGAGCTGGATGAGATGGGGCTCTCTAGCTGGTTGATTGGAGGGGCTCCTTGAAGTTGGTTGAAGTTATTGGTACAGCATACCAGAGGCCTTATATCTTGGAATTCTGGTACGCTTGAGGTGCTCTCCATGCTTGGACTGCCTATGCTTGCGCAAGTCAAATCACAGTGTTTCTTGATGAATATCGGTATGTCGAGAAAAGCGCGGAATCTGTGCGTCTTGATTCGTGCACTATGTGATATGTTAGAACGAAACGACTCCTTTTTGATAAGTAGATGTGTGCTCTCACCTGCACAGTTTAATCCGGGAAATGTATCGAATACTTTGGGCTGTGACGCTCTCTATATCCTGAGAAGCCGGAACCCCGGAGTCTTGGAGTGGTGCATCTGCTTGGGCCAGTATAGACGAAGTCCAAGCGGTGAGTTTACCCATTCTTTCAAAAATGACGGCCAGGTTTGTCTTTGCCCTTAATGCTTGGTTAAAATCAATGATGTACTGAGTGGCGGCGACCAGCGCCTGCTGTGCTTGAATTAAAATAGACCATGCCTGAGAGCAATAGAGAATTAGCTCGAACTGTTCTTCGAGAAGTGTCATAGGGTAATGGGGGTAGAAGTACTCTAGAATCTGATGCAAACCGAGGATATGGGGTGGTAAATCGTGGATCATGAGTCAATATCGTTATTGGCTATGCAATTAGCTTACAGTCCTGAAAAAGAGAGCGGGCGTGCACTCACCACTGTGCCCACAATGGAGCCCTGACAGACGCAATAAAACTATAGATCATTCAGTTAGGTCACTGCCACACAAGTAGTCAACGGAAAGCTTCATACAGTCATCCACCAAGCCCTTCTCCTAGCCTCGGCGAAGGGGCTATCATCACGCGTGATCGCATGAAGTGAGAGATTCATCGCCATAATATACGCTTGGCCCGCTCTATGTCGCATTTTGATCAAGTTTCCCCTTTGAGTATACTCGTATATACTTAAAACAAGAAGGGCAAGGATACCTTCCAGGTCTATCGGGGTCAGTGGGTGAACCATCAGTCGGGCTGGAACGGTTGAATTATGAGCGAGTGCCTCTGACGGGCTGGTTCCGGACTCTTGAAGGTCTGACTCTGCTTCGATGCTGGCAACGGCCTCTCGGGCAAAAGCATGTGCGTAAGCCCTTCGAAGGAGCACAGATTCCGGCGAGAAGGAGTTTGGGTCTCGCTGGTGAGGTATCAATGCTAGAACTGCAGAGATAGCCAGAGTGACGGGGGACTTTGGCCTGTAGGGAAGCACAGGATCTGATGTAGGGGTGACTGGGGCCTTGGTTGGTGTATTCAGGGGACGGTCAACCGTGATTGGTACATGAGGTGGGGGGAAGATTGGGAAGTAATAGTGAATATAAATATAATAAGCATTCAATCTACGAGTTCTAAGGTTAGGGGCTTGTTGCAAAAACATAGATGTTCCAAGGCCGGAGGTGCACTCACATATCTTGTTCGCTTCCGTATAATCTTACCCTTGGCGGCTCGGGGGCTGGAACCGGAGGGTGAGCAGCTGTGGGATGGGCCGGAGCCTGTTGCTGAGGAGGCACGAAGAGACCTTCAAACATGGACTGCACGTCGACCGGGAAGTCAAGGTGTTTTAGACCGGCTCCAGGAACGGCGAGGTCGTCTACCTGGGTGAATATTTCTGGAGCGAAAGTCAACTGCCGTCAACATCCAGAACAACAGGAGCAATACCAACCTTCGTCTATTCGAGGAATCGGATGGACTGTAGCCCAGAGCCTGCTCTGCATGGCATCGCCTACCGACGAGGGAGGTTCTACCCTCTTCTTCCGAGGGCCTCCTCGTTTGCTTGGTAAATAGGAGCATTCTTTCCCCTTGAGGGCGCACTAGAGATGATAAACATAAGACTTCATTGGTATTGAGCCGTTTCATGATGGTCTTTTTTTCTCTTTTTCTTTCTTATTTTGTTTTCTCTGGTATCGAACAAAAGAAAGGGAGGCAGATCAAAAAAAGAAGAATGCCCAACCAGGAAACTGATTGATGCTGTTGCACGTACGCAGGAGCATGGATCCTTTCCATCGCATCTGATTCTTGATGCTCGACTATAGACATGAGTTAGAGTGCTTCTTCGATATATCAAGTGTGTTTTTTTTTTTTTTTTGGGAGGAGTGGAAGAGCCGGAACTATATATGGAAGAACAAAAAGTGGATAATATGTATATATAGATGAAGGAATATAGAAACCTAACATACCAAGAGAGACAGGCGACCTTCACCGGCGGCTTTGCAAACTTCTTCCGAGTCACTTTGGTGATGGACGGTTTATCGATGGTAGGCTGGCGCCTATCATCTTCCATGGCGTCGTTGGATAGCATCTAGAAGATGTTGTTTTTTTTTTTGCCCAGTAGAACCCAAGTGAAGAGCAAGAACAAGAAGCAGGCAGAAGAAAAAGGCAGAAGCAAAAAAAAAAAAAAAAAATGAGAGACGCTAAAGAGTTGGTTCGGATGTTATTCTTCCTGTCATCAAAAAGAAAAAAAGTAGAGAAGAGAAGAGAGAGGAAATGTGATGTATATGGAAGCGAAGGGCTGGAAGGGCTTAAAGGTCGTTAATACTCCGGACAAGCAAAGCAAAGCAAGTGATGAGACTAAGCTAATATAACTTCTTGAGTATCTCCACCGTCTACGGAGTTGCTGCGTAGGAGGATAAAAGCAGGATGAGGAGTCCAGCTTCCTCTCTTCCCTCCCCCCTTTTCTTCCTTGGACGAGATCTAGTGGTTTGAGCGGCCAGCGGCCAGCAGCCAGCACCAGCACCGGCAGCACCAGCAGCAGTACTTGACAGCTCCCTTGTAGGTTGTTGTTCAACCCTGGAAGCAGAGGCGTGTAAGTCTTCTTAGTCTTCTGCTATTCTTCTCTGCTTCTTCTTTGCAGGATGGGCCGGTCGAACGGGTCGGAGGTACTTGGAACACTGAAAGATGATGAAGGGCGTGAGAAGGGCCGGCCGGGTAGATAGTTAAAAAAGTAGATCTAAGTAGTTTATATCCAAGTATATCTGCATGTATCCAAGTATCTTCTTATACTGTCTTGTCTTTGCTGTTAAAAAAAAAAAAAAGGATGATGGAAATTTATTCCCGTACGAGAAGAAAAAGAACGAAGTTGTTGATCCGGAGAACGGAAAGCGAATCGAAATTTGTGATTTCAGGGGGACATTTTTTTGCTCTCCCTCCCTCTCTCTCTTGTAATGTCCTTTGTTATAATCCACTGGGCTTTTCTTTACATAGAATAAGCAAAGATGATGAAGAGGATGAAGAGGATGAAAATGATAGAGAGGAAAGACGGACTCTTTTTCTTTTCTTTTCTCTGCTCTTCCACCTTTCATCTCCTTTGCTTTTTGCGGTTCTTCTAATTATACAGCCTTCTTGTTCCTTTTTCCTTATTTTATATATATAAATTACTCCGACCTATGAAGACCTCTCTACTGACTGATAATATGGATAATATGTATGGTTTCTTCTCCTTGTGCCACCCCTTTTTCTTCTTCTTTGCCTGTGTCTGCAACTCGATCTCAAGACATGCAAAAGGAAAAAAAGGAAAAAAGCACCCATCGATAGAAGAAAAGAAAAGAAAAAAAACCTTGGATGAAGCTGCAGCTGAGCGAAAGAGAACCCAAATAAGCTTCGAGAACCTGCGACAAACTGCAAGGATGCGATGTCTTCGCTAACAAGTTGCTAATAGTATTAATATTACAAAAGAGCAAAATTGCTGGAGACGGTGACGGGGATGTGTAGGGGATAGGGACGGGGACGGCGTTGTTTCCTCCTTGCATACACATGATAATGTAAATGAGCCCACTGGCATGGCGGTCCTCCCGTAGATAGCCTAGATGGGACGGCGAAGAGCTGCTCCCTGCAGTTAGATGGCGCCAGTCGGGAAGTACCATGCATACATCTGTTATCATTGGTGAAATAAAGGAGATATGGAGAAGGGGACCCAATCGTATATCTAGATCCTCCTCCTACATATATACATATAGTCCATCTCCCCTCCCCGCAGGTCAAAGCATCGAGTTGTCCGGGTATTTTTGTGGCTGATATAGGTTTTCGGCTCGAGAGTGGCTCAATGTATGCATCTTGTTTGCTGTCCGATATTCTTTTTTTTTTTTTTTTTCGGTTGTCTCTCATGTATATAATCCGTATATACTCTGTGTATATGCAGGCTCCAAGGCACCCAATGATTTCCCTTCCCTTTCCCAGCAGGGAGATAGCAAAAAAAAATATTAAAAGAAAAGAGAGAGAGAGAAAGAGGGAGGCTCTAGTCAGTGGCCTGTTAATTCAACTGAAACCGATCTCACGCTGTCCCATACGCTCTGTGATACCTTGACAGGTAACTTGTGGCCCTTCAGACACTGGTCGATCAACCACATCCCTACTACAAATTCCTCTCGAGACAACAGCCCGTATGCGTGGTGGCTGACGATATTCCAGATCTGTTCCAGCATCGGTGTCGGTAGCCTGCTTCGGGTCCAGATGTCACGGACTACTATGCTTGATACCGTCTCCTCGAGCGCAACGGACTTGTCCTTGATGTTGACCTGCTCATGCGCGCCCACAAACAGGCCTTTGTTCGCCGCCCACACTCCCTCGTAACGCTTCCTCTCTGCTGCAGTCACCTTGTCACGCCAGCGCTTGCGATCGCCTTCCCGATGCTTATGCGGGTGGGTTCGGATGATTCTCCGGCCATGCTCCTTGCTTCGAGTCCCCCCCCCTCCTCCTCCTCCTCTGTTAGCAGCAAAATCTGGCTCAGGTCGGGCCGGAGCACGCATCGTCCTTTTCATAGCTGTCGTCCGGTTGGGGCTAGGTGTTCGGCTTTGGCCATTCCCCCTTCCTAGCCGGTCACGGTGGTCATTCTTGTTGCCACTGTGGGTAACCTGCAGAAACGACCTAGATCTGGATCGTCGACCAGGTGGTAGTGGGGGAGGGTTGTGTTTGGACGGAGAGGGAGTCCGGCGTGACGCGAGTGTTGAGGCTGTGATTGCATCGGCTAAGGGGCTCTCGAAAACCCCAGAATGTTGGGGTTGTAGTGGACTTGAGCGTGCATTCGGAAGCGGGAGCGGATGCGGATGCGGGTGTGGATGCGAACGAGGTAAGGACGGAAGCGGCCCACGTGGAGTCAGAGGCCCGTCGATGGCGGATGATGATATCGTTGATTGTCGTGGTGCCGGAGGAGGTGGTTTCTCCCTTCCCAGAGGAATCGTAGTTGGCCTAGGGGGTAGAGCTGGAGGCGGGCTGACAGCTTTGTTGCGCGGTGGCGGCGGAGGTGGTGGAAGAATAGACCCTTGGTCATGTTCAGAATCCATCTTCTTTCTAGGAGACGGATCTCTGGTCGTCACTGGCCTGTTCGGAAGCGGAGGAGGAGCCTTGACTCCATATTTCTGCTGCGTTGGCATATTGCGTGCAGCGGACAGTTCTGCATCGGTCACCTCCGATTTTAGAGGTGCATAACTCCCGTTCCTGCTAGAGCTTGCAATAATATCAGTGTCGTCCTCACAGATAGTTGGCGAACTTGAGGCACGCTGGGGCGCATGTGTAATTAACTCTTGATATTCCCTGGTTTGCTGTGAGCTTATCGTAGTAGCAGATGCGGCCCGGGACGGGGACCTTGATTTTGCCTTGGATCCGGCAGTAGATCTATCCACGGCAAGTTTAGCTGCAATGCGTTGGGGGTTGTTTTCAAGCTCTATTTTTGGTCGCGTTATGATGGTAGCACCTGCAATAGTGCTTCCATACGTCGTCTGGTTGTTGTTCTGGAGCGAGGTTACAGCCTTCGTGGACTCGGCCGGTTGTGGAGCTGGGGTTGTGGCTGCGGTAGAACCTCCACTGTCGTTCGGATGAGGGATGAACTGGAGCCTGTCCTTAACTCCAATACCGTATGGAACTGGGTAGACATCGCTCTCGCTGGCACCAGCATTAATAGCTCTATTATTGACGGCCGCCTCCGCGATCATAGCTGCTTTCCGAGCCCCATCATTGATGGGCTGCCCCGCTGGCTGCCTGGTTGGTATCGTACCCTTTGGGCTTCCGTTGTTCCGTGACTGCTTCTGGTCTTCTCGTGACGCAAATGCCAAAGTTGCTCCTTGAAGGGCTGCCGAAGCACTCGCTGCCGCTCTTTTCCCGTCGTCCCCGTTATCCGAATTTGAATTTGAATTCGAACCATGGCCATCTCCGGCGCCTTGAGTCATTGGAACTCGATGCATCTGGCCGATCCCAAAAGAGACGAAGCCAGAATGTTGGAGGCCAAATGGGGGAAGACGACGATGGAAGAAAAAGCAACGCTGCGCTGTCAGCTTGACATCCTAGGGTTTCATAGTGTCTGTCCTCGACGTGATATGACAGCTCTCTTCTGGAGACGATCAGAAGGCGCTTGAAGCCTCATCTTCCTTGCAAAAAAAAAATACGTCCTAGTAAAAATATATTCATGTATGGTAGTGGAGAGAGATCAGATATCTCTTGGCCAGCCTGCCACCCATGTTCCCGCAGTTGGCTGAAACCCAAACATCCGCCCAGAAAGGTATGTATGTAGGAGTTCCTCCGTGCGGAACATTCATGTTGATGCTAAGATCTAGCGGTCTTCATAGAGATGCATGTTATCCCTCTTGGTACATGTACGCTTGCCAAAGGCGTGCAAGGTATTTTCTATAACTGCAGAGCTCTATACAAGTAAATTCTGGATTGGCCTCCGTGGAGCCTCCTCAGTTTCTGAGTACTTGGAAGAAACTAGCTCGGAGTTTTTGCAGTGGAATGATGATAATGGGTGATGTGATAAAAAACGAGAGCCACGGTCAACTCATCTATTCGTCCGCTTTTTGCACAAGCTGATAACACACTCATACGCAGGAAGCGGTGGATCGCCAAAGACTTGAGAGATTACTCAGTCTCTGATACGAAATCTGGCCATTCAATAATACAGCCATCCCTGTGATTAAAGGCTGTCGAGAGCCAAACTCTCTGACCTATCTGCCTCGTTAGCATGAGGTAGCACTTAATATCACTTCGTGAATTAGGTTCCTGCCTCGCAGCCGTTGGCTATCAATTGCTATTCTATATGATAGAAAGCCATTTATTTCTCTATGGTAGGACACATACTGAGTGTGGGGGAACGCGATATCGCCTATGAATCTATGGCGTTGCGAAACGTTAGCAAGAGGCCCACCTTCAAGAGAAGTTCGCTAGTTAGTTGTAACTCGCAAATAAAAAGAAAAAAGAGAAAAAGAAAGAGAAAGAGAGCTGCCAATGTATGCACCGTATATGCACCGTATACGACGGTGTGATGACACGCAAACTGCGCCAGCGGGAGTAGGAGAGTGAGCCTACTATGTACAGAGTATGCTCAGTCCTGCATGAGCCTTGTGATGCCTGATATATGTAATCGATATAATAAAGCGTTAACTAGCCCTTTTTGATTGTTGATAGGCTCCTGGAGGGAGAAGCCAGTTGCGTTGGCGTGCGGAGTGGTGCTAATTGATGCCCTAGAGGATGAAGGCCACATATCGTCGCCTGGACATTGACTCGGGCTAGGAATTAGTATCTGGGTGCTGAGTCTTGTCTTTTAATGCCTCGACGGCTAGACTTCTGAAGCAGCTTGTGTCATTGTGGCGGTTGACAAGAAGATGAAGTGGTGAAGTCGTTGATATTATAATAAGTTGATGCTACGGCCTTGCTCCATAGTTTATACTCACGTCTTTAGAGGCACAAAGATAATGTTTAATATAGATGTTTGCGATAAACATTGCTAATTTACACGAAGATGAGGACGTTGCATGTCTTCCCTAGTTCTTCTCTTCTCCCATCAAATGGCCGCCTCTCCTCTCCTTGCTGCCTCTCTGGTCTCGTCAGAAAAGCCTTCATCTAATCTCAAGGTATCCAACCGCTCTTCCCAGAATGTCCATCTCCCGGGGGTTAGCCCTTTTTCCCCTTGCCAAAGCTCGCTCTCGTCGCCCCAACCCCGGAGTGTCTCTCCGTATTCAGGCTGGCAACCGTTGCGCAGGATATGGCTAGCACCGTGGATGAAATATTGACATGCAGCTGCAACATCGGCATCCTGCTGAGGTGTGATTGGATACCTCACTTTCCTTTCGAGCCCGTCGACAATGATGATATATGCCCAATACAAATCAGTGAGGATCCCTTCACGGATGCAAGCTGCAGAGAAGGCATGGTAGTTGATCCAGTTTTGGCCCGCTGGGTCTGATACATGCTTCATCTGGCGGCGATCTGACCATAATGCTAATTATTATTAAAAGGAGATTGATATATTAGCTGGTGAGTAAATAAAAAGTAGGATGATAATTTGAAAAGGTATCCTACCGTCATGAACATCACGCCAATTAACACCGAAGCTTCTGATAATATTGACTGACCACTCTTCAGAGCTCTCGTCATCATCTGAGGGCCTGAGAGCAAATATGGTGCGTATTAGGCTGACAATACTTTCAAGGATCTCACTATGGCACTTTGAAAGGACTAGGAGCATCACCCATATATTTTCCACATCTTGACAGGCCTTGCCTTCGGTAAGCTGTTCGGCTGCACTGTCAATGCCGAGAGATCCCCCTAAGTATAACTCAAGCGTTTCCAGGTCAGCGAGGTCAAATGAGCTGTCCTCTTTCGCATCAGCCAGCCACTGAGTGTACGTGCTAGTCATTTTGAGCGATCTTCCTATTAGCTGAGCTAGCAATGTGTAAACCACAGGTAGTATAAACACCAAAGTGGGGTTAAGAAGTAGCAATTAACCTGCCTTGTAGGCGTTGTGTATATTGCAAGTGTGGCTGGTTAGTTGCTTCCCGAAAATTCGAATGCCTTTTTCTGTATGCTCGAGATAAATAGCAGTCTCACCTTTAATTCCTCAGAAGTTGCACACTGCTTGCTTACGTCTTGGTGATGAAATGAGTTATATACTGTGCGGACGTGGAAAAGCTGCTGGGTAGTTGAAGCGAAGAATGTAGATTCTGACCTCAAGATCTTGAAGCTATGTACCGTCCTCAGGCAATTTCCAACACAGGATCCGAGTGTGGACGGTAGATCGCACATATTTCGACCTGGGGGAAGCCTGCGTATCGCTCTGCTATTCCCATCATTGTTCCGTGTGAGAGCTCACTGTATCGACAAAGCGACGAAGAGTATCAAAGGCAATGGCTTCGTGAGTGGTCCCGGATGGGTGAAAGAAATAGACATTATCTGGTATTCGCAGTACCATCTGTCCTGGGCTTATAGCGCCAATCCTGATCTCAGTTACAGACAGAACGATCCTCAGGGTATATTCCATGTTATATGGTATCATAGGTATCAGGCCATCCTGTACCGTCACAGTTTGTGTCCATGAAGGACTTGCTCTCAACGTTGACGTTTGCCCCCGAAGTGCTGGAAAATTGCCCATGCCATAACAACCACCAGGCTGTGAACAAGTCTTGTCTGATCGTAGCTAGTCGATGGCTCCCTTAAGCCGCATCAACCCACAACTCAACGCCTCGTCTTCTCCGTCTTGTCTTGTTGGGGGAGAAAAAAAAAAGAACAAGTCATGAAGTTCATCCCCCTTTTCTCTCTCTCCTTTTTTTACCTTTTGACTTAAGTGGGGGGTTTTATTTGGCAAGGGAAGCTAAAAATGGGTTTTCTGGAGAGAGAAACATCGACATCAGAAAGATAATAAACATCAAACCCCCCAAAGACACCGACCAAGAACCCCTAAACACCAGAGAAGTCCTACAAGATGTCCTGGAACATTACGAAGAGTGAGTGGAAAGTCCTTTGCAGTGGCCTTTGAAGACGCTAACGATATCTCTTCTTTTAGAGCTGAAAGAGACTCATTTAAGTGCCCTCTCCAACTTCTCCAGCTCCCTTGCTTCGAGCAAGGACAAAGATGTCCTAACCCCAACTACTCCTACGGCGAGCAGTGCCAGTTCTGCAAAGGAAGGCGGCCCGGCTCCGGATGTAAACACGTCGAAACCAGGCATCCTCGTCGTCACTCTCTACGAAGGCCGAGGCTTTTCACTGCCAGAGCAACACCGAGAGGCCTTTGCTTCACACCACCGCACGAACAGTAGCACTGGGGGTGTTGCAGGCTCTACACAGCAAAACTCACTCGCCCATACCTCGGTGACCAGGGCTAATGGATCTACCAGGCCGCAGACGTCAGGAGGTGGCTTCACAGGCATCCCTACAAACCACGGACGGATATCCAGGAAATACATGCCCTATGCACTGCTAGATTTTGATAAATTGCAGGTCTTCATCAACTCCATCGACGGTAGTCCTGAGAACCCTGTCTGGGCTGGCTCCAGCACTCAGTACAAGTTCGATGTATCGCGCATTGCCCAACTCACTGTTCACATGTACCTTCGAAACCCGAACGCTGCACCTGGAGCCGGCCGGAGCCAGGATATATTCTTAGGAGTTGCACAGATTAGCCCTCAATTTGACGGGCCGTACCGTGAGGTTGAATGGATCGACCTGCAGTACGGCACCGGTAAAATTCAGATTGGCTGGGAGTACGTTGAGACCCAGACGAATAAGTTGAATGTTGACGACTTTGAACTGCTCAAGGTCGTCGGTAAGGGTAGCTTTGGCAAAGTTATGCAGGTTCGGAAGAAGGATACCCATCGTATCTATGCCATGAAGATTATCCGAAAAGCAAAAATCATCTCCCGTCAAGAAGTGACCCACACTCTCGCTGAACGTTCCGTCCTCGCTCAGATAAACAACCCATTTATTGTACCTCTAAAATTCACATTTCAGTCTCCGGAGAAGCTTTACTTCATTCTAGCCTTCGTCAACGGAGGTGAATTATTCTACCACCTGACCAAGGAGCAGCGCTTTGATATCAATCGTTCCCGCTTTTATACCGCAGAGTTGTTATGTGCTCTCGAATGTCTTCATGGTTTCAACGTCATTTACCGTGACCTAAAGCCCGAGAATATTCTTTTGGACTACCAAGGCCACATCGCTCTCTGCGACTTTGGACTCTGCAAGCTCGAAATGAAAGACGAAGATGAGACGCATACGTTCTGCGGAACGCCCGAATATCTTGCTCCTGAGCTTCTCACTGGCAATGGCTACAATAAGACTGTCGATTGGTGGACACTTGGCGTCTTGTTATACGAGATGCTTACGGGTCTTCCACCATTTTACGCCGAAGATACCAATGAGATGTACCGAAAGATTCTATCTGATCCTCTCAATTTTCCAAGTCATGATATTGTTCCCGCCACTGCAAAAGACCTCCTTACCAAACTCCTCAACAGAGATCCTGCTGAACGACTAGGGGCCAATGGCTCAGCAGAAATTAAAGCACATCCATTTTTCCACGCCATTGACTGGAGGAAATTGCTGCAACGTAAATATGAACCGGCTTTCAAGCCCAACGTGGTGAGTCTTTTTTGCTCCCACTTATTTACGCTATTTACCTTACTAACGGTTACATTTTCACAGGTGGACGCACTTGATACCGCCAACTTTGACGTTCAGTTCACATCTGAGCCCGCCCAGGACTCCTTTGTGGACGACCCTGTCCTTTCTCAGACTATGCAAAACCAGTTCGCAGGGTTTAGCTATAACAGGCCTGTCGCTGGCTTGAATGATGCGGGTGGTAGTATAAAAGACCCCTCATTTATAGACAATGTGCAGGATCGAAGCTGATTGACACCGTTTATATTGCGTTCCTCTTTTGGGTTGGACATGCCAGTGCTGGCCGTACTCTGATATTTTCGAGTTCTAGATTCAGTATATCATTTAGCATTTCAATTGCATTTTCACATGTCTCGGCATCACTATATTTACTTGCTCAGTCAAAGGGAGCCTCGCTGTACTTGGAGCCTTATGTTCGTCCATGTCCCTGTGTATCGTATCCCTAGGTTAGTAACCGTTTGGTAGTAGACATGGGTTGTCATGGATGACGTCAGGTCACGTGGAAGGGCGTATTGTTCGTGTCTGCCTAAATCCAGCAGCTTCAACAGCCTCGAGGTCGCGTTGAGGAGGAATTCCAAACATACATTCTTTTCGACCAGGTTTTGGTGAAAGGACGACGGTTAGTTTTGATCTTTGTTTGTTTCATATCTCAGGCGTTCTCCTCGACTCTATCCTTAGCTACCCTGTATTGCTATGGCATTGAATCCGGGTGGTATCACTATCGAGACGGAAAAGGAGCTTGATGAGAAGTATACATGCCTATAGAGTCGCAGTATTGAAGCGTTGACGAAGCTAACTTATTCTTGAATAAGGTACCCAAACAGACCACGTAACCATGGGCCAACACTCCCTTTCCATGACCTTTTCATCTCACTGTTCAACCCTCTTAATGACCTTAAGAAGAAGCCCGCAGGGCCACCAGCAGCTCGAAGGAAGGGAGGGCCTCATGGGCGCAGCAATCTGTCGCCACATGAGTTACGCCGTAACATAATCGAACGGTTTATTTCTCGATGGCGGCAACAGGTGGGCAATGACATTTTCCCCGCATTCCGGCTTATAGTTCCCGAAAAAGACCGCGATCGGGCCATGTACGGATTAAAGGAAAAGGCCATTGGCAAGCTCCTTGTTAAAGTCATGAAGATTGATAAGAACTCTGAAGATGGCTATAATCTTCTGAATTGGAAACTTCCAGGGCAAAGAGCAACAGCAATGACCGGTGATTTTGCTGGTCGCTGCTTTGAAGTCGTCTCCAAACGTCCAATGAAAACGGAAGTGGGTGATATGTCGATAGCTGACGTTAACTCCCGACTTGATGAATTGGCTGTCGCTTCTAAGGAAGACGAGCAGCTACCTATACTTGCCGAATTTTACAGACGGATGAACCCAGAAGAGTTGATGTGGCTAATTAGGATTATCCTGCGGCAAATGAAAGTCGGTGCTACCGAACGTACCTTTTTTGAGATCTGGCATCCGGATGCAGAGAGCCTTTTCAATATTTCCAGTAGTCTTCGTCGAGTGTGCTGGGAATTATACCTACCAAGTATCCGCTTGGAAGCCGATGAGGCGCGCGTAACTCTTATGCAATGTTTCCAACCTCAACTTGCTCAGTTTCAAATGCACTCTTTTCAAAAGATGATTGAAAGGATGAGACTTGCTGAGGATGACCCTCAGTTTTGGATTGAAGAGAAGTTAGATGGCGAGCGTATACAGCTTCATATGGAGACCAACAGCTCGGTGCCCGGTGGAAAGAGGTTTGAATTTTGGTCAAGGAAAGCCAAAGACTATACATACTTATATGGAAATGGTTTCCATGACGAGAACGGATCTCTAACGAGACACCTTAAGAATGCCTTTGCAGATGGAGTTGAAAGTATTATTCTCGATGGTGAAATGATTACATGGGACCCTGAGCAAGATGCCCCTGTGCCGTTTGGTACACTGAAGACTGCAGCCTTAGCAGAGCAACGGAATCCGCTTTCTACAAGTGGCCATCGGCCTCTATTTAGAATTTTTGATATCGTATATCTCAACGGCAAGGCTCTGACTCGATATACGCTCCGAGACAGGCGTCGAGCATTGGAAGCGAGTGTGGTTTCAGTCCACCGACGTTTTGAAGTTCATACATATGAAGTTGGTAGAAGCGCGAGTGACATTGAACCTCTCCTTCGAAAAGTGGTGGCAGAAGCGTCTGAAGGATTAGTCTTAAAGAATCCTAACTCACCATACCGGCTCAACGAACGCAATGATGATTGGATGAAAGTGAAGCCAGACTATATGACGGAGTTTGGTGAGTCTCTCGACTGCATTGTCGTGGGTGGTTACTATGGCTCCGGTAAAAGAGGCGGAAATATCTCAAGCTACCTTTGCGGCCTGAGGGTTGATGATTCTCACGACCAGCAGGGAACCAACCCGATGAAGTGCTATTCATTCTGCAAAGTTGGCGGAGGGTTCACAGCCGCTGACTATGCAAATATTCGTCACCATACGGATGGCAAATGGCATGACTGGGATGCCAAAAGGCCACCTACCGAATTCATAGAGCTTGCAGGTGGTGATGCGCAGTACGAACGCCCAGATGTGTGGATCAAGCCTGACGATTCAGTTGTCCTATGCGTTAAGGCAGCAGCTGTTACGCCCAGTGATCAATTTAGACTGGGCTTAACAGTTAGGTTCCCTCGTTTTAAACGCTTACGAATGGACAAGGACTGGAAGAGTGCACTCTCCATTCAAGAATTTATGGACCTAAAAGCAGGTGCTGAGCAGGAGAGGAAAGAAAAGGACTTTCAAGTAGACAACTCTCGCAGGAAGAAGATCAAGCGAAGCAGAAAGGAGCTGACAGTGGCTGGCTCCGGTCAGGCGAAGGCTGCTTACCTAGGAGAGAAAGGCCATGCTTTTGACGGACTTTCATTCTGTGAGTCAAGGGGTAGAACCCCGCGAAAGATGATTTTGCTAATTCTCCCCTTCTAGTCGTCATGTCCGAGTCCTTAAAGCCAGTCAAGAAATCTAAAGCTGATCTGGAGCAGCTGATCAAGGCAAATGGAGGGAAGATATATCAAACACATACCGCATCGAAGAATACCTACTGTATTGCGGATAGGAGTATGTGAGGAATCTCCCTCATCCAAATGCTAAGCAGTGCTAATATGCTTTAGGAACTGTGAAAGTTGCCTCACTACAGAAGGCTGCCATTGAGAATGTCATTCGACCTTGTTGGATTTTTGATTGCATAGAACAAAGTGAACATGATATTGGGGAAGATGGAGTACTACTCCCACTGGAACCACGGTATGTTCTAGATTGTTGTTGTTCTGGGGAACCGACCGTACTAAGGAGTTTGAGTAGACATATGTTCTTCACGACAGAAGATCAGAAGGAAGAGATCGCCAACAATGTTGACAAATACGCGGACAGTTATGCCAGAAACACCACTATAGAAGAACTGACAGAGGTGATGCCACTCCTACCTACTTCATTATTCTCCGAATTTCCAAGCTAATGCGCTGCTCCGCCCTCCAGGTTCTTCGAAAGATGCCTGTAATATCTGATGTATCTGCAGAACAAAGGCTAGATATTATGTCTGACTTTGCCTTGGATTTTCATGAAGGCGCCGCCTATAATGTAGCAGGTTGGCTGCTTAAAGATTTTACGATATTCTTTTACCCCTGCAGTAAGCCTTCGAAAGTGCCGAGCGAGCCATGTGCTAATGGCTTATCGATGCGTCAGCAACTTGCTCGAAACACGGCCATTTTTACAGGGGCCACAGTTACAGACCATCTGGATAACAACCGGATCACCCACGTTATCGTCGATCCATCAGAGGACAGGGATCCGGAGACTGGAAAGGCCAAGAACTACGATGTTCTTAGATCAGAATTTGCTTCCCGCCGTGCGATTCCACACTTTGTGACTGTTCGGTGGATAGAGGAGTGCTGGAAAGAAAAGACTTTGGTTGACGAAGAACGTACGTATTAACATTCGTGTTTCTGTAATAATTATGCGCTTTTCTAACCCTCGATGTAGGATTCCCTGCGCCAAAAGTAGGAGCTACGGGATAGAATACTCTAACTCCAATCTATATACTACGTATAGTCCATAATGATGATATGGGGTACTTTTTTTTCACAACGGAGGCATGAAATGATACTTTCCTTTAACTCACCCGTCTTGTAAGACTTGGCTGGGTTTGTCCGGTTTCAACTAGGTCTCTGTTCCCCCTGAATCGCTCGTATGGTAACTTGCTGTAGATGGATTATCTTGTTTGTAGCAATGGCAAGACATCGATCATTCATCTGATATATCTGGTCCGATATCAATTCCCCATAAAAAAGATTGCCACAAGTCCCTGCATCCCCCTTTGCATGCATTTTACTGATCGATGATTGGCATTCCTGGGCCCGTATCCTTGGCCGCAACATTCTCGGACAACCGAGCGGTTGTGGGGAAAAGGAAGAAGATTAGTGTCAAGTACCTTCAGCCTCCCTGACGGTTCTCCTCTTCTAACCTCCTAGTCCTCGGAGATGCTTTAACTGTCGTCTGGTTCGTCGATTTGGGCGCGCTTTCGATATCGACCGACGACCAGCAACCCTTTCGGAGTGTTGTCTGGGAAGAACAAGAAGCGCAGGCCTGGCAGACCCTGGCATATACTTCGTAACTAAAGCTATCCCAAAGCAGGCTCAAACACTCGTGCTTCTATCTGCAAGCCCATCTTGTTATATCGCAAAGGCCGCCGCGAGTGGCGTTTCTTGCTCTTGCATCGATCCAAGCCCTCCACCCACCGACCATAACGTGTAGTTATAAATATACGCCGTATCAGTATATATGATAAGTCTTCGACCTTTTCCGATTTTTATCCTGTATCATCCCCCCCTCGCTGTGTTTGATAGATTGGCAGGCTTTGCTTCTCGCTTGGCCTTGCCTCTGACAGCCAATTGCTGAGGACTCGGAGTTTACTGTGAGTTTCTTGTCCAAGGGATAAGAAGAAGAAGCAGAAGTCAGTCTGGTCGAACGTGTCCGCTGGCTTCGCCTCCTCAAACCTCTCCCTCTTTTCGCCTTTGGTTGCGATGGATTTTCTGTTTGCGCTGACATCGACGGTGGTTTCGTTGTAATTAATAGAAAAAGAACGTCGTCCAGATTAAGTCATGGTTCTTCGTCCGTCGCGCGCCGCTTGTCTTGACGTCCTTTAAGAATCTCTTCTCCTACGAACCGCCTCTCTGCGAGAGTTGTATTCTCTATATTCGTTTTTTATATTTTTCTTTGCTCTTCTTGCTATCCGAGTTATTCGGCTGGATATAAAAATCTTTTTTTTTTTCATTGTTATATCAATATGACCGAAGACGCTGCAGAGGGGGCTGCAGAAGCATCATCCGCGCCTCGAGCCCAGCGCCCACCAGCGAAACCGAAGCGAGGGAAAGGCAAGGACAAGGATGATAATACTCCTCCAGTGAAGAGGCGCTGTGTGTCGACGGCGTGCATCGCCTGTCGCAAGCGGAAATCAAAGGTGATAGCCCTCGGTCGATCATTATATATATTATATTCCATAGAAGGGCCCGTTCTTGCTAACCTGTGCTTTATCAAATTGGACGTTAAAAGTGCGATGGAAACACTCCCAGCTGTGCTGCGTGTTCTTCTGTCTATCATACGCCATGTAGGTAACCCTCCTTCTATCCCACAATTCATATTATGGGAACCGTTTGTTGACATTGTATGAAGGCGTATACGACCCAAATTCGGACCATCGCCGTAAGGGGGTATATAAACAGGATATAGACAACCTCAGAAACCGCAATACCACCCTTCAGACGTTAGTGCAGGCGATTCTCACGTACGATGAAGATGACGTCCCCGACCTTGTGCGGCAGATACGATCTGCAGAAGACTTGGAAGTGGTAGCAGAATCTATACTGAAACGTCAGAAGCAACTGGACACGGCCGCAAACGACAAGAATCTCCCTGCTGGGGCTGAATCTCCGTTTAGAGAGGTTCCTCAGTTTGAGTCTGAACTTATCGGCAAAATAAGTGAACTTAAGCTCGACGGTGCTGTGAAATATGTGGGCGGTACATCTAACTTGATCTTCCTCCCAGAGCTGTCAGAGGATGACGAGTTGTACTCGGAAGCAGAGACACCAGACGGTCAAACGGATCAAGATGACTGCCCTACATCCTGGACTACTGTGACCGAGAATAAGGAGCTTATTCGGCATCTGCTGACCTTGTACTTTACATGGCATTACGCATATTTCACGACCTTGTCCAAGGAACTATTCTACCGAGACTTTATGCTAGGGCGTCCGAGCCAGTATTGTTCTGCATTGCTAGTTAATGCGATGCTAGCACTCGGCTGCCATTTTAGCACATGGCCGGTGGCACGAGAGGACCCGAACGACTCATCCACTGCGGGAGACCACTTCTTCAAAGAGGCAAAACGTTTGATCCTGGAGAATGATGAGCATACGAAAGCAAAATTATGCACTGTGCAAGCCCTTGCTCTTATGTCCGTTAGGGAGGCTGGATGCGGCCGAGAGGGCTCGGGATGGGTGTATAGCGGAATGAGCTTTCGCATGGCTTATGACCTTGGGCTGAATGTGGATTCAGCTGGCTTGGGTTCATACAATCTTACGGCGGAAGACATTGATGCCCGCAGAGTTACATTCTGGGGTTGTTTCTTGTTTGATAAGTATGCGGGATCTCTTCCCCCTTTTCTGTTCAATCCCTATTTTCTGTCCCATTGAGAAAAATACGTCTAACATGCGTAGATGCTGGTCTAACTATCTTGGCCGTCAACCACAGCTATCTGGATCTCATATCACTGTTCCAAAGTTTGACGTCTTCCCCAAGGAAGATTCGGCGATATGGTCACCATATACAGATTCTGGAGTTTCCCAGGACCACAATCAGCCCTCGCGAACCAGAGCTGTGGCTTTGCAGATCTCAAAACTTTGTGAAATAAGCAACGACCTACTGGGTGCATTTTATAATACGGCACCACCCAAACAAATAGCGAAGCAGGAGGAGCTAAGGCGGCTAACTCAACTGCACACACGCCTGGAGGCATGGCGTAAAGCACTCCCGCCGGAAATGGAACCCAAGGATGGCCAGTTACCTCAAGTTCTGCTCATGCAGTATGTTGTTTATTATATTTTCTAAGTTATCCCTAAGTCTTTTTACTAACAATTTCCAACAGCATGTTCTTCCAACTACTCTTCATACACCTCTACCGCCCTTTCTTGAAATACACCAAATCTACTTCCCCTTTACCAGCTCATGTTTCCCCTAGAAAACTATGCACCCAAGGTGCCACGGTTATCTCAAAACTGTTACGCTTATACAAACGCACTTACGGGCTGCGTCAGATCTGCAACATTGCTATCTATATCGCCCATTCTGCATGCACTATACATCTCCTAAACTTACCGGACAAGTCTGCTAAGCGGGACATTGCACATGGACTCAAACATTTAGAAGAGATTGCTGAAAGCTGGCCGTGTGCCCGGAGAACTCTACGGATTTTAGATCTTCTATCTAAAAAGTGGAAAGTCGAGCTTCCAGAAGAAGCAGTTTCTGTCATTGAACGATCTCGAGCCAAATTTGGCTCCACCAGTTCCTGGGAACAGATGCAATCACCATCATCATCTGGTGCGTCCCCAAAGTTACATGACCGCTCTCGTTTGTCAGAGCAACCAACGCATAACTCTACACCCGAGCCCACCAAACCATCAACAACATCCGCGCCAATTAACGCTTTGGCTTCCTCCAATCCTCCCACATATCACACCTCAGCTCAGACCGCTCCGGAAGATGTCACTCGACTTCAATCTTCCTGTTCAAAAGATGGATGTTCTACCGAAGGTGCAATCCCCCGTAAAAACAATGATTCTATAACTGAACACAAAGTATCTACAATTTCGCAATCACAAATGAACACCACTCCAGGTCTCAGCAACGAACTCCCCATGGACCTACCCAATTCTCCAACCTTCGTGGACTCCGAAAAACTCGTCCAAGCTAGCCAGAACTGGTGGCTAAAGGATCAGAATGCCCTCGCTCTAGGCATGGATAATTGGTCTAGTAGCTGGGGCACTCCGAACGAAGGCCCTGGCAATAGTATTGATTACCCAACCACAGCAAGCAATTCAGGCCCTTCAATTCAGGCCACTGAATCTTACAACAGCCAAGGTCAGCAACCCATGCATATTGAAGGCCTCTTACCCACTGCTTCGGCCCTTGGCCTCTCTCATCACCCTATTACCTCCGCCGGAAGCTATAGCACCGAGTTCCTTACCTCTCAAACCAGCCCTACCCAGTCAAATATGCCGAGTTACATGCCTCAACGAGATGAGAGGAGCTTTGCGGAGCAAGACGATATGTTCTACTAACTGTTGATTACTTTAGTTCAATCACAGTATTTGTATACTACTAAACTGCCAGTGACTTGGACATTTTGAGTATGTATCTGAATGCAATCTTTCAAATATTTTACCCTATACTATCAACTTTCCCACTACATCAACTCACATATTTTTCTTACCTTTTCTCCTGGCTTTATGCCAGATTTTACCTTCATCAGAAGGTGGCGCGATACTGAGATACACTTGATTTCCTCATTTATCATTGCCATATATTATCGCCGTCAGTATGGTGCAGTTGGCTATTTTGTTTCCATCATCTATGGCATATCTCGGAGAAGTTTTCCATGGGGGACGGTGGTCGTGTCCAATACCTTTTTATCACTTGAAACATAGGCTCGTGTAGCCTCACCTGGTGTTTTTTGACTGAGCTTTAGTTATTGCATGTTATAAAATATCGTTGTGTTCGCTAAGAATGTGAAATACTGTCTTTCGTAGACGTTTGACAGCCCAGCATTACTTTTGCACTCTATGCATCTACATTTATCGTTCACATACTATACATTTGGGTCATGAATTGTGTAGTTCAATTAGAATGCTAGTTTAGATAGTTGACGCTAGAAAAGAGGCAATATCCATGCTATTTATGAAAGTTATCATCACTATTAAATACGTTAGCCAGTTTTCTCAGCAGCAAATAAGGATGAAGTGGAGCACATACCAAGAAGTAATCAGCCACAGGTTTCTTAGCAGGCATTCCACGGGTATCCTGGGGAGCGGCATCAAATACCCGATACCGTCTCCCTGGGCCGGGCACTCTTGTCACATCAAGCATTCCAGCTCTTCCACCGGAGTTACGTCCATAGTCCCCGTTACTCCTAGCAATAGTACCCCCATTACTCGCATCTTCGTCCAGCTCAAGTATAGCAGCCACATTTCCACACCTATAGCAATAATTCGGGGCCGACCAAACGGTAACGATGCCTCCGTCAAACATTTCTTTAAACCCTTCCATGACGAGCTGGTGAGCACGCGCGATGAGCGATAGATCATTCTTATAGCTAAAGTGTTTCACGATATCTGCACCGAATAAAAAGCCTGCTCCGCGCGGGCTTAGGCCCCAACCTTCAATCTCGTCAGGGTCAGACCAGAGGAGATCACACATGGCACCTTCATGGGGCACTTCTTGCTTCCGGTCGATGAGCCTGATTTTATCGACACTATCTACCAAGGGCGAGAGACCACCGTGGACACATAGAACTGCCCCAGTATTGCTCGATATACTACCCATGCTGTCTCCAGTAGCACCGGTCCCGGCAGGGCCAGTTCGAACAGGTGTACTGCTGGGTATAGATGATATGTCTCTTGGCGGTGAGACGTCTCGAATATCATGTGCAATTTCGTTAGACCCTCGGTTTCTTCTTCGGTAAGAGGCGTGCGTGACTTCGCCCTTTGAATTCAACACTTCAGTTTCTAGCTCGTCGCCATCATCTACAGCAGAAGTAGAGGACTGAGTGTCTTGTTGTTCACCTCCAAGGCCTGCCTGCGTCACTACAGGGCCCGAAGGTGATAAATCTGTGCTTGCTCCCAAAACCAAGGCACCCAACGCTAAATAATCAAATACTTCACAACAGTACCGCCAAACGTTGGCGTTGCCATATTTTCTAATACATTCGTCATAAAAGCCGTAAACGGTCGTGATCTGTCTTGATTCATGGTTGCCCCGGATGAGCGTCATGCGGTCTGGGTATCGAACCTTGAGACAGAGGAGGAGGAGGAAGGATTCGAGGGAGTAGAAGCCACGGTCGACAAAGTCGCCCATGAAGAGGTAGTTAGTCTCAGGCACGTCACCTCCAACCCGGAACAGTTCCATCAGATCGTGGAATTGGCCATGGATGTCTCCACAGATGGTGACGGGTGCATCAACTGAAACGACATTCCCCTCTTCAATTAAAATTTCTCGAGCTTTATAGCAGAGCTCTCGCACTTGGTGCTCGGGAATAGGGCGACAGGAGCGCAGTTGCGCAATGGCCCTGCAATAGAAGAAAAGAGAGAATAAGCAAAACGAGCGAGGAAGTAGGCGGGGGTGAGGATTGGCCGATATACTTGTCTAGGTCGCTCATCTGTCAAGCAAAAACCAGGAACCCCCCCCGTTTGGCTATCCAACGGCGTACACGTCTCCCCTGACAGCAGCTCTAGGTAGCTATGAATGCTTGTACGATTCTGGCCCGCTACTCAGTTACTCGGTATGGGAGTGGGTGATGGTCTCGAGGGGGTGTATCAGGACTTGAGATTTGTTATGTTGGGAGAGCCGTGGACTTCATCTTCCTATCACAGGCAAAACGGTATATACGGATGCGAACGACGCTGATGAAACTTAATTCGGTGTAGAATGCAAGGAATGTGCATCTGCGCTGGTTGATCTGGGGTAGACAGGCCAAGTTACGCAGCATTGGTGGCGCGAAGAAAAAACGCGAGGTTGGTTTGGATCCGTGGTTAGTCAGGCGGATGGCGCGATTGATAAGATTAGATCCTCCCCCTGAAAAACAAAAACCTATAAAAAAACTAGCAGATGTACAATATTTCGTCTTCGAAGGTGTCTCGACATGCATTATTCTTGTTAATTAATAGATGAGATGTTCCACAGTCTGGATACACCGCATTATATTTGGAAGTTGCTCTGCGATGAAATATCTCTCCATGCCTAACGGAGAACCGAAGAATTTCCACCATAGACGAACGAAACACAGCTCACGACTCGAATATGAGGTATTATATCGTTTAATATCGGTACTATGTAAGCATACATCAGAACTTCCCTCCTTTTTCATGTTTTTATCTGCTATTGATGCTGTTAAGTTGGGGAGACGATTAGTCACGTGAGCGATGCTCGCTTTTAGGCTTCTTTTGGTTGGCTGCAAAAAAATAGCATGAAGACTTCGAGGCCTTCAGTAGCAGCCAGCGGCACACCCAGAGCGACGCCCGTCCAGCTGCCATTGGCCTATTAACTGGACCTGTACGGCCATCCGGATCAATATAGCAGAATTGTCGGGCATTGATAGTGTGGCCATCCATTTCTTCCTCGCAATCGGTCACTGAAGGACGCACGCTTCCGGAAACGAACACCCCTAGTATCTACCAACTCCATGCGAGGGAATATGGGGCATTCGGCAAAGACCTACGTGATTTAATAAAAAACATCTACATTCTACATTATCAATCTGCCACAATGTCTTCGCATCTCCACCCACGGTCTCGATCGACCATGTCCCTCTTCACAGCAACTCTTCTTGCATCCCTATTAATCGTTGGCGTACCGCATGTCTTCCCTTGCCCTGCTCCACGACGAGCACTGGCCGATTCGGAAATAATAGTGACTGCAGATGGACAGCAGATAAGGCGGAAGAGAAGACGGAAAGAGCCGGCTCCTCCTGGCGATGAGACGGTACCCTCAGGTCAATTGGCTAGACAGCCATTGCTCGGCTCTACAACCACGAATATAAGTCAGATACCTGGAGTTGGGCGAGAACTACGGGAACAAGCGGCAGAGTTTAGACACATGGAAGCAGAAGCCAAGGAGCTGGAGAAATCTGCACGGGAGTGCCCAGTCCCAAAACCACGGGGAGTTTTGGGCCACATTCTCGGATTCAGTTCAGATAAGGGTGGTCAATTGAAGGCGGACGCCCCTCGTACCGACATCCGGTGGAAAAGAAGCGCAGAGTGAAAAAAAAGAACTCTACTTATTGTGAACATATATTAAGGGCCGGAACGAATATGGTTCCGTGATGACAGCAGTGGTCTGTATATTACATTGTGTTAATATCTCTATAAATGATAGATAGATTGTCATTCCTGATGTCTGTTACTACATTACAAGATATAATATCTAGACTATTATATATACTATGTAAAAAAAAAAAATCACGCTTGAAAAGAGACAAAAAAGAACTCCCTGACGGGGAATCGAACCCCGGTCTCCCGCGCTTGTTATCCTCTTGAGCAAGGATTGACAAGCGGAAATCATGACCACTAGACCATCAAGGACTTGCTCGTTGCAAGGCGGTGGCCTGCGACTCCTCTTGACGGAGCCTCATAATGTCCAGAAAGGGAAGCCTTTGCCCTTTGCCTGATATCATCTTGCGTTCTCCCTCTCTTGCTCATATATTATCACGAGAATACACAGCCAAAGTTGATATCTACGGAGAGATTACTCTGCTCCACATAGTATGCCCGGCTGGCTAGCCTTGCGACTCTAGTCTGCATTTTAACCGTTTCATCGGCCAATCCTTGCGAAGAGATATATACTTGCGCAGGTGTTGAATACGGGCCAACCCATGCAAACCAAAGATGCGACGATCCGGAAGCCAATATGGGTTATTTAACTACATTCCTGGAGGATCAACTTTGAGCGACTCGTTCGAGATTCCGCTCAGCATAAAGAAGTACGTAACTCTGCGCAAAATGACTACAACCTAGTCTCGCGTCGCAGACATGGATATATGAGACCGACTTGCGTATGGCATGACTAACTGTGATAGCAGGGAATATAAACTATTTTTTAAATAAGATAGCCACGGCGCGCGGGGAGTTTTTCTTTTTCCCTATGGATTATATCCGTGACGTACAGGGCTTAGAAATCGTGCCGTCAAAGCTAAGGCTCCGGCCAACAATAAGAAGGGCGTTTCCGGCTCGCGGGGGACAAAGAACCCGTCTGTTCGACTAAATTTCTGGGATGAAATGAAATATTACAGCCTTCCCACCTGGCAAGGCTGGACTTTGGCTCTCTGAGTTGGTTGTCGTCGTTGGAGAAGCTATATACAACAACTGCCATTATATACAGCATCTTCACGAATTCGCCGTTCACACCTTAAAACACGTTACAGAGAACAAACTGGACGCAATGGAACAAAAGGTAGGTCGGGTTTTATATTTCATGCATATAGGTTTCTCCTTTAGATTTATATCGCTAACTTGTTATACAAACGGCAGGAGGTGGGAATCTCTACTGTGCGAACATCTCAGGGATCGGAGTTAGTGTTGCCTCCAGCACGTAATATATCATTCTGTCCTCTGACTGCGAGATTAACGATGCCTCTGAAGCGACGAATCCCAAAATGAAAAATCCCGGCCATTGCAGACATGCCACTCGCCGAAGCCTCTATCGCCAATTTCTCCGTCTTCCTCTTCGCCAACATCCCCTTCTTCTTCTGCTCTAGGAACGCTTTTAGAATCAAACCCAAATATCTTTGAAGTCCGGACAAATAAGGCTAATGTTGAATCTGGATTCTCGTACCATCAGCGTCTGTTTGAGAACCATGTGCCTCCTGCTGAATGGAAGCAATTTAGCGACGAAATGGTAGAGGCATTCGCACTTACAACTTCGGAGAAGATTGCTGCTTGGACTGTTGGAATAAGTGTTGGCCTTGTGAGCGCTGTGCCTTTACTGGTCTTTGGCGCCGCACCCGGCTATTATGCCGGAAAGGCTGTTAATGCCATGTCCATAGAGACAAAAGTTAAGGATTACCTGCAAGAGGAAGGGGAGCTGGTCTCTGTTCTAAAACGCTGGAACAATACCTCATTCAAAAATAGGGGACTCTATGTGCGACTGGCACTTCCAAGGAAAAAAACCAAAGAGGGTTCCAAATTCAGTAGCGGAACTTTTGATTCTCTCCTATCTTTTGGTTCAAAACGGAAGGGGAAGGGGAAAGATGGTTCCCAGGACGGAGATGACAGCGGAGAGAGGGATAAGAAAGAGGAGAAGAAACTGCACAACCGATACAGGTTGATTATTGAGGTTGTGGGGGTTGAACCGAAGCAAAAGTCTTGGATTGAACGTGACAATAATATCCCCCTCCCCAAGGGTATGATGGAGCTGGAAGGCAATGATGGGCACGTTGCTGTCCCAGCATATTCTCCACGGGGGACTCCACCCTATATAAGTAGCTCACACCCGGCAGAACTTGAGCCAGCATCGGTTAACCGGAGAGCAGAGCTTGATGGTGGACCTAGGAATGGAGCTTCCGCAGAGCTTGAAGGGGGAGGCAGGGTGGCCGAACTTCCTGGAGCGTCAAGCAAACCGATCTATGAACTTGCTTGAAAATTTTAACAAGATATTACTTTTTTCATGTTACCCCTTTTGATGACTTCATGTTTTATCTTATTGATATGTCTTGCAATATACCCCTATTTTAATAAATGATGACTAGAGTGTCAACCTGACAAGTGAATGCTCGGTCTCAGAATTCATACCTCTGTATTTAAACCTGTATATATTGCATTTCTTATTTAATACTGATATCATTTCGAATCAAGTTATATGCAAAATTGTCACAATACAATTGGGGTCAGATATACCAGCTATGTGCTAGGTGAGGTAGTTAGAAGTAAGAGGAAAATAACGTTAATTTAATCGTAAGTTAACTAATTAGTTACTCTGTATTTAATTGTTGACAATTTGATAAACACGTCTAACACCATTAAGATCGCAGCACACTTACTTCAATTGCACCAGAAGCTCCACGCATATCCAACCTCATTGTTACCCTCGTCATGAGCCAGCTGTACACTACCGTGCTAGACCTTCTCACGAACCCCAAACACTCAAGATGGATTTGCCCACTGCTACTAGCCTTAGATTCATGCCTATGCGCTGCTATCATCTTCAAGGTCCCATGTAAGTACTGATTTTATCAGTCAGTGTTTACGCTCTCTACTGACATCCGCATTAAATAGACACCGAAATCGATTGGTCTACCTACATGCAACATATCCATTTATATCTTTCCGGTGAACGAGACTACACGGCCATTAAAGGATCGACTGGACCACTCGTCTATCCTGCAGGCCACGTATATGCCTATACCGCTTTCTATAATGTTACGAATGAGGGACGCAATATACCATCTGCACAGGCCATATTTGCAGTGCTATACCTTTTCTTTTTAACGATTGTCATGGCATGCTATAGGGCTGTGCGTGCTCCACCGTATATATACCCGCTCCTTGTGCTTTCGAAGAGACTACACAGTATCTTTATGTTACGGATGTTTAATGACGGTATCGCCGCGGGTTTTATCTGGGCATCGACATATATGATGCTAAATAAGCGGTGGAATGTCGCCGTCTTGCTATGGACCTTGAGCGTAAGTGTCAAAATGACGGGATTGCTTGTTGCTCCTGCAATTGCAGTAATCCTCACGTTTGCCGTGGGATTTGGACAGGCGCTAGGAATGGGTGTGGCATTCGTACTGGTCCAGGTAGGTTCTTTTTTTATTTAATATTATACCCTTAGTGGGATAAGTGAAGCTTTCAGTAAGAGGAAGATGATTAAATTCGTTCTATTCTAGGTCTTACTTGGCCTACCCTTTCTATTAGAGAAGCCCATGGGCTATCTGTCAAGGGCATTCGAATTTACCCGACAATTCCTCTTCCAATGGACTGTAAACTGGCGATTTATCGGAGAAGAGGTATTCTTGTCCAGGTCCTTTTCCGTTGCTTTGTTAGCCATACATTTATCATTGCTGGTGACTTTCTTGGCCTTCGTTTGGATCCGTCCGGCGAATAAGGACCTTGGTTCTCTTATACAAAGAGCGTTTTGCGGACAAAGCCTGCAATGCAACATATCCCGATCCTATGTTGCTACAACGATGATGACGTCTATGGTTATTGGGCTGCTCTGTGCACGGAGCTTGCACTACCAATTCTTTGCATATCTTGCGTGGACGTCACCGCTGATACTGTGGAAAAGCGGCTCCCACCCGGTCTTTACGTTCATTGTGTGGGCAGCTCAGGAGTGGGCATGGAACGTCTATCCTAGCACAAATGCAAGCTCGATGGTGGTTGTGGGTTGTCTTGGAGTCCAAGCTATCGGTGTGCTCTGTGGGAATAAGCAGAGGATTGACGAAGACCCGGCCAGGTCCGAAGGACAAGCTAAATAAATAAAATTTCGTCGACAGTCAACTTTGACTTCTATCACACATCCTCGTCGTCTGAAGGAGGAAGTTTCCCAACAATTGACTCTTCGTCGTCACTGTGCTCCACGACCTTCTTAACAAACTCCTTTGGCCTATGACACGATTATATCAGCATTCTATTACTTTTTTTTTTATACGGAAACCATGGGCATGGAACGGACCAGAAGGTTGCTTTTCTCCACGCCTTATCATCCCTAACTATGTTCACGATCTCGCCGGCGAGTTTGTTATCTCGCTCCTCTAGCGCAGTGGAATCGACGACGACAAAGGTGCCTCGCTTCATCCATATGGTAGATCGGAAACGGGCAGGAAGCTCCACCAGTATCGATTCCCTGGACGGCAACTCGACGGAGTATATGTTGTTTCCCGTCGCTTTGACGACTCGAGCGATTGTCTGGCCCTCCTCGAGTGCAGTTGGCGGGTAGAGGGTGTCTTCCGCCGTGGCTAGTATCTTCCTCCTTGGCTTACCCATTTTCTTCAGCGGTATTCAGTCGATCTCACGCCCTCACGTTCTCGTTTCTGCTATGGGCCTGTGAATTCTGATGATTGAGAGTCTTCGACTCTTTTTGTTGTAGAGGAACTGTGTGGTCACGTGGTGGTTATGCCAAGACTTTGCTATTTCTCTGTTTTCCTTTTGATAGAAGCGGAAGAATGAAAATATAGGCAGCTTTTAATATCCTTGAGATTGGAGTCAAAGGGGGATTCTTTTGTTTGTGCTGGCTGTCAGTGGAGATGCCGGGATTCCTCAAGTATGAGGATCTGGTCTTGGAGCATAGTTATCCCTGGCTGAAAGTTGGTACCTAGAGCCACCCTTCCACCTGGCATACTCCAGGGCATCTATATGTCTGTATATAGAGTGTGGCTGCGGTCTGGCAAAGCACTGATATATAGGTACATTTCTGCTAACTCCCCTGTCGATGTCGGCACGACGACTGCCAGGGATCTGCCTCGGATATGAAGTAATCAACTTAGGAATACGAAAGGAAAAGGCGGATGAAGTTGCCGAAGCCGCTCTCTCTCTTTGATCTCGACTTGCTTGCTGGTGGAGCCGAGATGGCAAAGCCGACATTACATATATTCGTTTGTCAGTCTAGAGTGGTCGTTTTTGATAACTTCTAACCGGTTTTTGTTGTTGGAGACAGTGAGGTGTCTATTGACTCCTCTGCACATACTATGTGTATCTTTCGTTTCTTACCCACAATGTGAAGCAAGGAAAAATATACAGGAGTAAAGAGAAAGAGTGATACTTGACTATTTCAGGGGCTGAACATCACCTTGCACATCATCTTTATAGACAGCAATACTCCGTATTCAGAACAGAAACCTGCAATTCTACCTACCACTTAAACAGTTTCATCTTGAAGAGGGAAAAAAGGAAACCGTGTACGTGTTTCATAAATAATACTTAATTTTAAAATATTCTACTCTTAGATTTTTCTACTTTATCGTGTTTTTCTCCCCACCAAACGAAATAAAATGTTGCGGCTCTTTCTTTCCTCCCCCTCCGCCCCTTAAAAAAAAGGAACAACACATCGAAACCACCAAAGTCGACTGTGAAGATGCCTATCTAGAGAGCACTGGGGCGCACACTCGATCTCTTCCTCTTCTTTTCGTTCCTTGTAAGTGGGATAATAGGAGCTGACATTGCTTAGAGTTGTCAGTGTCGCTGGGTTGTGTCCAGTTACATCCAAAACGTCACTAGACACTCCGTTGCACGACCACCCTGCCATACAACGACCGCCCGCCAGAAGCGCATGATCACTATCCCAGGACGAGGCCTCACACTACTCCAGCAATTGCAGAGTCCTCATTCTACGGTCCCCTGCTGTACATATACTTGGGGAAAGAAATCCATCTGCGCTCCCCAGGGTTTTTTTGGCGGCCCTGCTCGCTCTCTTGAGCCCCCGCATCCCGAGACACAAGACCACCACACACACAGTACGCTTCGCCTTTCATTAGCTGAACTGGCCGCTCAAACGAGTGATATTATCCATTAGACACGCATATAAAGCCGTCTACCTGCTCACCGCAACCATGGAGGGTGACGACGAGCTCATCGCCACCGTGTATCGCAAGATTGATCGGGAAAAGGCCCTCATCGCTGCTGCGACAAATATGAGACAGTCAACTGATAACCCGCTTGTACAGCAGCGAGTGGACGCTAACATACGGGACGGACGGAAGAATATCGCCTACCTGGAAGAAAAAATGCAGGAGCTACAAATTCGAAAGATGGGTCGTGGGAATACCTCCCCTACTGCAATACGAGGGTCTGGTGAAGGTCCCCCCATACCCCCAAAGGATGCTGGCTCCTCCTACCGTGGTGACCAGGGAGGTTACGGAGACGTTGGCCCAGGAGGTTATAGCCAGGGTGGAACGGGTATGATGCCTCCCCGGGCACCCTTCCACGACCCACGTCCAGACGCCTCCATGCCCAAGGCACGTCCGAATTTCAGCAAGTTAGGTCGGTTGTATTTTCTTGATATAGTCCCCTTCAAACGCACTACTGTTTTCTGTTAATTATTAACTGGTGTCTACTATCATACAGATTTAATCAAGTATGACACGCCATATCTGGGGCCTAAGATTCAACTTATGCTGTCACAGCTCGAGTTCAAATTGAGCGTGGAAAAGCAGTATAAGGCTGGTATCGAAAAGATGGTACGACTATATCAGGACGAGGGCGATCGAAAGAGCCGAGCAGATGCAGAAGGCAGACGAATCGAAAGCAACCAAAAGATCCAGCTATTAAAACAGGCTTTGAAACGATATGAGGACCTTCACGTTGATATTGAAAGTGCATCGGACCACCCAGATGGTTAGAAGCTTCTCCCAATGCTCCATAATATATATATTTCAGTTTACTAATACTCTGATTAGACGAAAGCTTGAATGCTCCCAATATGCGCAAACCTTTGACGGGCCATCTGACCATGAAGATCCACGCTGTGAAAGACGTAGACCATGCTGCTGGATCTAGATTTTCTAGGGGCCCGGAAACCTTCGTGATCATGAAGGTTGAAGACGCTGTAAAAGCCAAAACCAGGGCCACTAGATCCGACAAATGGACCGAGGAAACCTTTAACGTGGATATTGACAAAGCAAATGAGATTGAACTCACAGTGTATGATAAGTCTGGTGACAGGCCGACGCCCATCGGTATGCTCTGGATACGGATATCAGACATCGCAGAGGAGATGCGCCGAAAGAAAATCGAGACTGAGTTTAATGCCTCTGGATGGGTTTCTGCTGATAAAATGGATCATGGGGCCATACGGCCGGATACGCAGTTCCAGGGGAGCTCATTCCAGCCTGGTCAGCCTGCTAGAACTCAACCCCCCGGGCAAGCCCCCATAGGCCAAAATGCAACAGTTATGGTCGATTCATGGTTTGCTTTGGAACCAGTGGGGAGAATACACCTTACGATGAGTTTTGGTAAGGATCGCTTGTTACAATATCATTTTTACCCATCCCCATCCCATAAAAGTTCATTAAACTTACCTTTAATATAAAAAGCGTACTAACAACAAGTCTTCTAGCTAAACAACTCAAGGACAGACGGCCCTTTGATATTGGTCTTAACCGACAAGGTGCTGTCCGCCAAAAGAAGGAGGAAGTCCACGAGAAGCAAGGCCATAAATTCATTACCCAACAATTCTACAACATTATGCGCTGTGCTCTTTGTGGTGACTTCCTTAAATATGCTGCTGGTATGCAGTGTGCAGACTGCAAATATACCTGCCACCGAAAGTGCTATCCAAAGGTTGTGACCAAATGTATTAGCAAAGCAAATTATGAGACCGATCCAGACGAGGAGAAAATTAATCATCGCATTCCGCATAGGTTTGAGGGATACTCTAATATTTCTGCTAACTGGTGCTGCCACTGTGGTTACCTATTGCCTTTTGGAAGGAAGAATGCTAAGCGGTGTTCGGGTATGTATAAGTCCGTTCCCCCCAAGACGTTTTCACAAGTTTGCTAATTTTGAATAGAATGCTCTCTTACTTGCCATGCTAACTGTGCTCACCTTGTACCCGATTTCTGTGGAATGTCGATGGAGGTTGCCAACCAAATTCTAGAGACCATCATCAAAGCTAGGAATACCAACAGAACCAGTGGTGCCTCAACCAAACCCCCTCGTCCAAAGCCTGCTCCCATTGAAGGTGGATCCCGACACTCCCAAGACAGCTATGGTCCTCCAATGATGTCTCCCTCTGCAGACGCTGTCAGTGCTGCCAGCACTTCGTACATGCCTCCCCAGTCTCCAACGGCAACGGGCCGTGCCGCCGCCTCTCCACATAGTCCTTCGAATGCGGCGGCGGCGGCGGCAGCAGCAGCAGCAGCAACAGGAATGCGCCCATTGCCACAGCAGACTGGGTATGATAAATTGCCTTCGGACTACCCTGGAATTAAACCTGGAGAATCCGCATATGATAACCGTGAATCTAGGCTATCCCAGCAACAACAGCCACAGCCACCACCGCATTCTCATTATGACCCCGGAGCCTATGCCCATGTTCAAGCGCCCCAGCTTCCTCCAATCCAAATTGGGCACCAGCCTGCAGGGCATCAGTACGCCATGCCGCCTCCTACTCAGATGCATCAGCAACAGCAAACTCCGGTTACAGCTCATCCCTCTGCCCTTGCTACAAAAGAACAAATGCCACCTCCTGCTCAACCACAGAAGAAGGCTGGTGCTATGATTGGATTAGATCATTTCAATTTCCTTGCAGTTCTTGGTAAAGGAAATTTTGGAAAGGTAATGCTTGCTGAATCAAAGACGAGCAGGAAGCTCTATGCTATTAAGGTGTTAAAGAAAGAATTCATTATTGAAAATGACGAAGTTGAGAGCACCAAATCAGAAAAGCGAGTATTTTTGATTGCTAACAAGGAGAACCACCCATTCCTACTTAACCTTCACGCCTGTTTCCAGACGGAAACTCGTGTTTATTTTGTTATGGAATATATTAGCGGCGGTGATCTCATGTTGCATATTCAACGTGGTCAATTTGGTCTCAAACGAGCTCAGTAAGCACTCCCATTCCAGTTGACAGATAATAGGCTGTACAAGGCTAATGGAACGTTGTCTTTAAGATTCTATGCTGCCGAAGTTTGTTTGGCTTTGAAATACTTTCATGAAAACGGTGTCATTTATCGGGATCTCAAGCTCGACAATATTTTGTTATCTCTTGATGGGCACCTTAAAATTGCCGATTATGGTCTGTGTAAGGAGGAAATGTGGTATGGTAGCACCACAAGTACATTTTGCGGAACTCCCGAATTCATGGCCCCAGAGGTATGGCGTTACCTCCCGTCGATGGTATTCATTCAATCTTTCCTAATCAATGCTCTCCTTCTAGATTCTCCTGGACAAGAAATACGGCAGAGCTGTCGATTGGTGGGCTTTTGGTGTTCTGATTTACCAGATGTTGCTTCAACAGTCGCCCTTCCGTGGAGAGGACGAAGATGAGATATACGATGCAATTCTTGCCGATGAACCCCTTTACCCCATCCATATGCCACGAGACTCTGTTTCAATACTTCAGAAACTGTTGACACGTGAACCAGAACTGAGATTGGGATCCGGGCCAACTGACGCCCAGGAAATCATGTCGCATGCTTTCTTCAGAAATATTAACTGGGACGATATCTACCATAAGCGTGTCCCGCCACCTTTCTTCCCAAAAATAACCAGCCCTACTGATACTAGCAACTTCGACCAAGAGTTCACTAGTGTCACTCCGGTTCTAACTCCGGTTCAGTCTGGTAAGTGTGATTCATTCCTTGGCAAAAGATGTTAGAGCAAGGGCGGCTAACATGTCCATAACAGTCCTCACACAGGCGATGCAAGAAGAATTCCGTGGCTTTTCATACTTTGTAGACTGCGAATAAGCGTGTACTCACATCTTGCCATGCTTCTTTTTCTTGTCGCACGTACTGAGTATAGGGGTACTTCGCCAATTTTCAAATGGTCTTCATGCACCAGTACACCCAAGCCTCTTTCTCTTTGCCCCCTTTCTATAATGATGCTATTTCTCTCCGTTCTTATTCCCTTTCTTCATAATACCCTTGGTCAGTATTATAGTAAAGTTAATTGCCTGATATACCCATCCTGATACGATCACTTGTAAGGAGGAAATGCTTGCCATTCTTGCAGTGACGAAACTGATCCCTCAAAAGAAAGATGAGATTGGTGACGCCGTGGTAGTTATTGTCTACTCTCGGTCCGTACATATTCTCACCCTGTGTTTAAAAAAAAAGTTGGGGTTGAATGCTTGATAGTTCATCCGTTCTGAACTTGGATTCATCTTGAAGTAAAAGCTAGTACAAACTCCCCAAAATCTCACCGTCTCGTTTAAGAATTCAGCTGCCCTTTAATGCCAAATGGCACCAAGGTAGCGCAGGGTGAAAGTGAGCCCTTTGACTGTCTATCAAAAGCACAGCGAGATCTTGTCTTCAACACGCCAGGTATAAAAAAAATGGAGAGAAAAGTAGACTCTGTTTTTACACAAAAGAAATCCCACTTACCCGATTCAGCCAACTTGACCACACTTCAAGGTCTGGCCTCTTCCTCTACTATGTTCTCTGCTTCAGTGGAATCTGCCAGTTTCACCGGGATAAAGGCTCGCTGACGATAAAAAGACTTGCCTGGCGCTCTATCAAGAGCTCCAAGTAGCTGGCACTTTGCTGAAACGACAAGCCCTTTGTTATGCATCAATCAGATCCGTCTCTATAAAGGAATTAGCTCATTTAAACCCTTTCGCAGCCATGGATTACCTATCGAGTATCTGTCGAAATTTTACTTCTTTCCTTACTCTGCAGAATATACCAAATGCAAGCCAGAAAACTAATACTACCGCTGACGGAAGCAGAAGGCCATACTTTGATCATACGATGCTATCTTCTCTGCGCCCTCATAAGCTACGAAACGATCAAAAAGCCCTCAAGGGTGGTATAAATGAGAATGGGAACCTCACACTATTAAAGTCAGAAACTTCTGGCGCTGGACGAAAGCGCAAGATAATAGGGAAGCTAGACAAATTCGACCCCAATGATGATAAGGGAAATAATTCAGTCCTCGATGGATCGACAATTATTGGCATGGACAATCCTTCGAAACGATTGCGGGTTCCTGCGCGGCTTGATGAGTCTGAATCCCTTGAAAGATATTATTCTTCAAGTTACGATAGCGACCTCGAGGGAAGCACGCTTATAGAAGACGAGCAGCTCGGCAGGGCCAAAGACTCCCATCTTAGCATAGACGATCTTTCAACCTTAGATTCCGATACTTCATCTGGAAGTGTGGATAAAGACTCTTCGGTTTCCCTCGAGGATTATGATCAGTTGGACTCAGACCGTGAGGCCGAAGCTGGAGAAAATGATACTGAACATCAGATTATAAAAACTCCATCTAGACAGCCAAGAATAAAGAAAGCATCTCGGCATACCTGCGATACGGAAGAGCCATATCGCCCATCCCCTAATGTTGTTGACAAGAACCTTTCAAAGCAGATTGTTCACCGTGATACCCAAGAAAGTGATCTTAGTGAAGATGAGATATATAATTATAAGTCCTCAACAAAAAAGGAGGTTAAGCGGGACTTGGATATTGAGTTTTGTATGGAGAAAGCAAGGAGGTGGGCTGCCGCAGTGGAGGGCCCATCCGGCAATTGGGCGGATGCAGAGAGAGACATGTATTTTCGCCTGGCAATGCGAGGATTTGAACCCGTACTACCTCACAGCTGGAGGATGGATTTCATGACATTACCTGATTCTCTTTTCACAGCCCCAAATGACTATACTGCGTATATTTCTTGCAGAAATGAATTCAGAGGTAAGCATCCGTATTTTTAATGTCGCAACATTTATGGAGACTGATAATCTTTTAGGTATGAGATATTTTAACAATCTGGTTAATCTGGGTGGACGTGTTAGGGATCGTATAGCCTGCCATCTTTGCCCTGAACAAGTGATCAAACATTACCTATGTTCTTATCTCCGATGGGCTCTACGCGATTCGGGTATGCACAATCGGCCGCATTTTGTGGCCCCATATTCTATATATACCCTCAAATCCTCACAGACAACCAGAGACGCAGTTAACATCATGAATTTGAAGTTGATTGCCGTGGCAGAGAGTTATCAGAGCTCTTGGTGCTTAACTCCAAACATAGAAAGTGATGATGGGGCCGACGACTATTTTGATGCTGAATCAGAACTGCGGTACCAAGATCGCACATTCCCAGTGATCACGGGGTTTTTGATCTGTGGAACAATAGTGGCATTGATGACACTTGACTCCGACCCAAGGATGAACCCTATCTTTAATTCAAAGACAAGCGGGAGACTAATTTCCCGCTTTGATTTCTCCGAATACGGCCAGGATGTTTGGAATGCATTAGCTATTGCAATTGCGGTAGCTCGGATGAGAAAGACGATAATTCAGTGTGAGCAAGAAGGCAAAGGGGACATTATGTGGATGATTGATCAAATACCTCGTCTACCGGATAAAGATTTATAATTAGTGTCTTGACCGGATCACAGCTTGGTAGCCACCTTCCACCGGTAATTATTTATGATCATTCTTGATCAATGCCTCTTCAAGGTCTTCTCCCGAGGTGGTTTTAATGGCCTTGCATTCTTCTTTCAGTGACGCATTGATGCCTTTGTTTAAAGAGATAACTTGATTATAAAGTTAGGTATATATTGATAACCCATAGCCCATATAATGCATTTCTAGTCTATAGGTACAGAGATATTGGTTCTCCACCAAAATATTACATCTTGTTTTCCATCCAGGGTAGTCATCTTGCCCCTGAATCCTTGGAGAGGTACCTAGCCCTTCCAAGTTATTATATCACGTGACTCAAAGAGCCACACATCGTAGATTTGATGGCACAAAAGTGCGAGCAACTCCAACTGAACATCATCTTGACAATAAATATGGATGCTACACACGATCGAGATATTGAGCTACAAAGAGCGTCTGGCGAGCTTATTGAAGAATTTCGGACAAAATTACCTCCTTTACTTTGGAAACACCATGGGTCCGAGAAACGCGTGGTTCATCGTTGGGCAAAGGCAGCGAAAGTAGAGAAACTAGTCCTCCTTGTTCGTTTCTTTTCCCCAATATATTATGCAGATATTTATGAATCCTTCTAATTTACTTATGTAGTTGGACCCATTTCAAGAGTGGCCACAACTTTTGGATCCCCATCTTAACTGGGTTCTCACACATCTTACGGATGCTTTTCTATCATATCTGTTTTGTCACAAGCAGAGCTATGCCTCCACCGTCAGGATTAGAGAGTCAGGCTTGATGCACCCGCTAACAAGGGCAATATGTAAAATCATATATACCCTATGTAAGGTGCGGGGCCCGAAGGTGATCTCCCAATTTTTCAACAACGAACCGAAATATCTTGAGCCAATGCTTTCCATATTTATCGAATGGGATACCATTGTCAGTGTAGATATAGACAGTTCGACCAGGACCGGTCAAGGCCTGCCGTTAAATTGGGAAGAACGATATGTTATGCTTCTATGGCTATCACACCTTCTCCTGGTTCCTTTTGATTTATCCTCTATCTCATCAGAAAATATTTCGATTCCCCACGAGAATCTATCAGTACTATCGGGCCTTCCTACAAAAACCCCCAAGATAGCGCTTTCAGTTCTCTCAGTTGCTCTGAAATACCTAGTATTGCCAGGAAAAGAGCGAGAGGGTGCTATTCTTGTACTATCAAGACTCGCCTTGAGACGGGATATGCAACAGCTCGGTATCCTGGATTCCCTTGTCAAATGGGCCCTTGGGTATTTAAAGCCCAGCGACGGAACCCCAGCACCTTCAACCTTTACCTGCATCGGGCTACTATCATTTATAGCCAAACTTGGTACCCTGGCTCAAGTTGAAGATATTGCACCCTATGTTATACCTATATTTAACCAAATCCTAGGTCTCTCTAGCGGGAGTTCTGAAGTTTCTGTAACCATCCAATCCTCAGCTTCCACTCGAAAGCTCTTAACCAAGATTCTCCGAGAAATGACCAACCTTGCCTTGACGTTAGAGGCGAGGTCAGATCTTATACATATTTCATCTGATGAAGTATCCACAGTCCTAGAGGATACCATTGATTACTTATTGCTTGCCGTTGGCGATAAGGATACACCTGTTCGATTTGCAGCAAGCAAAGCGTTAAGCATGATTGCGCTCAAACTAGATCCGGATCTTGGTGCAGATATAATAGATGCTGTGATTGGTGCATTGGAGGAAGATGTCCTTTATGAAAAAGAGAATGGTGCATTGGTATCTAAAGAAAAGGCTGAATCTATGCCTGACGGTCTTATAGTGAGGAATGTTAAATCTGTCGATGCTCAAAAATGGCATGGCCTTATGCTCACGCTTGGCCATTTACTATTCCGACGATCTCCTCCCATTGATCGACTATCTCAGTTATTACACTACCTAATTTCAGGTTTAACTTTTGAACAAAGGTCGTCGACAGGTGCTTCGATCGGCGTCACTGTTAGAGATGTATCCTGTTTTGGTATTTGGTCCCTTGCTCGAAAGTACTCTACAAAAGAACTTGAGTCTGTCAAAGCCTGCACAATGGAAGCCAAACATAAAACGATATTGCGGAGCTTAGCGATTGAACTTGTGTCTTCTGCCTGCCTTGATCCCTCAGGTAATATTCGAAGGGGATCGTCTGCTGCCCTACAGGAGCTGATCGGGCGTCATCCTGATTCGATTCTAGAAGGGATATCAATCGTTCAGATTGTGGATTATCACTCAGTCGCACGAAGAGAAATTGCTATGACTGAGGTGTCTATGGCAACTGCGAGGCTTGACAATGTGTACTGGTCGCCACTGATAGGAGGACTTCTACAATGGAGAGGAATTGGCGCGCCAGACCCCAAGTCAAGGAGGACGGCAGCCTCAGCTATTGGAGAATTAAGCTTGCAAATGTCGTACAATGGGATTGGTACTGTGCTAGACAGGATTATGCATATTTTGTCATCGTCACCCACAAATTCAGTCGAAACTAGGCATGGAGCTTTTTTGGCTCTTTCTGCTACGATTGATGCTTTCATTCGCTATCGAACTAATGACAACGATACCCCTGATGATTTTATTCCTTTAGTTGACGTCTCTCAGCAAATACATCAACTTTGGATGGTATTTGACTCACCATTAGAACCTTCTGTGGAAAGTCTGACTCTCCAATCATTCAGACCAGACTTAACCGCAGAGGCTTGCTCTCGCCTGATTTCTTCGCTTGCTCGCTCATACGCCACTTTAAGTGATAGCCCCACTGGCCCTCGGTCACTACTTTTTAATAGTGATTTACTAGAAAAGGTTATTAGCGTTTTGATGCTCTGTGTTCAGCGAAGTGACGATGAGCCTGTCGAAGCCAGTTCCCAAGCAGTGTCAGACTTGTTTACCCTTTTGTCCCTGGAGAGAAAGTCGACCATCATTCACGGATGGCTTAATAGCATTGGCTCCAACAGGAAGAAAACAACTGGCCGTGGGCAAATAGCAGCGTTAGGCGCTGCCTATCGGCACTTCCCACTTAGTGGAAGTGAGAGGAAGCACATTCTTGATGAACTTGTAAGATGTACTGAACCAGAAGAGATTGTAATTATAAAACGTGTGTCCGCCGTGGATTGTATAATAACCGGAGTACTTCCGCATATCGGTATGTATCCGTTTCTTTTTCACTCCTTGCACACTTGCTTCATTCTTACAAAAGTTCGAATAGATAATACAGATCAGATCGAGAATCATATTGAGGTATTACTCAACGACTATACCACTGACAACCGAGGTGATGTTGGATCTCTAATACGGACCGAAGCAATCGGTGGCGTATGCGTGCTCTTAGAGTCTCATTTAAAGGGCGCGGCTAAAGCTTCAAACTTACATAGCATTATGAAGCACGTCATGAGGCTAGCAGCTGAGAAACTGGATAAAGTCAGATTTAAGGCCTGGAAATGCTTCCAAATATTTTGGGAATCAGATGGAAGCCTGCCTCCACTGAAAAGGAAATTTGATCATTTCAGTGAAGTCTCAACCGCTGACTACTTTTCTCAACTTGCTACCCTGCTTCAAGTTGACTGGCTTCGCTTACCTCTAATAAAGGGACTAATTACCTCCCTTACCGCTGGTGCAGACAGCCTTATCAACTCATCGCGCGCTGCGCTTGTGGAATTCATAAATAGCCAGGACGATGACCCTAAATGTTATTTATGTAGGGAGCTGTTCAGGGATCTTCTTACAATACTAGAGGAAAATATTGCCAATGACCGCTATTCCATACCCACTGTTGAGGCTTTCGCATTTTTACTTGAAAATTGCTTTGTCCCGGAAATGCTTGAGTTGGATTCTGAGTATGTGGACCTACTCTTACTTCTTGGCTATTTTATGGACTAACTGTCTAAGGCTAACATCTACTTTCTCGTAGGCATCTAAAGAAACTTTTCCGCCTTGTCCAAAAATCCCACTTCAAGTCTACTAACATCCCGAGAATTGAAGCAGCTCTGAAAGTGTATTTCAGTTTATATGGTTATAGTACAATGAGAAGGGATGCAACGTCTAAGATGATAAATATGCTTCTACATCCATATCCAAAGGTAGGCTATAACGAGGGCTATCAATTCTACATTTCAAGCTATTGTTAATCCAAGATTTTCTAACACTTTATAGATACGGGTTCTTGCCAGCGAATATCTCTTCACTCAAACAGAGAATAGCTTGTTGAAAACACAGGATTGGATGTGGCCTCCGAAGCACCTGAAATTGATAGTGGACAGTCTACGTCAAATTGTTGTGCCATAATCCGTGTTTAGACGAGGAAGCAATACAAGAAGACGGCTGAGCCCTCCTCATCTTTTTAATTTCGTAGTTATTATATACTTAACATGATATATAAATGGCCGGGAGGGGTATATAACTCTATGAGATTTGTGGACGGAGATGTCCCAAATAGAAGCAAGCATTTTAGCGAGCGTTTAGCGCTACTTAGCGACCTCAGCCATATCATCGTGCCGCCTATATGGATCACTCCCGTGTCACGTGCTCTACCTAACTCCAAATCTCCCAAGGTTTGTCTTGCTTTATATTTTGGGTCATGAACCTCTGCATCATTCATGAGCCCGAGAGCGTTTGGCGGATATAGAGCTTCAACCCTTTGCCTATAAGTCCGTATGACTTTACTGGGCTTTATCGCTGGCCCCGTTACCAAGCCGTTGACCTTTTCGTCCTTCCAGCGTTTATGTAACCAAACAACTTCCAGAAGATTTACCATCGGTTATTGTACAGTGATCAGTTGGTCAGCTCTTTAACTCTGATATATCGACTCGTTTGGTATAACTACTAACTGCACCTCGCTGAGTAATAGATCCAAAACCCAATCATGACTTATTTTCCTACACGTCAGGGCGATTCTTATACAACGAAGACCTACGACTACGAGAAAGATATATCGAGTTTGACGTAGATGCTCTAAAAGAATCAGTAACTAAGCATACCGATGGCGGTAAAGTAACTAATCTCGTGAAGCTAGGCGAGGGTGGTTTCAATCGAGTCTTTTCGGCTACACTTGAGAGCGGTCTACAGGCGGTTGTCAAAATTCCATATCCTCTCTCAGTACCAAAGAGATATGCTACTGCCAGCGAAGTTGCAACACTTACCTTTCTTCGATCAAAGGGGATCCCTGTTCCTAAGGTATATGGATGGTCGGCAACTAACGACAATGCTATTGGGTCCGAATACATCATCATGGAGCGGGCATCAGGCATCGGCCTTGATACTAAATGGTTCGATATGACCAAGAAACAACAACAAACAGTAACATTAGGGATTATTGATATAGAAAAGACCCTATTCAATATTTCATTTGGCTCTATTGGAAGTTTATATTTTAAAACGGACATCCCACCCGAATTACAAGCTGATCTTTATGTTCCCAGTACTTTGGACCCCAATAGAGATTGTGATACCTTTTGCATTGGGCCAATTGCGGACTACATGTTCTGGTATGGTAAGCGTGCGGAGTTAGAGGTAGACCATGGCCCATGTAAGTGTTCGAATGTCTCCTTGGCGAGTTTTCACTAAATTTTATTGCAGGGAATGATCCACGCCAATATCTCCGAGCAATTGGGAAGCGTGAACTGGAATGGACACAAAAGTTTGGAAAGCCCCTCGAAAAAGACTTTCCCTATAATACACTTCTTCCTGGTATCATCCACCAGGAGCGTTATGCTGGCCTTCTCCAGAAGTATTTAACAATTGCACCTTTCCTTCTTCCTGAACACCCTCGGGATCCAGGCAATCAACCAACGATTCGTCATCCAGGTATGTTATGATGCCGCGGCATTCTATTTTTAGGCTTTGACTACTAACAATTACCAAGACCTTACACCTAGTAACGTTTTTGTGTCCCTGGAGACTTTCGAAATAACTTGCATCATTGATTGGCAGCATACAACTATTATCCCGCTCTTACTTACTGCTGGACATCCTAAGATGTTTGAGAATCCTGATGCAGAACCTCCAGAAACGCTTGGGGCGCCTAAACCCCCGGAGGGATATGAATACCTGGACCCCAAAACAAGGTGTGAAGTTGACGAGCTCCTCCGACGGCGTTATCTTTACTATCTTTATCGTGTTTTTAACGGGGCTTATAATAAAAGGCACCTCTCTGCCTTTTATGACCCTGTTTTACTACCCCGACAACACCTGGTTGACTATGCAGGCCGCCAGTGGAGTGGGAATCTAATCACTCTGCAGGGTGCACTAATGCGGATGTGTGAATACTGGAAACTTCTACCACCTAATGGCGAAACTTGTCCTATATCTTTCACCGATGCGGAATTAAAGAAACATTCTGAGGACGAGCCAATGTGGTTTGACTTAACCGCTCTTATCAACCATTGGCGTGGTGAACTTGGTGGGCTTAATGAAGAGGGGTGGATAAAATCGGAAATGTACGAGCATGCGAAAAAAAAGAACAAGGCACTAAAGGAAAGCTTCATCAGCGACGCCGACCCCGATGAAGTTGAAAATGTTGTCCAAGGCTGGCCATTTCAGGACAAGGAGGAGTTTTTTTAGTAACTTTGGACACCTGTATAAACAGATGGAAGTGGGTTCATTGGCCAAACCGGGTGGTTTAACTCAGCCTTCCAACATTGCATCTATTGGGTGTTGCGCAACCATCATTTTAGAAATATCAGCTTCAGCCCTATGCTGGCAAAATTCCTTCGTCGATTAAACAATGGCGTGATAACAATGGTGGAACGCACGCCGTGATGGCCATAATGTACATCCTAAGGATGTAACAGTCGATGGTCAGCTCTCTGAGGACGAGGTAATCAAGGCCATCAAGGAAATATCTGCGGGAAGCCACAATATGTCTGACTCCTGTTTCCTCGTTTACAGTTTCTTTTGGTATATGATTGTAATTGACTATACTGCGGTGGGAGAAAGCAGCACACATAGGTATTAGAGTATCTGCTCTCGATATTTTCTAGGGAAAGTCTAGGCGCCCCTTTGTGCTGAATATTCCAACCCTGATTTATATATATTTCTTTCAATAATCTCTTTCCCTTGCTTAACAAGTCTAACAGCATATTTGCCATTTCAGATGGCCTTCCACAATCTCCCGGTCCAGAATAGCTATCCTGTTCCAACCAATAGTAACATCACGAAGTATCTTTTTAAGATGGTGGGCATCAGAGCTTCATTGATACGCCTTGTAATCCTAACAAGAGTACTTAAATCCCAAGGAGTAAGGTATTCTCCAAGGGTATAGAGTATCTTATTCAGAAGGATGTTGGGGTATAAGCTAAGCCTACTGTTCAAGCATCTTGGGTGGACTTTGGTGTTGAGTTGGTCATGGTGATGCGGGGCAACCTAGGGTACGGGCCAACAGATAAATAGACCTGCGGAGAGAGGAATGAAAGGAGAGAGCATGAGAGAGAATAGACTTAACAGCCAGTTAACATAGTATATGTAGCAAATTAGTTAAATAGTTGGAGTTGGCGAAGGTGGATGAGTCAGCAAGGAGGCTTTTGCACTAACCTGGAAAAGGACGATGGGAGCTCAGAGGCATTTCTTTTTGAACAAGCCAACAAACTCATCATACAGAAGATCCAAGGGTATACTCTGAAATAAAAATGGCAGCAGCTGCTGCTTCAGGGTCCCCGATACCCCCAAATCCAACGTGCGTTGACCTCTATTCCTAAAAGTGTGTGGATTATTTGTGCTAACATTTGTGTAGTGTCTATGTTGGTCTCCCACGCGCACCCCGAACATCTCTAGATATTTCTACCCTATGTGCTAACCTACGGCGCAACCATTCCTGCGTTTCCTATTTTCTCTATAGGTTCGAAATTTAGAAGAAAGAATAAAAATCGAGCAATTAAAGGAAGCGTTGACCGAGATCTTTTCCGAGTATGGTTCAATCCTCGAGATAGTCGCGAAAACGAACCTGAAGGCAAAAGGACAGGCATTCATTGTGTTTGATAATGTTGACTCTGCTACTCGCGCAATCGATGAGGTTAATGGCTTTGAGTTGTTCGAGAAACCTATGGTTTTAGAGTATGCGAAGACGAGAAGCGACGCGACGGTAATGAGAGAAGGAGGGGACGAGGAGTTAGAGGCTCATAAGCGGAGAAGATTGGCTGAAAAAGGTGCGCATTTTATTTCAGGACGGGAAGTTGATGATACTAGATCGAGCTTTGATCCAGTACTGACGTTGATTTTATCTATCGTTAGAACGCAAGCAAGCACAGGAAGCTCTAGAAGCTCAGAAGAAATTAAAACGCCCTGCTGGTGCAGCCGGTGCAGCTGGAGGGCCAGATTCCCGTCCAGCAAAGACAGCCAAGGGAGCTGGGCTTAAGCCTATAGGTGCAGCTGCAGCACCAGTCATTCCCGACGAATACTTGCCACCAAACAAGATCTTGTTCTTAAGGGAACTGCCCGAGACGTATGATGCGGACGGTCTGAGCGCTATATTCGGAAGGTTCCCCGGCTTTAAAGAAGTCCGCATGGTCCCAGGGAGAAAGGGTATTGCGTTCGTCGAATATGATAATGAGTCTGGAGCAATCAGCGCAAAGGAGGCTACATCAGGCATGGCTCTTGGTGAAAACGAAAAGCCAATTAAGGTTACGTACCAGAGACAGTAATTGGAGCTAGATGTGTTATCATGATTTATTCTTATAGAAAGCTTCACGGTCGTTCAGGCGTTGGTTTGTTCGAGGTAGTTAGTATCCGGGAGTGGGTTTCAATGCATCCTAGTTAACATAAATTATTCTTTATTTAATTCGGGAGGCTATACAATTGCTAAATCCCACTATCATTATGAAAAAGAAAAAACTAAAATATAACATCGTCATCTCCATCGGCTAGCAGGTCCGTTGGCCCAGACCCTTCATCTGTCTTCTTCATTCCTTGCTTCTGTTGTTTAGCTTTAATCTCAGCATCCAAAGCTGCAGTGTCCCGCTGTTTCTTGTTCGAAACCTAGAGCGTATAATTAATATCCACGCGCGTCGTCTTCGGGGAACAATATGTTACCTTTTTTAGTCTGTAGAATTCCTCGCGGTCCAACTCGTCAAGTTCGGAGTTGATATCTGTTTAGATATGTTAGCCAAAGGTATCGTTGAAACTTGCTCGGGAAGTAACTGACATTTAATCGTATTCTCAGTTCGAGGTATAATGACATGCTCGCTAGAGAAATACGTATGTTAGTATGTACAGGATATTTCTCGTGTCAAGCATCAGCCATACATTGCATTAACTGTAATATATTGTCAGTATTCTGAAGAAATCTGCAGTAATTAGGTAATGGCATACCTCGTCTATTCACCACCTTGATGACTTCATCCAGAATCACGAAAGCTGTCTGTCAAAATATTGGCTAGATATTCCACCACAAAGGGTATACAGGGACAAACCTGTAGACTTGCAAGCTCCACGAGTGTCTCGACAGCCCTTGCATAAGTTTCACGGCATCGTTGAACTTGCTGTCCACCTTTTCCAAGACCTGTTAAGCCAAAATCATTGTTTCCCTCGGTGGTCAAGCTCTCAAACTGTGGAAGTAGCACACCGGAGACATTCTCCTGTTTTGTCCTGATTCGGAAGCGGGCTTGTTTGGCAGACTCCTGGACCTGGAACCCAATATCACCACCAACTGCATACGTCACCTCAGCGAGAGAGAACGCAGCAATCTGCATCACCCGACCCATCTTCCGTTTGGCTTCATCGATTCGTCTTGTAATCTCTAGTAACAGGGAACAATCAGAGTTCCGTTTGTAGACGATATCTGGAATTGCGTACCTCGAAACCGCCTTAAATGGGGGAAACACTGCGGTTAGCTAGAGCGCTCAAGTCACCAGTGTAGCAGGACATACTTCGTCAGTGCTTCACTCTTTCTCTTGAGCAGACTGTGGCCTTGTTCAGCTCCCTTCAGTTTCCCCTTCATCAGTCCTAAAGACTGTCTGGTGGGAAACACCGCCTCACGATCCTTTTAGGCCCTTGAGGTCAGCTTTAGTTACCTTGTAGTACATTGAATCTGATGGAGCTTACCGCTGAGCCTGACATTGCGCAAGTTAGTCGGACTTGTGGGCTTGTATAAGAAGAGATAAAGTATAGAAGGGCTATTTTCTGCAGACTAGATCAAATCGTCGCCTTCCAGGAGACTCCCCTTGATGTAGAGGAAGCAGAAGATGTCATAGTAACATCCTAAGTCGAGAAAGCTCCAAACACCACGTGACCCCACCCTCGACCACCCAACTTACTTTTGGCTCTTTGGGAATTTGTTATTCAATGCACCTGGGACGGACGACAAAAAAAGGACCCGGACGACCTAGCCGCCAGGGAGAGTGTATCACTTGCAGCACTCCTGTGCATTTACTCAGTGGTGACCTTGTATAGGTCCCACTCGCAGCGAGTGGTAGGATGCCTGGGACTCTTGTTGGCTCACGGCCCCAGCAGCTGTCGTCTGAGCGGGACAAGATGGACTCGTCTCCCCGTCGGGATCTTTATTTGATCGTGAGTTATATGATGCCGATGCTGGGTTTTCAAGTTTCTGACTTCCATAGGCGAATGACGATACTGTCTATGAGCAGGATATCCTTCGTGACCCGGGAAGCATCAAGCCGTGGCTCTCCTACATTGAACACAAGAAGCAGAATGGAACGCTATACGAGCAGTCTTTTGTAAGAGATATTGAATCATACAGGGAGGGAAGCCGAATACTAACTATCGGTAAAGGTTATGGAGCGGGCCTGCAAACAATTACCCCGATCATACAAGCTGTGGAAAATGGTGAGCACCATGAAATGAATTTGTCTTTTAATGTCTCCCTTCCCGCCGTTCAAACAATTAACTGACCATATATTGCACTTATAGTATCTTGAACTTCGAGTCAATCACGTCCACGAGCGAAACCCGTCCACTTACCAAGCTGAATACCACAAGGTCAACGCGCTCTTTGAACGGGCCGTTGTCCTGCTGAACAAGATGCCTCGCATCTGGGAGATGTACCTCAATTTCTTACTGGAGCAACCTCTTGTCACTCAAACTCGACGGACGTTTGATCGTGCGCTCCGTGCCCTTCCTATCACCCAGCACAATCGTTTATGGAAAATTTACAAATCTTTTGCTGTATCCGCATCTGGCGATACTGCAGTGAAGGTTTGGAGTAGATATATGCAAATCCACCCGGAAGACGCCGAAGAATATATTTCAATTTTGGTTCAAATGAAGCAATACAACGAGGCTATAAAATGGTACATACGGATCCTAGATGACCCTCGGTTTCAATCAAAAAACGGTCTTAGCCACTTCCAACTCTGGACTGAAATGGTTGAATTACTCGTCAATAAAGCCAAAGAAATTGAAACTGGGCCTCAAGTGGGTATCAATGTTGACTCGATAATTCGAAGCGGCGTCGATAAGTTCCCGGACCAACGGGGCAGGTTATGGGCTGGGCTGGCTACATACTGGATAACTAAAGGAAACTTCGAAAAGGCGCGAGATGTCTTTGAAGAAGGAATCACCACTGTCATGACGATCCGGGATTTTACTATGATATTTGATTCCTATGTTGAATTTGAGGAATCAATTATTGGTGCCCTTATGGAAAAGGCCGCTGCCCGATCGGAGAAAGGAAAACTAGATGAGACTGCAGATTTTGACTTGGACCTACGCATGATGAGATTCGAACAGCTTATGGATCGCCGACCATTCTTAGTTAATGATGTGCTTTTAAGACAGAATCCCAACAACGTGATCGAATGGGAAAAGCGTGTTGTGCTATGGGGTGACAATAAGACAGAGGTGGTGCGTACCTATACTGATGCTATTGCTACCATCAATCCCAAAAAAGCGCACGGCAAATTTTATGAACTTTGGGTCAACTATGCGAAGTTCTATGAAAACGGTGGAGATCTTGATACTGCCAGAGTAATCATGGATAAAGCTGTTAAGGTTCCTTTCAAATCTGTTTCCGAACTTGCAGAGACCTGGTGCGAGTGGGCGGAGATGGAACTGCGAAATGAGAACTTTGACCGCGCCGTTGAGATCATGGCAAAAGCGACACAGGCGCCAAAGCGATCCACTGTTGACTACTTTGACGAAACTCTCTCTCCACAACAGCGTATCCATAAAAGCTGGAAGCTATGGAGTTTTTATGTCGACTTAGTTGAGAGTGTACGAAGTCTCGAAGAAACCACAAAAGTCTACGAACGGATTTTTGAGCTCCGTATCGCTACTCCTCAAACCGTTGTTAACTACGCGAATCTTTTGGAAGAACACAAATATTTTGAGGACTCCTTCAAGATTTACGAACGTGGCCTTGATCTCTTCAACTATCCAGTCGCATTTGAGCTGTGGAATCTGTACCTGACGAAGGCGGTGGACCGTAAGATCGGCATCGAACGACTACGAGACCTGTTCGAGCAAGCAGTGGATGGATGTCCACCTAAGTTCGCAAAAGTTCTGTATCTGATGTACGGAAATCTTGAAGAAGAACGAGGGTTGGCACGCCACGCAATGAGGATCTATGAACGTGCCACTCGTGCTGTTTCCGACGAGGATCGATCTGAGATGTTCAACTTCTACATCACTAAATCTGCTTCCAATTTTGGACTTACATCGACTCGACCCATCTATGAGCGAGCTATCGCAGCTTTGCCCGACAAAGAAGCCAAGGACATGTGTCTCAAGTTTGCAGAGATGGAACGCAGATTGGGCGAGATTGACCGCGCAAGAGCTATCTATGGGCATGCGTCGCAATTCTGTGACCCTCGGACCAACGCAGAATTCTGGCAGAAATGGGAGGCATTTGAGGTCCAGCATGGCAATGAGGATACTTTCAAAGAGATGCTTCGCATTAAACGAAGCGTACAAGCACAGTACAAGTACGCTCACTCTCAGTTTAGGGACTTTCTTTTTCTTCCCTCTACCTTTTTTTTTCCTATTTCACATCAAGGCTAACCAGATATTACAGTACCGATGTCAACTTCATTGCTTCTCAGGCAATCGCCCGCAGCAAGCAGATCGCCAAGGATACTGTGAATGAAGCCGCCAGCCAAGGAGAAGGGGCTGCGGATGCCATGGCAGCATTAGAACGTCAAGCACAGGCACCGATCGGTTTCGTTGCGGCCAGTACAGGCCCGGAGGGTGGCAATCGTCCAGCCGAACCTCCCGCCCCAGCTGCCAACCCTGATGCTATCGATCTTGACGATGAGATATAGCTAGACGATGTCCCTTTCTTAACTCGATCGACTCTTACGACCTTAATCCCCAAAATATCTAGACTCTCCGCCCAATTTCCACTTAGAGCTGGAGAACTTCTTTTACTACCGTTTCTACTCACCATATTCCACGTTCTCTACAATCGCCATGTTACTCTTCTTTTTTTCATCCGTTTTTATCTGGCTTGTTTTGGCGCAGCTCGGTATACCGTCCAAACCAATCATTTGACTTTTACTCCCTCCTTCCCCTATCATACCTGTGCATTACCATACTTGCTCCCCCGTTTAGCTTGTATCACTACAATTTCGACTATCTTCTTTCGTGAGCCCGGGAAAATGGTGTTTACTTGGGGTTTCTGGTGTTTTGGTGTGGCTGTCTCTTCTCTCATGGCCTTTGATTTTTTTTAACAATTTATATTTTCACATCGAAGCATTTACACCAATTTTTTAGCCTACAGTGTGTACTCTAGCTAAAAACAAATATGCCCTATATAATATCTCTTGCTCTCGAGATACATGCCATTCCGTCTATGCTTACATATAAAGTCGAAGAACTTTTGGTCCGGTTAGAGAGCGGGCGGCACACTAAGCCCAATAGAGAACAAGAGCTTCTTACTTCTTACCTGTTAACTTTTGGACCTGCGAAACCATCCAACAGCACATTTTCTTCCTTCTTCCTGAATACTCATTAGTCACGGTACCCTGTGAGTATAGTGGTTATCGGACGGCTGACGGGCAAGAGGATGCTATATTAGAGATATCCTTCAGGAAATCAACACATGTGAGTTTCTATCGGTTGCTGGGGAGGCGCGCGATCCACCCATTCATCGGCTGCTTACACTAACCTGCGTATAGATCGTTGCACCCTTCCAGCCACAGGGAAATTGCTACAGGGTAAATATGAGCATTGAGTCGGGGAAAGATAGCAATGATGGCCTGCATACACTTCACGACCTGCCTCTTCGGGAACCCGTTTCGTCTCCTCTCCCCGGCGCACGAATTAACGGTGACAGCAACACAGCACCGTTGAGGGCTGCTGCATCAATCGCCATTAACCCCGTTGCGTTAGTTACAACAGAATGCATTGCAGTTACGTCGGCTATGCGAAAACATGCGAGATGGGCACACTCGTCCGTGGCAGCAATCTTGGGCGGAGGCGTGAGTTCGCGGGGTTTGGACAGGGAGACTCCGACCCCCATGAGCCCGGCGAACATTGCACTCAGCTCGAAACCCACCCAGAAATATGGAGCTACAAAACCTGGGGCTCTAGACACGGAAGGAGACTATTCACTGGCGGGTAGATGGGGGCTGAGAGGGAGAAGAGGCAAAAGTATCCAGGATAACCCATTGATGTCAGCGTTTACCCGGCTCCGGCTTGACCTGAAGGATTGTAACGATATAAATTCATTCGATACACCATCCCTATTGCACCCGTTTTTACAGGTCATCCGCTCCTCTTCAACTTCTGCCCCGATAACGTCGTTGGCTCTTTCTGCTATAACCAAATTTTTCGCTTACAACATCATCAACCATGCGTCTCCCCGCTTATCAGTGGCGTTGCAATTGCTATCTGCAGCCATTACGCACTGCCGTTTCGAGGCTAGTGATTCGGCTGCGGATGAGATTGTTCTCCTTCGAATACTTAAGCTCATGGAAGGGATGCTCTCACGACCAGAGGGAAACTTGCTAGGTGATGAGAGTGTGTGCGAGATGATGGAGACTGGGCTGAGCATGTGCTGCCAAGTTCGTTTGTCGGAAGTACTTCGAAGATCGGCTGAGATGTCGATGGTGAACATGTGCCAAATAATTTTCCAGAGGCTCGCACGGCTTGAGATCGAGGATGGGACCTTGTCAGCTTCAGAGATTGGGAACGAAAAGGCTGATGAAACTTCGAAGAATCTCAAAATGGACCCTTCAGTGGATGGGGAAACCGTAGCATCACAGCATGCATCAAGTTTAGGAACTGACTCCGTTAACCCTGAAAGGGAGGAACGTGTGAGTGGAGACAGTTCAACAAATATACCCGTACAAGTAGAAGGGGACGGCCCTGCTGCACACACAGATCCATACGGGGATATAGAAAAGGAGATGAAACCTTATGGGCTGCCTTCGATCCGCGAGCTTTTCCGCGTTCTTATTGATCTGCTTGATCCACATAACCCTCAACACACAGATGCAATGAGAGTAATGTCTCTCAGGATCATAGACGTAGCCTTAGAGGTTTCTGGTCCCTCAATATCAAGACATCCAAGCCTTGCGCAACTCGCTAAGGATGATTTGTGCCGCCACTTATTTCAACTAATAAGATCAGATAATGTTGTCATTTTGAATAGCTCACTAAGAGTTGCTGGCACATTACTTGCAACGTGTCGTCGCGTTTTGAAACTACAACAGGAACTGTTTCTCTCTTACCTTGTTGCCTGCTTGCACCCAAGGGTTGATATACCTCGAGAAGATGGAATTGATCCATCTCTCTACTCTGGTGTTCCAAAGGCTCCAAAGTTAGTGAAACCTTCACCCTCGCAAGCAGGAAGTGGCAGGTCAACACCAGTGCCTGTTAAAGACCGCCAAAAGCTAGGCATGGAAGGTGGTTCTCGAAAACCTGAAGCTAGAGAAGCGATGGTTGAGAGTATTGGAGCTCTCGTTAGAATTCCTAACTTTATGGCTGAGCTTTTCATAAACTACGACTGTGACGCTGACCAGGCAGATCTTTGCGAAGATATGGTTGGCCTATTGTCCCGGAATGCATTTCCAGATTCTGCAACTTGGAGCACTACTAATGTTCCTCCTCTCTGTCTTGATGCACTTTTAGGCTACGTTCAATTCCTAGCTGACAGACTCGACCAAGGGCCACCTAGTGTTGACGATCCCGACCTGAAGCGGCTACGAAGTCAGCGTGAGAAAAAGAAAATTATTATTCAGGGAGCTGCAAAATTCAATGAAAAGCCTAAGGCAGGCATAGCATTCCTTGCATCCAAGGGTATAATTGAAGACCCCGATGACCCATTGACTGTGGCAAAATTTTTAAAAGGGACCACAAGAATTTCCAAAAAGGAGCTCGGTGACTTCTTATCTCATAGGAACAATGAACCACTACTAAATGCATTTATTGGATTACAAGATTTCAAAGGGAAGAATGTTGTTGAGGCCTTGAGAGAGTTATTAGGGTCCCTACGTTTGCCTGGTGAAGCTCCATTGATTGCAAGAATCGTTACCGTTTTCTCGGAAAAGTACCTTGACGCTGTTCATCCCGAAGAAATTGCGGATAAAGACTCACTCTTCGTCCTTACATATGCCATTATTCTTCTAAACACCGATATGTATAACCCGAACATCAAACCTCAAAACAAAATGACTTATGAGGGATTCGCTAAAAATCTCCGTGGTGTCAATAATGGAAAGGACTTTTCGACAAAGTATCTGCAGGACATATACTCGTCAATCCAGGATAGTGAAATTATCTTGCCGGATGAACACGAAAATAAACAAGCCTTCGACTTTGCTTGGAAGGAGCTACTTTCGAAGGCAAAGACGGCAGGAAATTTGTCACTTTGTGAATCAAATGCATTCGATGCCGATATGTTCGAAGCAACCTGGCAGCCCGTTATCGCGACTCTTTCCTATGTTTTCATGTCGGCATCGGACGACGCAGTGTTCTCCAGGGTAGTAATTGGTTTCGACCAGTGTGCCAAAATTGCTGCGAAATACGGACTAAAAAACGTCCTGGATCGCATCATTTATTGTCTAAGTTCCATCAGCACGTTAGCATCGACGACACCTTCAAATACCTCCCTTAATACCGAAATACAAGCGGGAAAGAAGAGCGTCATGGTTAGCGAGCTTGCTGTCCGGCTAGGCAGGGACTTTAGAGCGCAACTTGCAACTGCGGTCCTCTTCCGGGTTATCGTTGGTAACGAAGCTATAATACAGAAGAACGGATGGGATCATATCATTCAAATTCTTCATAACTTATTCATCAATTCCCTAATCCCTCAGTTTGACACCTTCTCGAAGGTTCTGGACATGCCCCCTATCCCCCTTCAGCCACCGTCCCAAGTCATTGATCGTGACAATCGAGAAAGTGACACCAGTTTATTCTCTGCGTTTACGTCCTATCTCTCGAGTTACGCTGCAGACGACCCACCCGAGCCGTCTGATGAGGAACTTGAGAACACTTTGTGCACTGTTGACTGCATTAATGCCTGTGATGTAGCTCAACTTTTCACCAATATAAGGTAAGTGAGCCACATATAACTTTGATTATTACCCATCGACTAACGTTTCTAGGAATATGCCACCCGACTCCGTGGTGTTATTTGTTGAATCTTTGCTCTCTGGACTTCCAGACACTGGTGCTGCGGTGATTGTTGTTAAACCCGAACGCCCAGTTCCAAACCTGCATAGGTCTGAAAATAGCAAGGTTGACAAGAATAAACCAGCATACAAGCCCGGTGTTTTATATATTCTTGAACTAGCCACTGTTCTCACTCTCCGAGACAAGGATACAATAGAACGGCTTGGCGACAAATTGACCGTTGCTCTCCAAGACATTGTACGGGATGCCAAGAACATACATCCCCTTAGTCTATCCCGTGCTGTTTATTACCTTCTAACACTTCTTCGCCATAGCTATGTATGTCCTATTCCATTCTTGCTTCATGTTCCTTGTTAGGTACTAATGGGACCTGTAGGAACAACCATTCATGCGACCGCCGGTGGTGCTACATATAATTTCCAGCTTTGACCAACCTATTCTTGAAGTGGTTGCGACTCCCGTCGTTACCGGCTTGTTGCAATGCATTAACGAATCCGAAGCATTAAAAAATGAGCTTAGCACGTCGCCAGATTTCTGGTCAATTCTTCAGAGGTTGCACCAACACCAAGATGCCGCGCAGATGGTCTTTGCACTGTTACAGAGCATTGTTGAATCGTCTGTTCCGGTTATCACAGCGGATAATTATGAGGCTGCGGTAAACCTTACAAACGAATTTGCAACCGCTGGTGGAATTGCTACAGTGAGGGAGATTAAACGAGAAATGGCAATTCGCCGCCCTAAGCCAGTCAAACAAGTGAGAGTTCGGTAAGAGACCCTGATGTTTTATATAATGTTCGATTAGCAGTGCTAATTTATTAACAGAGACAATCCATATGTCATCCGCGGAACTAAAGCTATTGGCGTAATATATCGAATCACAGGTCGGATACCAGCGCTCATCCAGCAGTCACACTTAGAACGAAACGAAGGTACGGTACCTCACATATATCCTATCTGATACTATCTTTAAATAGCTAATATACTTTATATAGCATGGGCAGCATACTGGTTCCCGATATTTAACACTCTTACAACTCAGGGTCTCAGTCCATGTCGTGATATTCGCAATCAAGCCATGTCTGTACTTCAGAGATCCCTGTTGTCTCCAGAGCTCGCGTCGACGGACCATACCGAGTGGGTTGCAATCTTTGGAAAGGTGCTGTTCCCACTGGTCTTAACGCTACTCAAGCCAGAGGTGTATCAGTCTGACCCCCTGGGCATGAGCGAAACACGAGTCCAGGCCGCTACACTTTTGTGCAAGATATTCCTACATTACCTCGTCCTACTTTCTGAGTGGGAAGGTATGCTGGACCTGTGGCTGAGAATATTGGATATCCTGGATCGAATGATGAATAGCGGGCAAGGAGACAGCCTTGTAAGACATGATCCTCCCCTCCCTTTTATTTTCAGTGCGCATCGGAGCATCTCTCCTTTTGCTCCTTGTTGTTGCCATACAGACGGACGATCAAGAACGCATAGTCCTATATCTCCTGTGCCTGTGATCCACTACCTTGTACAACCTTGCTAACGTATTTTAAAATGACTCACAGGAAGAGGCAGTGCCTGAGAGCCTTAAAAATATCCTCCTCGTTATGGCGGATGGAGGATACCTGGCCGCACCGCCAAACGAGGACCCTGCAAAGGAAAAGATGTGGATAGAGACGCAAAAGCGGCTTGACCGTTTCCTTCCTAACCTTTTTGTAGAGATATTCCCTCCTATATCAGCAGATACACACCCTGCAAGGCCTGAGGGTAGTGGTACAATGCAGCCCGAGGCAAAACAACAAAGCAGCCCGGACGCCGGCAATGACAAGGACCGGAACGTTGCCGTGCCTAGAGAGACAGGTAATGCAGATACAGACGCAGGTGAAGTGGGACAGGCCGAACCAGCGGCAGCTGAGTCTGACGATGAAGTAGATTAAACACTGCAGATTTGAGAGACATCAAGATTGGTCGGATAGTAGATACAACTTTTGCTCTGTATTGGTTAGTTAGATGGCCATCTCATCACTTTGCCCTGTGCGAGGATTGCGTGTTCCTTCAGCCCTATAAGCACCACAACGAAGCTTAAAGCAACCGCAGGCCACATAACAAACCGTCAAGGAATCCAGGAGAGTCAAACCATCACATGTCTCCCTCCCTTCCTGCTGCTCCTCCTACCAAAGCCAAAATTTACAGTTAGACTCCAGGAGTTGCAGCAAGAGATAAAGACCTAGAGGTACATACTCAATACATGTAATCGACCGTGGCTGTGCAGGCAGAACCAACCCCCTCCTGGCGCCAAAATGCAGGGTCAAGGACACTTGGATTGACGTTACATCGATACTTTGTGAGATACGGCAAAAAGCTTGCTACTTTGTGGTCCCTGGCAGATGCTCTGTTCATAGTACAATTTCCACTATTTTGAAGGCGGAAAAAGTGCCAAGAAAAATTTTACCTAATAATCAATCACGTGATTATATGAAACTTTGCTTATTAATAACTTTATTATCTGATCTTTACCCCACATGATGGCCCAACTTAACCCAAAAAAGGAAAGTTCCTTCTCTTCTTCGCTTCTTCGCCTTTTTATCTGTCCACTTGGACATCTTGTTCTGCAAGCCTGGGATCGGGGGCGCTTGAGAGCTATTCAGTCGCAGACAGTCCACGTATGACCGAACTGTGGGCTAGAACACAATATTGGAGCCGTGAGGTGTCTACTCAAAGTTGGAGACCCGTTATCGCAGCAGCAAGCCTCTGTCCCACGTTACGGCGACAACCTCACGACCCTCAAACGGTATTGACAGCCGGGGATGCCGTTGTCCTCGTTTGCATGACCGACAACTACGTATAAACAACTTTGGTGGTTGCTGATGCAGGGGGGCCAGACCCAGCACCGATGCACTTCTCGTATCTTCGTTGCATTTCCGTCTGGGGAGGAAGAGCTGGCATCGTGATCAAATGCCTGTATAGAGTCATCCTACGGTATTTCGTGGCCCACTTCTCAGTGGAGCTTGACCTTTCTTCGCGTGGTTTACAAGCTTCAAAATACGGGATTCCTAACAACACATCACATCACCCGACCAACTACAGGTGAATACTAGGAACAAAGAGAGCCGCCATGTTTAGCGTTGGAAAGATCTAGCGATGCATGCCTGTCAAACAACAATCTCTCAAGTCGTTGTTTGAATCAAGCAACACAAGCATGAGGGTATCCCGAACAACCAGTAGTCGTCTGCTCCATGCATTCCAGCCAACTAGCGGACTGCACTCTTCCATACTTCCGCAAGGAAGAAACTCTGCATGCGCCCGTAGATGAGCTTGGCGCTCCATCTGGTTAATGCCGTACAAGATCAAACCGTTGCAGTACAGAGCACCGTAGAGTATAGATGGTGTGACATGGATACTTCCGTCACTGCCCCAATTCGCCACTTTGAGGATAAGTTTCACGGCATCAGAACCACTAGCCACATACTTAGTGTACTATATGGCGTATGCAGCAGGGAATGTCGCTGTCAGACTAGGTTCTGGTCAAGAATCTCCAGACCTTGGACCTTCACGGCCATTGGCAGATCCCTCCTTGATTTATGACACCCCTCACTCCGCATTATCAGTACCCACACCCATACAGGATGCTCGAAATCCAAACTCAGCTCAAGTAAGCCGACCTAAACTGGAAATGGAGAGCATAGGAAGGTTTGGCATTTGATGAGTGAACTCTAGACCATGCTTGATCCATGATTCCTGGTTATCGACGTTGGCACCACCTCTGCGAAGTAAGTCTGGGTGGATGTATATAGCCTGCATCCGAATAAGGGCATTATTCGCTGCCTACAGAGATTATGTGGTCAACGGAGCTGAAATTGGCAGCCCGGATGTTCTAGACGATCCTTATTTGCTTGTAGGACAGAGGCTAAACGGCGATTTCGAATCGCAGTATCACCCCTTGGCCGGATGATAGTAAGTAGCTTTCCGTCGAGGTACGCATTCCTCGCCTCAGGAGTAAGTACATGGATACATGTGAGATCGGCCGCTTCAAAGTACATCATCTCAACGAAGGTTTTGAGAGTTGTTATATAAAGGCCTTTTGACTCGCCATCCAAGTTGGCACTTTTGCCTTCTTTTTCCCATTCATATCAACCAAGCAAGCCCTGGTCCACTTATGATCTCACTCTTACTTTTGCACCTGTGCAACTTGATATAAGAGGCATATCTCATCTCAAGGGTTCTCCCTACCTATCCAGCGAATAACTTCTCTACCGTCTTACTGGGAAGGTTGTGAATAATATTCTCTCTCCTTCATTGTCCGGTTTATCTTGAAGATTTGCCAAGAGCTCTCCATGGCATCTTCCGGTCAGCACATGACGGTTGATCGTAAGTCCTTCCACAACGTCCCACCTAGCAAGAATCGTTGACAGGGCCATTTCGAGACTAACGTATGCAACAATAGCAAAAGTGATCCCCGGCCAAACCAACCCATATCAAACCACAGAAGAAACGATGGAAAAGCATAATAATACTTATGCCGATAGACGAGGATCAGATAGCTTTGGGAAGACCACTTCTGCACCTGAGCGTAAGGGAAGTGAGGGTTCGGCACTTGGATCCTCATTAGGGTCGTCCCCGGGAGATAGAAGGATGAGCAAGGAATGGGGTAAGCCAAAGCCATCGATTCTTCCATCCTAACCCCATTACTGATGAAAGTCTTTCTTTTCCCCCAGATGCTGCCCAAGTGCCGCCGTCGAGATTCCAGAAGAGGGAAGGAAGCATTTTCTCCACCGCGGGGTCCAGGGACAGCCATGTCACGAGGAGGGATAGAGACTATCTGTACCACGCTAAGTTGAAGGAGAAGGTTAGTTTATGGTGTTTCCCTATGTCAATATCAGAGCCTGCGTATCCAAAGAGCGAATGCTAACCAGTAACACCAGGGCTGGGACTCCTAAGAGGCACTGCGTCTATTCTGTGGCTTAGAGATGGTGCAGCCCTGAACGTGGATTATATCTCAGCAAACACTTGAGATTCTTTATTTCGTTTCGCATGCTGATTATTCTCCGTATACTTTTATATGACATTATATTGCGTCCTTTGTGTCCTATGCCCGTGGATTGGAGGGTGGATTTTATATTCTGAGCGCGCGCTCTTGATTTATGTACTCCTCTTTCATCTTGCCTTTTTCTTTCATTTCTTTTAGTTATTTTTATCTTTCTGGCCCAATTTTCAGATTAGGAACAAGCTCGACTTTATGATTTGACCTTCGGGACTATTGACAGACCTGTTTTGGGTTCTCTTGTTTGTTACGGCGTATAACCCGTCCATTCTTCATACATGCTCCGTACATACTTTGAGATGTCAAATAGCTGTCAAAAAACAAAAATCGAACTGCTCATCTTCCGTGGTTTCATTTGTTTGTTGTTGGTGGAGCTCGGCTGAAACGCGTTTAACGCAACCGCAGCCAATCAGCAGCCGCCAACCTGGCGCTGTTTAATGAGATTTCCCGATCTCAACACCCAAAAAAAGGTACGGGAACTCTCAACTAGAAACAATATCTTCAACTCCACACACGCTTCCCTCCGCCCAGCGATTGCGCTCTCTGGCTGGCGCAAGTGCAATCTGTGGATGATCATTTTCTCCTTCTTCGGTCCTCTTCGTGCGCGGCAAGACCTGTCGTGCATTAGCTAGCATGACGCGCTCTTGAAGGGACCTCTCCCCTCCCTTTGGCTTACAGAGTTCATAAGAAGGGAGCGACGGCGCGTTCTGGAAAGGCTGTGTTACCTCGCCTGGCCCACTGGTTGGCGAACGGAGCATACGGAAGCGCGCATATGCCTCCGGAGAGTTGGAGTTATCTGGTAGATTTCGCAGTCTTTGGCGTCTATTGAGAAAGAACGGGAAATAAGCAACCCCCCCTCGCCTGCAAAAGGGACGAAGAGAAGCGCCGTTTTCGTAAAAGTTCGCCGCAACGCGCCCATCAAACCAAAAAAAAGAAAACAGCGGCACCTGTTTCATTTATTCCTCTCTCATCCTGTCGAAGCGGCGTCCATCATGGCTTCCGCGGCCGGTTCGTGTGCGAGCCTTCCGCTCGAGCAGCTCGCTCTTTACCACGCAGTCGACCCGGTCCTCTCCTCGATATTTGTCTTCCACGGATCTGCAACCACGGCCAACTCAACCCTCAACAGCTCGCGCATCCAGGCCCATATTTTCGCACCAGACGGGTTACAGAGCTATCCACGCATCACCGTATCGCCAGCTGCACCCCTATATGCCGCCGTAAACTACCTACCGCGCGAGAGGCAGGGTGATGAAGTATACCGGGGACTAGCCGTCTGTTTGTTTAAATATTTTTCAGAAATCCCAGATTCAGTGAAGAGCGAGCTGGTTGCGATCGCCCGTTCGGGCAGACCGAGCTCTAAACCACTGCAGTTCTTTGATGAGTTGCATGCAGCGGATCTCGCAGATAAGATGGAAAAAGTGGAGAATCCGGCAGCCGTAGTTCGTGATCTGAAAGATGCGTTTGCGGATAGGGTGGTTCCATGGATTGACATCGATCTAGTAGTCCCTGCCGGCTCGATCACTGCTCCAATGTCTCCAGGGGAATCGACACGGCAATCTCTACTAGGATATAACGAATCCAGCATCGGATCTCCCGTCCAGGAGAAGTTCGCTGATCGGTTTGGTAAACTTACGCCTCTCGTAGATGCATTGGGTGAACCTATATTTTTGCCTACATCAAAGTTGCGCCGAGCTCCGTCGAAACCTACTAATCTGAGCAAATCTAAATTGTTTTCCGGTTCTCAAAAGGAAGCTCTTCGACTCTCCATGTGCGAGGTGGTTGACACGGAAGAGAGATATGTTCATAAAATGTATGACCTCGTCCATAATGTCGCGCATGAGTTTTGCCAAAAGGCAAGGGCGAAACTACCATCAAGCACGAGCCCGGATGAATCAACGTTGGCCAAGCTGTTTCCGCCTTGTCTAAATGAAATCCTTGAGGTAAATATGGGATTTTTAGATGCCATACGCCTTGTCCTTGAAGAAACAGAGAAAAATGCTCTAGAAGATCTATCCCAAGATACCATGCTTGAGCCGTCAGTCTTCCCTCGTGATCCTACCACCGGCCGACGTACAGACCCTTTAGGTGCGATTGCTTTTGCCCAGTGCTTGACTGATTGGTTTCCACGTTTTTCCAAGCCGTATGGACAATATATGCATGCCCATACGGGATTCTACTCTCTTCTCAATTCTTTTCTGGGCGATCAGAATTCCTCTTTTTCTAAACGAGTCTACGAGACGGGGGAACAACGAATGCGTTCGTTGCTCATGGAACCCATTCAACGTCTTCCACGGTACAGCCTTTTAATTGATACTATGACAGGATCTCTTCCATCCATTCACCCTGCAGTGAAGGCACTGCTTAAGGCGCGTGATATTATCACAGAAATATGTTCATTAGATTCATATTCAGAATCTGATCACTCTCAGACTCTAATACACTTGCGGAAGATCGTCCAAGAGTGGCCAATGTCTGTCGCGCCGACTGGCCGTTTAATCACCGCTGCAGATGTGTATAGCCTCCTACCACCTTTCCGGTCTGGTCCGTCAGGGTCAAGAGGCCAACCAGGCATACTGTTACTTTTTGCTGATTGCTTAGTCTTTCTATCTAAACACCCAGAGAGCAAATGGACAGCCCGTGGATTATGCGCCGATCTTGATAAAGCCAGGGTTGATACGGATGTGGACGGGGTGGAAACCGCGGCCACGTTAGAGCTTACATTTGGCCAACATATGCCGACCACCAGCATTCGTTGCTCACAGTCTAAGTGCGGACGCATCCTATTTCTTACTCCAGCCGAGAAATTTATCCAACATGAACATTCACGCTCAAAAAATATTCTTCTTTCCCTTGAACTTGCATCAACCTACGAAGCCAAAGCAACAAAATTAATTGAAGAAATAACCAAGGCTAGAATCGAAGGTCGATTCCCAGAGCATTATAGGGAGCAAGGAAAGTGGTCGCTCCATAATGCAAGAGGAGCTTTTGGCAATTTGGGAGCGCTCATTTGTGTTTTTGAACACGACGACACTGAACCTGATATACCCAAGTTTCCATCTAGTGTGAAATTGATTGTCGACGCGACAAAGGAAACTATGACGGAGCAGCTAAATTCAGGCCAGATAGAAGTCGTTGCATCGATTTTCCCAATGCTAGGAGACTCCAGGTATAAGATGGATTTAGATTCCGTCATTGGTGCTCCATCTAGTGATACCTTTTCCGCGAAAGACTTTATAACAACGTTGTCCAAACGAAGTAAGTAGACATATTGCCTCTCGCTGGAGATATTGTGACTAACCCTTTTTGTTAGTTACGGCTTTACTGCACCCCCTCTCTCAGCCTCAAAACCCTCTACTTACTGAATCAGTTCTCCAAAACAATCTTAATATCTTGCGTATTGTTGCTCAACACATCTTGGGGGTTTCAAAAGGGTCTAAGGCCTTCCGGCCGCCATCCCCAACAAAGTTGTTGTCCACACTTTGGGGTGCTGGACAACCTAAAGGTCTCGGCCATTCGCCTTCTAAATCACTTCCATCGCTCCCAGTATTATCACACACTGTCCCGACTCTACAACCTCAATCATCAAATATTAACCTAGATGATGATGTCCCACATAAAACCCCTCATGGAGGGATTAGTATTCCTGATGGCACCTCAAGCCCATTCGAGCAGCTGGAAAACACATTTACTGCTTATACCCTTGCAATTCGTTCGAGAAGTGGAAACATTGTCGGTCGAGTACTAAGATCCCGGGACCGAGTTGATGCGGCAGCGGTCAATGAGCTTTACAACATCCTTTTAGAAGATCCCAGTCAACTTCAAGCCGCAGCGGAATCCCCAGTTGACATGCTAATCGTTGCTTTTGAAACCTTCCTTGACAAAGCGTGGAAGGAAAAGTTTGGCCCCATAATATCCCAAACTTCTTTATTGATTTTACTAGCTAAATTTGACGCTTTATTCCCTGGAGATTTTGAAGATTATTTCCATGGCTTCCTGTCTGAGATGAGCCCACAGACTCGCCGTGCGCTTACGGCATTGATACAGTTGCTTGCACAATTGCTAAACGATTCTGGAAATGATGGTGATAGGGGTGCGTTAACGGATGTATTCTCCGAAATCCTTACCGAGGAAGGTGATGCAAGGAAAACCATACCCCTTCTTGATAGGCTAGTGGAAGATTTTGAACGCTTATTTGATGAATCCGAGCCAGCAGCACCTGATGGACATCTTGCCCATGAAGTGAGCCGAGGAATGCTCACGTCAGGGTCGATAGGCTCGAATGCATCGTCATTCCGAAAGCGATTTGGATTTGGTTTGAGTCGGGAAAACAGTATCAAAGATGGAGAGGGCAAAGTCAGCTCTATAATTCGGTCTTTGAGTAAATCAAAAGGCAACCCGGAGGCTGACCTTTCGCTCTCCAAAAACTCACTCATGCGGTCAAAGTCTACAGATACAGACAGTCGCCTACACAGTCTCCTAAGACCTCGATCGCGGGATCGACCCCCCATGCAGACAATATTCGCCCAGGATGAAGAAATCAGTCGCCCAGCCAGTTCAAATAGCAATACACACACTTCTCTCGCATCTATTGTCGAAAATCCCGTTGTGGGGAGAAGGATTGCTCCCAGAAAAAAGAGAAGGAGTTCACTATCCGATCTGAAGGAGCTTTCATCTGCTGATATAGCACCTCTTTTTGCTAACAGGGAATTCAAAAAGTCTCCAAGCATTCTCGCCACTCCAACTACACAAATCCCTGAACCAGCAACACCCCCAGCCAAACCATTGGGTCTGCCAAATCATAGTGCGCAACACACCCCGATTCAAAATACACCTCCAACCCGAATAGCATCCCCGGTGCGTCAAATAACTGCAAACTTGAAAGAAAATGCCCCTCCTCCCTCTCCTAGGACGACACTAGCAGACCGGACGAATAGAAGACCGCATGCCTCAACGATCTCTATGCCACTTCGGAGGAGAGCGGACAGTACGCGAGCTGGTACCCCGTCAAAGATTGCAGGTCCTCGAGAAAAACCACCCCGGCCGAGCAGCAGTGATGGTTATGGACGTAGGCTTCAAACTCAGCAATCAACTACGCCTCCTAAGACACAAAAATTACGAATGCAAACCCCACAAAAGGTATGTATATTCCCTACCTGATATACTGACTTGGGGTATCTCTAATATCTATCCTTATAGCTACGCGAGCGTGTTTTAAATGAACGAAAGGCCATGGCCTCTGCCGAGGCCTCTTTGCAAGCCGAGCTCGCATCAGTTACCGAAGAGCTAACTTCCACTTCCCCATCTAGAAGGCGTCCATTATCCTCTGCTGGTTCTCAGTCAAGGCCCATTTCTTCGCCTCCTACCGCTTCTTCGTCCAATGCCCTTCTTCAAAGAGTTCGTACCCTTGAAAACAAACTCTCTGCAATGACGTCAAATCTTGGGGCTAGGGCGACAACTCTTGAAAACGACCTGGAGAACTCCCTTCTTGTCTCTGAGAAACGCGCTCGTAAACTTGACGAACTCTACCGTGAAGCTGGAAAGGAAAATGAAGCTTTATATGAACGATTCAACAATGAATTAAGCAAAATGGCCCGGGAAATTCGACTTGGTGCGGGCGAGGAGGCGCTTAAGAACCAACTAAAGGATGCACTTGATGAGGTTGCCCGGGTGAAGAAGGAGAACATGAGACTCAAAAGGGAAATCAGCGGTTTGAGAGCGCAGCAAATAGGCGAGCCTTCGGGTTGACGCAAGAGAATCAGCTTGGAGCTACAACTCTCTAGAGAATTTGTATGGAAGGTTGCTGAACCTTTCCTTTCTCTATACATCGCTAGTTGACACGCCACAAGTACGGGACTAGAATTGGGTAATAATATGGTTTTAGGGTTAAATCTCACTTACCAGGGGGCATCTTTATGTCCTGTATTCATTTGTACATGGTTAGGTAGTATATCTTACTCCTAGCCTTACAAAATAATTCCTCCTTTCCAGTGATGATAGTTTAATATACAAAACGTACTGAGGCACTTCACATAAACTTGTATCATATGCACCATCTAAATACTGTGCCAGGACACAGCTCGGACGGTATTCGGATCTATCCATTTATACCTTATTTCCCATTCTATGCCCCATGGAACATCCAATGTTGCAGCAACATTTTTTCCCTCGGCATTCATGACGGGCGTTCTCACCCGTATTTTGGTCCGGAAGGACATTGGTAAAGATGGCATCCCCAAAAGCTGCTCTTGCAAATTCTCCAATTCTTCACCGTCTCCTTTTTCCGGCACGACATCAGTTAATATCGGAGCCGAGAACCGTATTTTCCCGGGAGCCAGAAGAGTGAGGAGTTTCTGGAACACTGATGGAGTTATAGGCGAAACAGAGGCCGACTTTTTCGATAGTGTTGTACTTTTCGATAAAATCGTTTGAGGAGCCAGATAGTCGGCTAGTGTTGAGTTTTGCAAGGCTAGATGAGAGTGAGTATGGAGTTCGTGTCCTTCACCTCTGGATAAATCCCCCTTTGCGATATCTCTACCTAGTGACCTCCTCACAGCCCCTCCTAGAATTTTTCGAATCCGGATTAAGTCAGTCGACCCTAGAGCACGAAGTCTGATAGGGATTTCAGAATTGGGCGAATATCGGGGAAATATAGACTGGTGTTTCCCCCAAGGCTTGTCACCTTGTTCGGTTCCTTCTTGGAGGTGACCGTGCTGTTGAATACTAGAACGGCCACGTATGCGGATCCAGTACCGATTATCCCAGAGTTTCCAATCTGTCCAGTCAGTATAAATGAACTTCCCGGTGCCTTGTCGTTCTCGTTTGTCTTCCGCCTGTAGTATAACCCCTTTCTTAGTTCTGGTTACTCTGTAATTCGGTATTCTCAAAACAAACTCTGTTGTTGGCTGCGTTTTGCCAGAGTGCATAGGCTGTCTTGATAGGAGCCAAATATTATCTTGCCCATCAGAAAACGGAGAGAATTCTTGATTTTGAACCTGCAAGTTACCAGGGAGGTTCGGTGGTAGAGATTTAGAGACGGATTTTCGTCCGCTCTTCTGTTTTATGGATTGCCACAGAACTCCGCCTACAGTGAAAACGGTGCCGTTCATACCTGATGGATCAAACCCCAAAAATGCTTTGCAGGCAGGATTCCGGAAATGTGATAACGGGCTCCATCGATCAGGGTACGGTGAAATAATGTCGCATAAGCTTCGCATTACTGATGCATATATGTCTCGTATCCCATCTGGGAGCGAAGTCTGTTTATCGACAGCTTTTCTCTGATCCTGGGGGAGCTCAGACATAGCTGGCATTTTAATGACTAGCGTCCCGAAGTGGGTGTCGAAGTTGAGGATCTCCACCTTTTTGAGGAGCGAGTCGCATAACAATCGGAATTTTTCAGTGTGCTCTCTCGACTTATCCACCAGGGACAGTATGGACGGACGTTGCAGTGCCCGTGGAAGCAAGTCTTCTGATTCTAGGAGCTGCCGTACTGTATTCCGAATAGTAAATGTGCGGTCTTCATTCGTGGAGTCGGAGACAAACGGTATTTTGTTATCCTGGCAGGTAGCTACAAGTCGTGGTTTCGAAAAGGATCGGAACGGGCGGAGTAGATAAACCCCGCCCGTAGATATTTGCATCTGCCCTGATGTAGAGTTTATATTACGGGCGATTATTCGAGAAGATGGGTATGGGACAGTTCCGTCCATATTTGTACTTTCAACGATGTCTTGGAGAGATGCAGTAAACCCGCTCTTGCTTACCCCATATAGGCCATGGCATTCTGGAATAGGAGCAATCTCGTCAAATCCAATCAGACCAAGTTTTCTGTGGCCTTTAGATACACGCATAAGAGCAGTTTCCACATTGTCATCTTGATGATGGCCTAGGAGAAGAGCTCTGATGCTATCAGCAGCGCAAGCTTTGCCTAGCGCCTGATAACGAAGCATTCGTGCTTGTGTTTCAAATCCATTTTTCGTCAGAGTCTCCCCGGCTGGCCATGGTATGGTGAGAACTTTTGACTGGATTCCTAAAGACATTATTAGCCTGGCTACTTCTCTAGAAGCTATCATTGGGTTATGAGCCTTGCCCAATTTTTCTATCCTATCTGCAACTAAATGTGCCTCCCGCGAGCTTTCTGGACGAAACTTATGATCCACAATATACGCTTTCAAATCTAGACCCGGAATAAAATCTGGTGAGACTAATCGGCTGCAAAGATAGGCTAACGCCATAGAATCACTTCCACCACTAACGGCAAGACCTATATTTTACTCATTAGAAATTCGACTTCAGCCCAATATTTAGAACACTCTTGTCAGTTTATATGAATACACACCAATTCGCTGTAAGGGCACATGTTTACCCCTTTCCCAAGTTGCCCACAGCCCAGTAAGAGCACGGTAGAATTCTAGAGGGGCAATCGGCGACGAAGCCAGTGCCCCGAAGCTCCTACCAGAAGACATTGTAGGCTAAGGACTTAGTCCCCGTACCAAGATCCTCCATGGGTGCCAAAGTGTATGAAGCATCTTTGTCCTGCAAATGATTTGTGTTTGATATCCAAAGCCATTTTATATGACTAAGCAGAAGCCTTGTATATCACGTGATATTACCTGAAACTTCAAGTTATTTATCGCGCGCTTAAGTTGAGTTTAAACGCTTGGTTATAAAAGAGAATCGCGAAAGTGTTTTTGCCTGCTTCGAAAATTCTCTAGTCTTTCAGTTCACCTTATCAGAATGCAAATAAAATGCGTATATAAGCTTAACATTACCCGTCCGGAAAGGGTGAAGATAGTATCCAATGTACCACGCATTGCGGAACAAGGCCTTACTAACCTAATAGTTTGTCTAGGAGGCGTGGATAAAGTAATTAATCTAGAAACTCTCATAGGGTAACTGAATAAGACTGTAACATGATGTACTTTTCACAGAAATGCATTCGCTCTTTAATTTCTGAGGTTTGATGAGAAGAAAGCTTGGCTTCATAATAAATGCTAGTTAGTGAATTGATATCACTTTCAATGGCCAAAAGGCCAGACTGCTAATTGTTCTATGAAGGTATACTTAATCAACAAAAGTTTGCCAACGAGGAGAAGGGAAGGGAAAGGGAGCAAAAAAGATAACTGCTACAAGCGGTTAAATCGTATCAACCCCAGATATAACAGAAAACGAGAGAAACGATTGACGGAAAGAATGTGGCAAGTTTGCATAAACGGCCAAAGTCAAGCAAACCAGCCCCTTTTTGCAGCCAATGGAGGACTGTACGGCTATTGTATAGTGTAGATATCGATCCATGTAAGGCAAACCTTTCTCCGTTTTACATGGCGGAACTTCTCTTGCTCTCTGGCTACTCAACTGAAGGGCACAATTTGTGCTTTTTATTAACAAGGGCAATCCGGGTCTGAAGTAACCTGATTGGCACAGGTATCTCTCAATGTATTGAAGGGTAGGGGTTTGTCTTTCCATCTAGGACATCTTTGGATGCCCCAAAAGGCCGCTATTTCTGCCGGGCATTCCACTTTTTACTGCGAGAAGTGAATTCTACCCATACAGGTTAGATATTGGCGGTGTTGTCGGCGTAAATATAGATAATGTAATAATTAATGGTAGATAAAAAGTTGAAGTTCCAAATTGCCCCTTTTGGGGCTTCGGCCGGACCAGCTTAACTCCGGCAAAATCTCGAAAAAAAAAAGATTCCAATCCTTTGTAGTTATGATTCAGCCTAAGGGAGGACGTCCTACATAAGAACCGTATATGCTGTCCACGTTCGCATTGCTCTCCATGTTGTAGGCAATATGAGCATTGATATAGGGTCGCATCAGTAATTATTGACCGTTGAAAGGCTCCGAAATTCAATGGCAGGCCAGAAGGATGAGTCGCACGCGACACAATCGACTCTGTGGACGAGATCCCTTCTGGTGAGTACATGAACTATCCTACGACGGCTCAATTGACGAGCTGACGGATTTGTTATGTCATAGGCAGGAGCAGCTGCCGGTCTTACCGTAGACGTTTCTCTCTTCCCACTCGATACCATCAAGACCCGACTCCAGCAAGCCCGGAACAAAGCACCTGGCTCCTCATCAGGAGGCTCACTCAATGCTAGTGTGAACAGTCTGAAAGTCCTTCGACAGACGTTTCGCGGGATATATGCGGGACTACCGTCCGTCCTTCTTGGATCTGCTCCCTCAGCCGCGAGTTTCTTCGTTGTTTACGATGGTGTGAAACGATACTTTCTCCCTCCAAGCACATCTTCGTCCCCCATACCGTGGCAGCATACATTCCTCACCCACTCCATTGCATCTTCTTTGGGTGAGATTGCCGCTTGTGCTGTCCGAGTGCCTACAGAAGTCATAAAACAGCGTGCCCAGGCAGGTCTCTTTGGGGGTTCGACATTACTGGCTCTCAAAGATATTCTTTCCTTGCGCCACCGGAGCGGGAGCCAGGGCGGACGACTTCTGGTTATTCGTGAACTATACCGAGGGACCTCAATCACAATTGCTCGAGAAATCCCCTTTACCATTCTACAGTTTACCATGTGGGAAGGGATGAAAGATGCGTATAGCACTTGGAAGAAGGAGAACAAGCCAAGCGAGAAACCAGAAACTATTTCTGCAACTTCGAGCGCATTTTTTGGCAGCATTGCTGGAGCTATATCCGCGGGGTTGACTACTCCCCTTGATGTGGTCAAAACACGAGTTATGTTAGCCCGGCGTGGCGGAAACACCGAATCAGGTGTGGAAAAGGTCAGAATTAGAGATATCGTCAAAGGAATATGGAGAGATGAAGGCGCCAGTGCATTTTGGAAGGGTATTGGGCCTCGAGTCGCTTGGATTGGGATTGGAGGTGCCATTTTCCTGGGAAGCTACCAACGAGCGTGGAATTTGATGGAGGGTCGCCGTGGCGAAAAGGAGCACCAATCTGAGCCTCTGTGAGCATGCAGTAATCTACCTTTCTTAACCCCTTTCCTCTCCCGAATAGATACATTTTCTTCTTCGAATATTATACTATTTATATCATATAATCATGTGACTCGATAAGCTATCGCGCGGCTAGTTTAGACTAAAACTAATTTGCTTGCTCCGCATCTTTTTTTTGCGGGATCCAACATTTAACGACCACGAGAGAGAGAAACAGCAGCAAGGAATGCAATCAGCGGCAGAATATCCACTTCATTCATATTGAATGCCTCTGGCTTTATCCCATGGCTTCTAGCAGGCTTGTTAACCAAGCAAATCCATCTTGCGCATAAGTACTACCTATCATTGCGGACAATCATTACCTACGCCAGACAGTAATAGTGGCCTAATAGTGGAGTATAAAGCCACAGTTTCTGGATGGCTAGGAAGTCTACCCAGCGAGTCAGCTATGGTGAGCATTTGATCACTCTTGGTAGCTTATATTATATGCGCAATTTGCTGACCAGTGTTTGCAATTAGTGCTGTCAGCATCGGATGCCCCCGGCGGCCACAGACTGGGCGTGAATGGCCTTGCCGTTGATACTACGAGTTCAATCCTGTGAGTACCTCTTAGGAGAATTCTTAATTAAAGGTGGACCGCTGTCCTGCCTTTATTTCTTTTTATTCGGATAGAGTGTTGCCTCTCCCATAAGATACAATTTTAAATGGGACACATCCACTAAATTTTGTTAGGTATTCTGCAGGCCGAGATGGCGTAATATGCGCCTGGGATTTGAACCTCAATCTACAGACGCGAAGCGATTTGCATGATTCTTCTTCAAGCATTACACCCCCCAAGTCAGATGCCACGCCAACCGCATTCAGGCGGCAAATCCAAGCTCACACGCATTGGATCAACGACATCATCTTGACTCAGAACAACTCAACACTTGTCTCCGCCTCATCAGATACTACTGTGAGGGCATGGAGACAGGCAAGTGACGATTATCCACCTGCGGTTATAGGAAAGCATACGGATTATGTCAAATGCCTTGCAACTCCCCAGTCAAATGCTGACTGGGTTGCATCTGGTAGCTTGGACCATAAAATATACCTTTGGGACTTGAATGGTGGCGGAGAGAGAATGAAAATTGATGTTTCTGAGCATGATAAAACACCTAAGGGTTCGGTATATGCTCTAAGCGCGAAAGGGTCCATTTTAGCTAGCGGTGGCCCTGATAGTGTTGTTCGGATATGGGATTCAAAAACTGGAAAATTGGTCACCAAATTTGTTGGTCATACAGATAACGTCAGGAGCATCCTCGTTAACCGCGACGGGGATACAATTATGACGGCATCATCAGATCAGACTGTTAAAGTATGGTCAATGGCGGCAGGTCGGTGTATGCATACTCTAACCATGCATAATGACAGTGTATGGTCGCTGTATTCAGACCACCCACAATTATCTGTCTTTTATTCAAGCGACAGATCTGGCCTCGTTGCAAAGACTGATACCAGGAATGTACCAGACATTGATCAAGGCATTTGCGTCGCTGCATTGCAAGAGAATGATGGCGTGTTTAAAGTTGTGGCAGCTGGAGATCATATTTGGACAGCAACTCCAAAGTCTAGCATTCATCGTTGGAGTGATGTTGATACCACCGCGGAAATTGAAGTTACAACACCTCCGCCTCTCCGCCAGCATGACTCAAGTGTAACCTCCGAAACACCTTCGGATGAGAGCAAAGCTGTTCCACTACCTTCTTCAAAACAGAAAATTTCTGCAAGCTCTATCCTAGTCTTATCAAGTACCGCTACGTTCCAGAACCCCATGCACCGTGAGGCTGATGTTGCAAGTTTGTCGGTTTCCAGCTTGCGTGCTCCTACTGATATCCTTTTGGATGAGGGAATTAGCATCGTAATCCCACTCCAATCATTACCTCAAGAGACAATAGAAGGGCAGCATGGCATGATAAAACATGTAACGCTAAATGACAGAAAACGGGCGTTGACTCAAGACACGGCTGGTGAAGTGGTGCTATGGGATTTACTTAGGGTGAGTTTCTATTTTCGTTCCTCCTATGTTAATTAAATGCTAATATCACACAGTGCGTCCCTATACAATCATTTGGTAAACGCCATCTGGACGATGTTGCCTCCGAAGTGAATACTACGGAAACAATTGCCAATTGGTGTACTTTACACACGAGGACGGGGAGACTATCCGTCATCTTAGAACACAACCGCTGCTTCGATGGGGAAATATATGTTGATCAGGCTGATCTTCCTGATGTGAGTACTGATACATACCGGGAAGATCAAAGAAGTAAGTTATAAGCTATACTGATGACCATAGGGCTTTTACTAACGGTTGTCTCAGTTAATTTTGGAAAATGGATTCTAAGACACCTCTTTGATGGGGTGGTCAAGGAAGAAGTCGAACGAGATGAGGCATACAGGAAAGCTCTTAAACTGAAAGTTGATCAGCAGGGAACAAGCAAATATGATACCTTAGACGCGACAGCACTCCCAACTGTTGTCACTCCCGGATCACCTGGGAGACCGAACCAGCCCGGTTCTCCTAGCTTAAGAGCCGCAGGTATGAGCCGCTCAGTCATGACGCCGGGACTATCCATTGGCGTAGGTACACCGAGCATAGTTTCACCTTTCCCTGAGCTGCACAATTCCAACTGTGGGACTTCAACAAATGATGCTTCTTTTGGGAAAGATATAGCAGGCTCACCCGATTATTTCTCCAATCCAACGAAACGCCCATCAACGGATGCAACAGATTCAGCTGTTAAACCACGATCTTCTGCAGATGAGCAACTAATGCCTCCTGTCTCCCTTGCAACCCCATCAGAACCAGAGAAAGAGGAAAAGTCCAAACGGGGGGCCACCCTCTTTGGTAAGAAATTTCAAATGACCTTCCCGAAAAAGTCCAAGGTGACCACAGAAACAAAACCAATTGCGGAGGAGAAGACGGAAGAATCGGATAAATCTTCCGAAAAAGAGAGGACCTTTGGCGATAACTTTCGCGGAGCAATTGAAAGGATACATGCAGATTATGATGCATACCTAGCTGCGAATCCTACTAAGGACATCGAGACATTAATCACACCTACCGGGGAAGAA